TGTGGGGCACCAAGTTCAAGTACAGTTATGGTTTCCTCGGGCGGGAAGCCGAGTCCGTCGACGGCGCGTCTGATGCCGATGTCGAAGAAGACGAAGGTGACGGAGCCTCAGGGAACAGCGGCTCTGAGGACGGCAGCGACGGGGAAGAGGATGATGACGAGGGTATTGATATTTTTGGCCACCGCTGAGCGTGCTACCCACAACTCCTGCAACGGCATGAAATAGGCTTGCCTATTTCCCGATGCGGATACTTCCTGACTTTGGCCACAAGCCGCTGACCTCGTTCGCATAATCGAAAAGGGACGACCGACAAACTACATTAGCGAAGACGAAAGTTGGCTGGACCAACTAAGTGACTTGTATGATATCTTGCCATGGATCTGGTGGGCGTCTAGTGATGCATGACTCGGACTGCAAACTCGCTTGTTTCTTACGGATGATACATTTTGCATTTATATTCGGCGTCTGAGTTGCAGGGACGAGGATATGGTTAAAATGTTGGTACTTGCGATGCATTGAATGACACATCTCGCATGCATGAGGGAGAGGCATAGTCTAGATTTTTTATTGATTTCAAGCATTCAACTACTACTAATCCTGCGACCCTCTCTGTCTCTTCTGTACACATTCCTGTATAATAAGTTCTAACCAGCTAGCTGCTTCCTGCAGATGCTGTGCTGCAGCTGCATTGTAAATCGGGATTAGTCAGCCGGGCTGGATGCGGCGCCTTCGACGGGCTTCATTCTTCTTCCGGCCTGATGACGACGAAAGGTGAAATACACTCCCTCCCCTGGTCGATCCCATGATGGACGCCCTGGAAAGCCATGTTTTCTATCTCCCTGGCTTATCTCTCGTATCATACATACTCCCCGGCTGATTTCGTGACTGGTCGCCTTGCTTAGCTTCTGCCTGACCTCCTCGACATTGTTGCCCTTGTCCCAACTACCGTTCCCTCACTCTGACAAACACTTAGACTTACACCCACACTTTCACTTTCACTTTCACTTTCACTTTCTACTAGTTTCAACACTCCAACCAAACTCTCCTGCTGAAACGGAGCACGGATCTCCTCCCAGGGATGCTCCGAACTGCAGCCTGATCCGTTCTGAACGAATTCCCAACTCTCCTTCTATCTACAATACAGGGGTCATCCACGGAACCTGCGTATCTACCCGATCCCGTCTCGTCATCGCCCTCTCATATCTCGATATCTCGGTTAACACCCCCGCTTCCCGTGGAATCGTCCGCAGAATATGATCCGTCGCAACTCCGACATCGACGTCCAACTCTCCGATGCGGCTCCCCCTCCCTCCGTCGAATCCGAACCCCCGACAGAAGCAGATGTCGAGATGATGTCTGATGAGCCAACACTACCCTTGAACCTGCCCACCCACCTCGCCGCTCGCTTTGCTCGCAAGCCGAGCGTCGTTCGCCGCTCCTCCGCTGCCTCCTCCCGCCGCAGCTCGATCTCCTCCCTGAACGGGCCCGCCCATGGCGCGTCCTCGACCGAACACGTAGCGCATCACCTCCGACGGACCTCCATTCTCGAGAGTCGCAAGGCCCGACTCGCGGACCGCGCCTTGCACGCAGAGAAAGTCAGGCTCCGGGCTGCCTTGGCGAAAGCGGCGACCCGGAACCTGCAGCGGGAGGAGCGAGCTCTGGCTGCCCAGCAGGCCCGGGAGCGGCTTTTGGCGGAGATCACAGCCAAGTGCGAGGAGGAAGTCCGGCGGGCGAAGAAGAAAGCCGAAGACAACCGGGAGCGCAAGGCCGCCGAACACGCTCGACTCCGCTTGGAAATTGCGGAGAAGTTCGCCGAGGCGGAGAAGCGCCGGGCGCTCTACCAGCAGACCCAGCGGCGCCACCGCACGAGCAGTCTGCCCTCGACTGGCGACGAGAAGAGGATGCCCAAGCTCAACGCTCAGGCAGTCACCCGGGATGCCGCCGCTCGGATCATCCAGCGGGTCTGGAGAACCTATCATGCGAAGATGGTCATGCGTGGTTTCCTGGCTCTCGACCTGACTACCGATCATATTCGAGAGAAGGATTTCGAGGAGGTTGGTGTCCTATTGTCGAATGAGCGGGTGTTGGAGGCGACGGCCCGGGTCCTTCGGCTGTGTGGCCTGCAGGATATGGAAAGCGGCACAATGGGTGGACGGGGTGCGGTGCGCACGTTTCTCAGCAGTTACTTGATTGTGACCCATCCTACTGAGGTCTTGAGCAGCAACGGGGAGCAGGAGCAAGACCTGATTGCGAAAGCGCGGGAGCTCCTCGCCGCGTTCGAGCTGGTGACCCCTCTGCTCTCCTCGGGGTGCTGTTCTCCCGCGGCCATCTCCACCGAGCTGCAGGCTCTATGTGAGGCCTATAATGTCTTCTTCTCTGCGTTTCACGCATGGAAGTCTCACGATTCCAGTGTCCTCATTGAGATCATGTTGGCTCAGTTTATCGAACTGGAGTTAATCTGGCAGACAGTTAAGAATGATCGTGCCGGCGGCGTCGCAGAGGATTATCGTCAAGGAATTCGGCAGAATCAGATCTTGCTCCTCGCTAGGCTGAAACGATTGGCAGGCGCTGATAAGGCCATGGAAATGGTGCGGAATGCCCTGAAGAAGGCAAAGCGCGAGAAGAAGCGGACCGCGTCCAAGCAAGCCATCCCTCGATCGGCGGAGGTCGCAACCTCTTCAACGGAAGCCCTCACAGAGAGCGTTGCTTCCCCTATCAGTGAGACTTTCAACACCGTGGACAGTGGGGTGCTGCATGAGCTAGACCGGCAGCGTGTTTCTCCCCACGAGCGATTCACTCGGATGCTGACAGCACTGCCGGAGAATCGAGCTCTGGTGCACGAGCTCTTGATCAACAAGGAATTCCGGATTGACGAGAAACAGTACACCGAGCCACGCAAGCGAATCATGAAACACATGTGTGAGATGATGCGTAAGGACGTTGAAGCTGGCCTGGAGACAAACTGGACCGTGGCCATGGCTACGGTGATCCAAGACCGTTTGCTTCGCTCACTGCGGCCAGGGAATTCGCTGCATGTGCTGATCAGCGAGGTGCTTGACCCCAAGTTGGTGGAAAGCCAGTGCAGGGCCGGCGCCTTCTCCTACGACAGCTTCTTCAATTTCATGAATACCATTTTACCCAAGCTTTGCGCTCCGTACCGTGATCCGGTTGTCAAGGCATTTGCCGAGGACACGTCGGGAGACGCCATTGACCGACTTGCCCGACTAATGGGCATCATCGACCTCCTCTCCCTTGATCACACCAACTTCATGATTCAGGTTGCAGCTCCCCAACTGATCCAGGAGGCTCCCGGGTATGAGCAGAGGACCTTCGAGAAGGGTCTTCAAGATGGCACTCAGAGCTTGGGGAAGACGCAGCGCTTTTGGCGAACGCACCGCAAGATCATTGCAGATGAGATGCGCAAGCGTGATCCGGAGAACGTGCACGGGGAGCCACGACCGCCAAGCGCCAAGGTCTATGCGCAGGGGATTGTGGATCTGGTGATGAGCAACGCGCCTGTCTCCGAAGAGCTCATTCCGGAGACCCTGGAGCTGGATCGTCAGCGACTTGCGCGATTACATGCCCGGGCGTTCCGGATCGTTGCCACCGCTTCGATTCTCCTGACGGCCAAGAACCTGTTGAAGCGCGACGTGCGATCTCAATGGAAAGCGGAAGCGGACCGGATCCTGTCCTTGGACTTTAATGAGATCCAGCCGGACCGGGTTCAATCCATCCTGGAATCCACTCATCCGATGCCACCCAATGCCAGTGCGCAGCTGGCCGCAACCATCCGCCGCGTTCTGGTGCCCGTTGCTACCGCCTGCGCCGCCGCCCACACTGAGGGAGAAGGTACCCAACCAGCCGTGGAGATCCAGGTCGAGTCGACGGTCTCGTCCGCGGCCTCGTACACGTCGGATGGCGCCAGCTCCGCGACGGCGGCGACGAGCGGCAGCGGCAACGGCACCTCCGGCTTCGCCGATCCGGTGGCCCGACTGATCCTCTCGCGCCTGCGCGCCCACATCCTGTCGCGGCTCAGCGCATCCAGCGCCAGCGAACGCGTGCGGGCCACGACGACGGCCAGCCAGAGTCTGGCCGGGGCGGGCATGCCCGAGTTCGTGACGGAGGTGGGCCAGTTGACGGACGAGATGGAGAAGATGCGCGAGGTGGATTGGCTGTGTCATGGGATGGTGTATGAGCGCATTCTGGGCGATGGCAACGCTTGAATCGTATAAGATTGTCATTGTTAGGGTCTAGGTTGGTGGGCTTGGCTTGGCTTTGGTCTATTAGGGATACTACTTCTACTTGTCTAGGTACAGGACTTTGGAACAGACTGAGATTACTTAATTCCTTCTGTGCGAATTGCTTCATAGTCATGAACCATGTGAACTTGATTCATTCCATATTTTGATATCATGCGGTACGGAGTGCTAGTCTATTGTACCATCTCTAAGATAGCGAATATTGTTTGTAGAAGGAGGAAGAAAGATCGTCATAGAATCCTCTTTTACGACATTCAATAAAGTAAGAATACTTCACATTGACATAGTAGACGGATTTAGATACAAGAGACTACTGGTCAACCATAACCAAAGAAGCGGGTTGCCCGGCGTCTGCAAGGGTCGATAACCCGGGGTCGCCCCATGAGACAAACAGAAGATATTAACCACTGCATGTTGTATCGAGAGAGGTTGGACCGATGCAGACAAAAACTTGTTGCTGTGCATTTCGCAAAGCAAAGATTGTGGAGGCGTGCCACTGCTACGTAAGTAACTGTTTGTATTGAACTGTATCTTCCCGCGGACGACAAACAAAGAACGATGAGTCTGGAATATTGGTGGTGTACTGTATGTACACAGCAGACCAACACCGCTTTTCTTTGTTACTTCCTGAACGGTGGGTTCTCTCTCTCGCGCCGCTGTGAATTGCCGACAACGCGTGCGCGAGAGACTTTTCGGTGACTCGCTACTCGCTACTCGGTACACGAGTTGTACAACTTAAAAATGGCGAAGACACCACGGCAATCACCGATGATTTCACCTTGCTCCGATCCAGTGACTGCTGCCTCCATGAAGACCCTACTTCTCACCATGGGGCCATGCGGTGTACGAGATTGCCACTGTGCCTCGGGCTCGAGCACCTCCAAGCTGGATGGGTTGTCTAGTGCCGTGGCGTGTGACAGATGTTCTCACCCTTTAAGCGATCATGATAGTTACTGTTAGCTCTTGGTGTTCTCTATGGGCGAGCCTTACTGGGTGTATACTGACGCGGAGAACACATACACACACTCTAGATCCGCCCGGTTCTTCAGGCCCTGCGAGCCCACGACCTGCACTGGTGACTGAGCCGCTTGGTGAGTTTAGGTTACTCTCTGGATTTTGAGATCGAGGTCGAAGGCGAAGTCAAAGGAACATGGATAACCCGTTGCACAGGCATCGAGTCCCACATTATCATGCGACCCCAGTTCATCGACGAGCTGATCGCCCGGTTGAACCGCTACCATCTGATCCGCGTCAACGGGACGCCGGCGTCGGGCAAGACCTCGATGACGCGGGTGCTGGCCAACGAGTTGCTCGCCCGCTACCCGCAGACCCCCGTGTATCTGCTGTGCGGCTGGGAGTGGGACGACGTGCGGATCGCGGGCGGCTGGGCGCTCTATCTGCAGCAACAGCTGGGGACGCATGGCCATCGGCTCATCACGCATCCCGGCTTCTTGCTGCTGGATGAGGCGCAGCAGACCTACTGGGACACGCAGCTCTGGACGGACCTGTTCAAGTCCATCACCGGCAGCAGTGCCGTGAAGATCGTGGTGTTCACGTGCTATGGCTCGACCGGCTCCGAGCCCGGGGGTGCGACGACGATGCGAGAGCTCCCCGGGAAGACACCGATGGTCTTTCAACCGCAACAGCAGATCTCGCTCCGGCCGGAGGAGACCGAAGAGACATCCCCGCGCTGGAAGCCGGTGGGCTTGCTGCTCGACGAGACCGAGGCCCACGAGATCTTGGATCGATATGTGCCGAACACCGTGTCTGACGGGGCGAACATCTTGACCAAGGAGTTGAAGCATGGCTTGTTCCTGGTTAGTGGGGGACACGCGGGCTTGCTGGTGTCCCTCGCCGACGCCCTGGAATTGATACCGGTAAGTCTGGCCTTGCGGGACATGAAACTCTTGGGGGCTAACCTTATTGTTTTATGTGTGACAGGAGATCTATGCTCTGATCAGGAAACGCCAGCCACTCGACTGGACGACAGTAAGCCAGGGACTCTTTGGCGATTGCCGACGATTGTTCGGCATCATTCAGCACCTCCCATTTGCTCGGGGGTTGCCCAAACAACGCGTGGTGCAGCAATCCGCTTACTCGAGTGTCTTCAACAACGCCATCGTGTACGATGGGACTCTGGAGTCGAGCTATGCCGACAGCCCTGATCAACAGCGGGCTCTGCAGGCGATCTGGAAGGAAGGATGGCTTCATGCGAGGATTGTGCTGGGAGAGACACGCTATGTGTTTCCTACCCAGATCCATCGATGGTTCGAGTCTCCTTGTCTATGATTACTTCGCCATAGGTTGGCTAAGGGTATTGGCTCCAGGTATTGTCAGTGCCTTTTCTTCCGCGACGACGCACCGGCCAAAGAACTGGCCTATCGATCCCCACTGGAGATGGCTACCGAAGCCATTCGCCATTTCGACCCGCACCAGCTGTCGCACACTGCGCGCACGCTGGAAGATCAATACCAGAAGGAGTTCTACCGCTGTCTCTTCCCGCTCCTCCTCGAGTACCAGATCGCGATGTCGCCGGAGTATCTCATCAAGAAAACGGCGGGTCTCCGGAGCGGCAGGATCGACTTCCTGGTCGAGCAGAAGAAGTGGGGATTGGAGCTGATGCGCGACGGCGACCGGATCACACAGCACATGCGACGCTTCGAGGAAGACGGCCCGTACTTTGCGATGATCAGGGAAGGGCTGATGCGGGATTACATTGTGCTGAATTTCACCCAGACCTGACCACGCAGGAAGTATCCAGGTAATACTTGACCTTTCCCGTCATACCCGAAGACAAGAAATAGTTTTGAGTCTGACATAGCTTCACTAGGATCCCGCGGCCACCTGTATCATGTGGTCTTCTCCGAGGACTGCCGCAACGTCCAGATCCTGGACGCCTCGGATCTGAGTGAAGTCGTTGCTTTTGTGCTGGTCGAGAACGCAAGTTTCTTCCGCTAGATAGCCTAGTACTTGGTTTTCGTCCTGGTTTTCGGGCCTACTTTGATAGCAAAATGCCCTTTGGGTAATGTCCCTTTGTTTGGTCTTATATGATGCGCGTGTATTGGCGCCGCATGAGTATCAAGTAGGGCAGGCAGTCTTGTGGCCTTCTCATCTCCCCTCCTTGGGCGGTAGGCACAGATAGCAAGCATTGATTTCGTTTGTCCAAATGAGCACTGCACAATTAGTCAGTGCCATGGTCAAGAATTTGACTGACATGAAGTTCAGGCCTCACAGAAGTTGTGTAGTTCGTTACTTTTCCACAATTCCATCAGTATGAAGTAAATGCAGCCAGTCGAAAGAGGCAGGCGGTAAGAGAGTAGACTTACCCCTACCTTACGCTGCATGAGTTACGTACCGCCTCCCCCGCCGCCACCGTAGCAATCGGCAGATTTCCAGCTTCGCTCAGTTCTTCAGACAACGCCATTGCAATCAGAACCATCCCTCTCCCACTACAACCCCTAACCCTCACCCTAACCTACCTCCTCTGATACCGAAAAAAAAAAAAAACAACAACCGAAAGCAACAGCGCAAGCAAAATGCCGAACCCCCCCACCCCCCCACCATACACCCTCACCCCGCTCGCAACACTGGACCCCCCCTCGCAAGAGCGCACCTGGCAAACGGCCCCGCACCCGCGCCTCCCCATCGTCGCGACCTGCAGCGCCGACAAGACCATCCGGATCTACTCGCTCACCAATTTTCGGTTGTTGTCGACCATCACCGGCGGCCACAAGCGCAGCGTGCGCACCGCGGCGTGGAAGCCGCACGTCACGGGAGAGAGCGTGCTGGCCAGCGGGTCCTTCGATGCGACGGCGGGGATCTGGCGGCGGTGGGATAACTACACCTCCTCCCAAATCCAATCGCAATCACAGGGGAATGAGGATGGGGACGCAGCGTGGGGAACATCCCCCGCCCACCCCGACCCATCCGAGGACATCCCCGAGGCGGAAGACGACGACGAGGAATGGCGCTTCGCCGTGCTCCTGGACGGCCACGACAGCGAGGTCAAATCCGTAGCGTGGTCCGCCTCCGGCCTGCTGCTGGCGACCTGCTCGCGCGACAAATCCATCTGGATCTGGGAGGATTTGGACGACGGGGACAATAACTTCGAGACCGTCGCGGTCATGCAGGAGCACGAGGGCGACGTCAAGTGCGTCGCGTGGCATCCGGCGGAGGAGTGCTTGGTCAGTGGCAGTTACGATGATACGATCCGCGTGTGGCGCGAGGATCTGGATGATTGGGGCCAGGTGGCTTGTTTGCGGGGGCATGGGGGCACGGTTTGGGGGGTCGAGTTTGAGGGTCCCCAAGAAGGAGGGGATGGGGATGGGGAGGGGGAGGATGGGGTGCGGAAGTACAGGACGTTGTCGGGGCCCAGGATTATCTCGTGCTCGGATGATCGCTCCGTCAGGGTGTGGCGGCGGCAGCCGAAGTTGGGCATGACGACGGAGTTGGGCCCGGGGAACATGCCGAGTATTATTCGGCCGACGGGGTTGGATGAGGTCTGGGAGGAGGAGGCTGTTTTGCCCGCGGTGCATGATTTGGCCGTCTATTCGGTGGCTTGGAGTCGGAGGACGGGCTTGGTGGCTTCGGTTGGGGCGGATGGGAGGGTCGTGGTTTATGAGGAGAGGCGGGTGGATGCACCAGTCAAAGAGGGTGGGGAGGGGGGGGAAGATCCCGAGGCCTCGCTGTCGTTGCTCCCCCCGACGGAATGGGTGGTCGTTGCACTCCTCAATGGGGCGCATGGCATCTACGAGATCAATCATGTAGCGTGGGCGAAGCGCGCGGATCGGGGTCGCGATCCCTCCAAGGAGGAGGAGGTCCTGATCACCACGGCTGATGATGGCAGTGTCAAGGTGTGGACGGTGCAGCAGTGATCGGTGCATGTGTCATAGGTCATAGGTATAGACTTCGAGTATAGAGAAAAGTCTCTGCTAAGAGCATAGATCCTCCCAGCTATACAGCACAGTGAAAGCACAAAAGAACAGTCCTAAGCTCCAATACATTAACTCCAGTATGTCCACAAAGAATCCATTATCGACCCCAAAACAAACACCAACAGGGACAATCAAGTAACAGGGAATCATAGATGATCACTCCCCCGCGCCGCCGAATGCTGGCTGTGTTCGCCCCGCTGCTCCTCCTCGTCACTGTCCTCGCCCACCGAATAGTGCTCCCGGTCCAGACCCGGCGAGTGCAGGTCATCCAACTCCGACTCATCAAAGTCGCCCGCCTCGACATCGCCGCCCGTGCGCTTGTTCTGGAACCGCTCCAGCACCGAGCTACTGCTGCTCATGTTCTTCTGCATCACGCCCCGGTAGCCGTGGTGCCGCTGGCGGCTGCGCCAGATGAAGAACCCCCACACGATCACCCCGATGATCACCACCACGAGGACGGCCTCGCCGGACTTGGCGTACGCCTTCCACTCCGTCTCCTTGAGGCGCTGCTTCTCCTGCTCCTCGGCCGCGGTGCTGTTGGGGTGGCCGCCCACCGAGGTCTGCGGCAGCTTCTCGCCGTCGATGCGCGAATCCGTCGGGTGGCCGCCGATGCTGGCAATGTCCACGTTCATGAACCGGTCCAGCATGTCCCGCGTCTGGCGGGGGAGGTCGTACGGCACCATGTGGCTGGAGTTGTAGATCAGTACGTAGGTCAGGTTGCGCGCGTATTGATAAATGCCCGTCGCCTCGCCCTCGAAGGTCCAGTCGTGTCGGGGCGCCCACACGCCCGGCGAGGTTTCGAACCCCGTACCGCCGCCCCATTTCAGGTTGTTGATCAGTTGCTCGGTGCCGACGTGGTTGCAGATAAGGTCCTTCTCGCCGCTGAAAAGGAGGATCTCCACGCCGGATTCTAAAAGCTCGGGCAGGAGCCGGACGGATGGCACAGATCTCTGAGGGTTGAAGTTGCTGCTGACCGCGCCGGAACACTCGGTCCAGCCCGACTTCTTGGCCGGGTCAATGTGCAGAGCCGCCACCACGTCCTCTCGCTGTAGATAGGGCTTCACATCCACCAAGTCCGTCGGCCAATTCATTCCGCAGGCGTCCAAGCTGTCGCGCAAACGAATGTCATACATGTTATAGCACTGATTGTTGACAATCGTCTTATCCAAGATGCCATTCAGAATCTTCTCGCAGTCGTTGACGTGGATCCTGTTCTTGCCCGCTTCCAACCGTGACTGGCAGACGGACTGTAGCACTTCGAGTTCCTTGGCCGCCGCGCTGCCTTCCTCGATGAGCCCCTCTTCGTAGGCGAACGGCAGGTAGGACATGTACTGCTCCTCGGGGGCGATCCAACCGTTGCCGATAAGAAGACCTTTCAGCCGCCACTGCGCGGTGTTGGAATTGGAGACGTTTTTGTTGCGTTCTTGCATGGCCTTCGCGATATAGGGGATATGTTGTCCGGCGTAGGACTCGCCCGCAAGGTAGATCTATCGACTGTCAGAAACGCGACCCCTCACCAATTTGACACCAGGGAACATACATCATCACTCTCGTACTCCGGAAACAGCTTGAACCACTCCTCCAAGAATACCACGAACTGCGCCGCCATCGTGTCGAGCTCGTGAATATAGCTATCGGTGTTGACGTAGCTGAAGCCCGTTCCAACCGGATTATCGACAAAAAGCAGGTTGGCAAACTCGTCCCAGGAGCCCTCATTATATTCGAGGGTGTGGTTGTCCTTCAGTCGATACGGTCCAATCTCCATCAGCGCTCCGTCCATCGAGGAGCACCCAGGCCCACCATTCAGCCACACCACGGTGCGTTGGCGATTGGCGATGTGCCGGTTTTGGTAGTGCCAGAAGAAGAGATGCCCATTGCTCTGGGCGTCGACCTCGACGTGCCTGAGCCGGAGGGAAATAGGGGTTAGCTTGGTTGATGGAATGCGACAAGCGTTGGAGCGGAATAGCTCACCCAGCGTGCATTTTCAGCAGCGGACCGTCCGGTGCACCCGGCAGGGAATGGATATAATAGTCAGCCGCCGACTTGGCCACGACAGCGGCGGGACTCAGTAGAAGGAGCGTCGACAGTGCCCATGTCGACATCTTGGTGATGGAGCTGCCCCCGCGGGACGATAAGGGGAACATTTCGGGGATTGTGATAAGGTAAGACGTGAGGTCGAAGGAGGAATTCAAACAAAGAAAATGTTGACAGGTCGGCACAAGAATGGATCGGATAGGTCCCGAGTGGACTCGTGTCAGCGCTCAAGGACTCATCGATCAAAGTGTCCAGTTCCGGCGCGTGCTGACTGAGACCGAATTTCTCCCCGGTCGAGGCGGAGCTCCGGAGATAAAAGGGAGGTGGTGGTGACTTGAGGGTGGTGACCGAAGTAATCACGCAGGGAAGGGATGTGGATGAGGGAACGGAGAAAGCTGTCGAGCGCCCTTCCCACAGTATTTTGGAAGAGACAGGAGAGCCGGATAACACCAAGGGAAGAGGTGGAAGGGTGATAGACAAGACAAGGAGAAAGATCAAGGAGAGGTGGAGGAAGTTCAAGGCGGCTGAGACGGAGACGGAGACGAATGGATGGCGTGGCCCGAACGGGCGGGTATCGTCCGTATCGTTACTTACTGGACCTACCCTTACTACTTTGGGGTCTCTATAGACCTGCTGCTGCCTTACACTCTTCCGCATAGCATAATCTTATGTGAGAAACTTGAGAGTAGTTGCTATCATTCGGGCCCTCAATAAAGAGTATTGTATTGACCATCCTGGATGCTGACTACCATTGACAATCTAAGTTGCATTCGCCCGATTCATCCAACTCGATGACACTTGGTACTGTCTACTCCAGGTCCCAATGCAGGTCCATCCCAGCATCGCTCGATTATTTTACTTCCAATTCCAAGCTGGGTGAGTCTGTTTGTCCCTGCGCACTAATGGAGGGCTATAATCTTGGGCCGATCTTTCACTCAATTCAGATGAGATCATCAATACCCTGGTCGGCGTCTTTCTTGATCAAGTCCACCATGCCCTGAGAAATGTTAGCAGCGGCGCAGTCAAGACACGACGAGAAAAAGGCAAGCTCACCGGAGGCATGATGGGCTGACCATCCTTGTCCACAACATAGCGGAAAGGCATCTCAGTCCGTTCGTGCTCGTTGATCAGGATCTCGGGGTGGTCAACGTATTTGATTTCCTCCAACGGAACTGTGGGAATGTCAGTCTTCATCTGAAACATGCAAGATCGCAGTCGAGGACTGACTCTTATCGTGCACAACTAGGCGAGTGACGCGCACAGCTGTATCCGTGGTCATTTGCACAGGGCCCAGTCTACGGCCAGCATAGCCCTTCTTTCTCAACTCCGAGGTGCGATCTGCCTCAGGTCAGTATCATGAAGAATCTGTTCTACATCGACTAGACATACCGCGAGGTGGGTCATCGCCTAGTGACCGAATAAGAAAATCCTTTGAGTCAGCTAGCAGAACAATGAATTGAGTCGATCTCCGGAGGAGACCCGAAAGACTGCAAAGAAGGCGCCTCACCCAGGATACCACCGAAAAGGAAGACATCGAACGTCTCTGCATCAGCGGGGCTCAACTCAACCGTGGCGGAAGGGTCCAACAGGCAGACCCGAGACTTGCGGTCCGCAAAAATCTCCTCCACACTGCGGTGCTCGACGTTGAGGCCTGGGGTGGCTGCCAGATCCTCCGGCATCTGCAGGGAGGTGGGCACGGAGCTGAGCAGAAATCTGCTCCCCGAGGCATGCGCTTCACGGGCAATGCAGCCATACTCCAGAGCGGACCAAGCGCCCAACTCGGGGTCCAGATGCTCGACCACGATGGTCACAGGACCTGAAGAAGAGGTTTGATCACTCATTTTGGCGCAATGGGAAGCGTCCAAGTCAGTCTGGCCCGCGGACAATGAACGTGATGTCGGTTATAGTAAGTGTGGGGTTCAGGAACCTCTTGTGACACCGTGCAGGCTCGGATTCACCGGTTCTTAAAACCAAAATTAGCCTAGAACTAAGGGATGGGAAGCTTGTAGCTATTACCAATCGATTTAGAGGTGGTCAACGGTGCGAAAAGGCTGGATTGTGAGCAATATCAGATTGTGGAGGGGCAGGAGGAAAAAAAAGCAGAATTCATCATAGAGTTGGATACAGATTGATACGGCCGATTGCATACACTGCCTGCCTGACTGAGGTTTCCTCCCCCATTCAACCGTCGGTTGCAACTGAGCAACCCGGTGACACTCCAGTAGGTATTTTATCAAATGAATATTGGAGGACTATTCATTCTACCAGTTGGTTAGGTTCAAATTTACCATTCTCTTTTTGCGCCCTTTGTGCCTAACGGGGCAGCAAGATGAGTCGACTATACGGAGTCCTGTCCCTGCATTTGAAAGCACCACCTAAGCTATATCTTTAGTGCCAATTCATAAACGGCACGTCCATCATTTTGGTCATTCTCTGAGACACATTGGATTTTATCTGAAGCATCCCATTCCTATTCCACCCCCTGGTCCTCAGCATGCAGCAACTTATCGAACGACGATGAGGCGTTGGTCAGATCGAGTGAAACCGATACTGTATTGTTCGGTCACTGTTCGAAGTGGAGACAGTCTGCAGCTCCATGCCGCTAGGCTGAATGCAGACTCCTTCCTGCTCAGATCGTTGGATCCTCGTCTTCTAAGAGGATTAGTGCGTAGGATGTGGTGGAACACGGGGGCTGATTACAGGGCGGTCACCGCCCGATGTCGTACGCTCTCCGCCAACGGATGACCATACCATTACCCGTCCATACCGACTGGTACCAAAAGACTTATTAAGTTGTTCTACTCTGTTTGTACATCGACAGTACTTCCCCTCACCTTCAAACGCTTATCCTCCAAACAACTCTTCTGTTCCTATTTCCTCTCATTTCTTTTGATTCCGGACTCTCTTCATCCGTTGCCTTTTCCGGTCTAACTTTCTTACCTCTCATCTTCTGCAGCCTGTGCAGAGGGAGTTGTGACCTATACCTTATTCCCTACGTACTGCATACTACTTACAGTTTGCTCCCCGCTGGAGGTGGTGGGGTTTCCTGACGACACTCCCAATAACTACTAAATACCCGCACCACTCAATCACTCCATCAACCACTCATTCACTCACTCCTCCATCTCCGTTGTCCACCCCAACTCACCTCAAATCAATCCAACTTAATCCCCCCCCCCTCCGCCCACCCTCGCCTGCTCCTTCATCTTCTTCTTTTCTTTTCTCTCTCTCAACTTACCTTTCTGCCTACATTTCCTGTTTCATCCGATTCACAATCGATCACATCGAAAACACAAGCATTCACAATGAATCCCCATCAGCAGAATAAGATCGATACCAGCGTATGCTCTCCAGTCGGATCTATCTTGGGCTACCGAGCCCGTTCCCCGTCGGGCCTGGAACTAACAATCATTTCTCCTCAAGTCGCTGAGCCCCGATGAGCAACGCTTGCTGCGTCTCTACGGCAAGATGCCCAACAAGAAAGATCTCCTGCAGAACAAGCTGAAGGTATGCTCGTCCAAACACCCGACGACCCCGACTCAACCACTGTGCATGGCTAAATCTTATATCTTACGCCCTGCAGGAGCGGAAATACTTCGACTCCGGCGATTACGCCCTCAGCAAAGCCGGCAAGGCCTCAGACGTCGGCGTCACCAACATCGGCTCCCAACACCCCGTTCCCGAGAACATCCCTCACCTGACTGCGACCTCCCCCGGCGCCAACAACCCCGGCGCTGCCGGCAATGGGGGCAGCATCAGCGCCCAGGGCGGCCAGCAGGTCCCCGGTAGCATCAGCGGCCATCCCGGCTCCATCGGATTCCAGAGCCGCAGCCCCGTTAAGGAGGCCAGCTTCCTGCAACGGGGCACCAGCGTCGATGAGGCCGACGGAAACAACCTCGATGCAGTCGCATCCCAGGATCCCACCGATGCCGGCAGCGTGAGCCCACCTCCCGCTCGAGGTGGTGTTCCCATCCGTCAATAAATGATCTCTCCCCCCCCCCCCGCCGTCTCTTCTCATGATCTCATTACTTTCATGTCATCCTTTTACTTGATTGCCTCTCTTCCTTCGTATATCTTTTGTTGGTTCCGTTCCGGTGGTCGGTGGTATTTAAAAGAGTGTTCTGGCGCCATGGATTCCCACGTCACGTTGTTTCTTGACATTCCGATGTATTTACGACCTTCTTCTTATCCTTATCATTGATCATTGGCTTTTTTCCCCTTTCCCCTTATCTTCTGCCTTTCGGATGGATTTTACCTGACACAGACTGAAAACAAAGTGGAAGGTTGAGCAACCAGGCGGAAGTTGCCTGCATGCTACAGCACTCGCCCACCCATCTGTGGCAAAGACGAGCTGACCAGTTTCGGATGGGGTCCTCTCCATCTGTCGATCATAGCTTGCTTCAGCCGCTCTGTGCGTCCACTATGAGTATCCAGCATGCTAGCGCCAAGCGGAGTGTCTCAATCATCACGAAATGACGTAATCAGTCTCTTTTTTCTCTCTTCCACTTCTTTGTCTATATTGGAAGATCGTCCCGGCTACGAATAGTCTGCCTCGTGTCTCCGTTGTTACCTCATAAGCACGAGATGTTATATGCCTCTTGCCAGCGCTCAAGAAACGGGAACACGTCGTATCTGATGCCTGTATGCTTTCCGTGGTTTGATGCCTCTATTCTCTTCCCTGAAGGTGTGTTTAAATCCGGGGCCGGTAACACCCAAAAGGGTGGCTAAATTGAACCTCTGTGGATATTGCGAGTTGTGGGCCATTGACCACCTCTTCACTTACCGTTGGTTCGTTTGTCGTTATAGCCGCTATCCAATATCTGGCGCGTCTCGCCATCCTAAATTGTACTCGTTGGCTGTGTACTTACTTCTTCACTAACCACTCCCAAATCCCGGAAGTGCGGTTCTGGGAGGTACTCAGTATATGCTACTTGTATTCTAGATTGAAAAAGTGGGGGAAAGAGTCTCTTTTCTCATAGATTTCAAGTCTGATTTGCGAACCGGAGCTTAGAAAACCGCTAAATATGGTACTCGAGCTCCGCAGGAGCAGGAAAGGAAGAAGAGATGGGAATAGAAGCTGTCGCTACAGAGGCGAAGATAAGAGAAGAGAAAAAATATCAAAGAAAAGAAGAAAAGAAAAAAAAAAAAAACCTGTCACCGTGAACAGCAAGTGGGGGTATAAGATTCTCCATCTAGTGCAAACAGTTTTCAAGAATCAGAAGCTGAAAAAGGCAAGGAAGGGTAAGTTGCAGAGCATTTAATCAAAAAGAAAAGAACCACAGGAAGTAGCGTTGCAGAAAGGCGCTAGACTGGGAAGAATGGGTATAATAGCAATAATCGGAGATGGGATCATAAGAGATGTGGATAAGTCAAAGATAAGGATGGAGCGAGGCGTATCGGAGGGACAGAGAGAAACAGAGGAAGCGGTCCGGAGCGGGGTCGACCCAGGGAATCTCTCGGATGGGGTTGGCGTCATCCGAACCGCGCGGTATACATGAACTGGACCGCCTCCTGGTATGGTGACCTACTAATGGGTCTTAGATCATGCTGGAACTGTTATGTGGATTGCGAAGTCCCCGGGGACAGTATCCGTCCATCCGTGATGAGCACCATTCGGGGGGTGGCTTAGGAATAATGTAATGCCTTGCATGGCCGAAAGTAAGGTGCAAGGACGACTGACAGGCATGTGAAGTCGCGGGCACGCTTCGTAGCTGCTTCTGCTAGACGGTCCTTGGTATCCCTCCAATCCGGCTATCATGCGGCTAACAAGCGAGGGAGCGTTAACTAGATGGCGGTGCTGATCTAAGCAGCCAGAATGCAGTAGAGACCCTAGCTGGATAATATGCGTAAAGGAACATTGGTGACAGCCTGGCGTAGGGGCGAATTAAGGACGCTGCGAGTATCTACCACGAGTCTCCGCATGGTTGATATATTTGACGTAGGATTGTGATTTATCGTGTACCGTTCAGTCGGTCTTCCAGTGACCAGCCAAGCCGGTGTCGAGATCATCGTTCTCGCCGAGGTAGAGCTCAACAGCGTACAAGCCCATCGTGCAGGCAAGGTTGATCCAGCGCCAGAGGTTGCCACCACCGCCGCCTTGACTGCTCCACCATTCACCACTACCGCCCATTGCTTGAGATGTCAGAGCGAAGTGCTGCATCAGAAGGCTGGTGTACACGGCGATGAGGATCGACGGGGAGAAGTAGCTGAGGAAACCGAGGAATTGACCGGCGCCATCGGAATCGTCCAACGAGGCTTCTTGCGACAAGGCGCGCGCGCCAGACTCGCGAACTGCGGGAATGATTCGAGTGGACGCGTACAGAACCAGGATCCGGTAGGTGAGCGAGACTAACACGGAGGGAGTCACGGCGCCAAAGACTGCTGTGATAACATTGAACAAGGCGTGGATGATTGAAGGGAGGGTGGACAATGCATGCAGCAGAGTGGTGTACGACTCCATGATGATCGGTGGTAGCGGCGGGAAGTCCCCGGCTTGAGCAGGAGAGGGCGGTTGTTCCAGAGGATGAGAGGGTTTGTAGTCTGTGAAGATCTGGTAGAGGCAGAGCACAATGTAGGCGAATAGCAAGGAACTCTCCACTGGATTTCCCCGGCCGCTACCGATGCCCCAGGCGCACAAGATCACCGCGCATGTTATGGAGACACCAATTAGAGCCGCATCTACATTGGAGATTTCCGGGAACTGCATAACACGCCATAGGAAATACACGGAGCTGGATATGATTGAGGCGGACAAAACCAGGAGACCAATCTAGTGGACCATGATTAGCATTTTATCGTTGCATGCATCAAGCACTTCAGGGTGACGTGTACGTACCATCCAACTATCACTGCGCCCGCCGCGGTTTACAAGCCACCGAGTGATTTGCCCTGCAGCTTGGATGACGAGTAAACTGCAGAAACCCTCCACCAGTTGGAATACCGGTGTTGACCATCTCAAGAGTTTATCCCAGTTGCCAATCGTCACCGATTCCACCAAACCGTCCGGTCCAAATACCCATTCCTGAATGGAGGAGTCGTGGGCTCTCTTGCCGGTGAAGGTCCGTTCCACCCATGAAGCCGCGTTGTCATTATCGATAGAGAAGCGGTTGAGCGACCAGATAAGCAAGATCGGGATTATGAGCCACTGCGTAGAGCTGATGATAACAACCAGGGAGGAGCGGATCCAGGACCGATCGGGGGTAGAAAGTCGCAGGAGGGAGAACAGAAAGTAAAAGGTCGCGAGGGAAAGCGAATAGGCCAGACCACATGTCTTTCCACCCACATCAAACGCGAGAGGGATGGATGCGACCGTGACGGTCAGGAAGAGTCCCGACGAGATGGCGCGGAAGAGCCACATCGGACAAGACGACAAGAAGAAAAGGCAGAAAGAGGGTAACGAAGAGGAAGAGGAAAGAGAGGGGTGTAGACGCGCTCTTTTCGACAGATGGTCTTAAGGCAGGAGATTTGGTAGACAACACGGGCGGAGAGGAGGGAGGGGAGTCTTTAGTAAGAATACATGAAGGCTGGTTTGATTGCGTGCCGTCCTTTGTTTTGCTGGTCTGTCTGACTGACTTTCTTGAACCTCACTGGAAGTGCGAGTGGGATGAATCCGTCACTGTCTTCTGGATTGAATTTTTGTTTTTCAATTTTTTTTTTCCCTCTTTTCGATTTCAGTGCAGTAGTCTTTTGAGAAACGATCTTATCTCCCAAGCGGGACGGAATGATGGATGGATCGAATTCACGTGGCACGTGCTGATGGACGAATGAACTTCCTGGTCAAACAATCCACTTACGTATTGAAGCACCAAAGCTTAACGGCTGCAATGCAATGAATCGGGCAGGCTGAGATAAAGACGAGGAGAAGAATACAGGATGAAAAAAAGGGATGGAGGGGGAAAGTGACAGCCAGCCCAGCAACAGCAACCAGCAAACGCAAGAATTGCTCGCAATTTGGCGGTTTAGCGTATCCGGCCCAGCTTCAACTGGCAGGCGGTGGCGTCCAAGCGGATGCAAGTAGCGGTCAGTTGGTGAAAAGATCGGCTGTATATGATCTCATCTCCAGAAGATTATCACTCAGTATCCATGTAGAAGGCGATCGAGTGTTCGCCAGGGAATCCTGTGATTGCGCCAAAATGCAAATGGACGTCAATAGTCCCGACGTTAAGGTTCCAATGAAGAGAGAGGAGGAGGGGGGGAGGATGTGAAATCGACGTAATTATGCGTGTCAGATAAGGAGAGCATCGACAAGCCATAATACAGCCGGTGCAAGCCTCAGGCTGCAATCACATGCTAGGCTTCTGCTCAATAGCCCTAAGTACTCTTCTAATCCGGTTAGCGTGATGGAGCTGCCACTTCAACGCTTTCCCCTTTATAGAGCCCAACGCCCTGCATCTTCCGGCCAATAGGAATTCGCTGATACTAACTAACTCGATACGAAGACCTTCCAGAAGCTCAGGCTCTATCGACAATCGACATAAACTACCTCCTACTTCTTTCATAATCACAACTTCGATTCTTCCTTATAGTGTATGCTTCGGTTTCGTTCCTTATACAAAATGGCCGAAGAAACCATCACGAAGAAGGTCAAGACTTCTTCCCCCTTGATCGGAACCCACAAGTAAGTTCTCGTCTGCCTCAATCCCACATCCCACCTTATGCAATAGCCCCGTTAATTCCTTCTCCTCTCCAGCGGCCACTTCCACGCCGACGAAGCTCTTGCTGTCTACCTTCTCCGTCTCCTTCCCACCTACAGCGCCTCTCCCCTCGTCCGCACTCGTGATCCCGCCCAACTTGCAACATGCCACACCGTTGTCGATGTGGGCGGCGAGTACGACCCCTCCACCAACCGCTATGATCACCACCAGCGCACCTTCGCAACCACCTTCCCGGCCCACGAGACCAAGCTCTCCTCCGCCGGTCTGGTCTACATGCACTTCGGCCGGGCCATCATCGCCCAACACACCTCGCTTCCCGAGGACCACGCGGACGTGACTCTCCTGTACGAAAAGCTGTACAACGACTTCATCGAGGCGATCGACGCGAACGACAACGGGGTCTCGGTGTACGACCCGGAGGGCCTCACCGCCGCCGGCCTGAAGAAGCGCTTCCGGGACGGCGGGGTCACGCTGGCCTCGGTTGTCGGTGACATGAACAACCCGGACCCCACCAGCCCGCCCGGCGAGCCCCAGGACGAGGACAGCCTGTTCGGCCGCGCCAGCACCTTCATCGGCAACGTCTTCACCCGCAAGCTGCACCACGCCGCCTCCTCCTGGCTCCCGGCCCGCACCAGCGTCGGCGCCGCGTACCGCTCGCGCCGCGAGGTCCACCCCTCCGGCCGCATCATCGTCCTCCCCCAGGGCGGCGTGCCCTGGAAGGAGCACCTGTACAACTTCGAGCAGGAGGAGGGTAGCTCCGGCAGCGAGCAGACCTACTACGTGCTGTACCCGGAGGGTGCCACCGAGGGCTCCAAGTGGCGCGTGCAGTGCGTGTCCGAGAGCGAAGGGAGCTTCGTCTCGCGCAAGCCTTTGCCCGAGGCGTGGCGCGGTGTCCGCGACTCCGACCTCGATGCCGTCATGGCCGTCGAGGCGGATCAGGCGGGCCAGCCGCGCATTCCCGACGGCGCGGTCTTCGTCCACGCCAGTGGTTTCATCGGTGGCCACAAGACCAAGGAGGGTGCTCTGGCCATGGCCATCCGGGGCTTGGAGTAATAGATCGGTGTCTTGCATCACTTGCTTATCTAACGAACATTTGATCTGGGTATTCATGAGGCATCAAAAAGTTAAAAATTCATTTTATTACTCTTCCTATAATTCGCCCAGTGCAAGGGTGTCCAGTTCACCCTGATAAGTCTCTTGGTCCTCTCCCGCCTCTCAAGCGACCTGTAGTCAGCCGTCATGATCTTCAGAATGACCCGCACTGTTGGGTCCGGCAACCAGAATGAGAATTGCGAGTGAATCCAGCAGTAGTAATGCAAAAGGGGGCTTAACAGCATATCGATGTAGATATTAGTATTAGGTATGCATCTTACATGCTACTTTGCCTATGTAGGCTGAGTACCGGTGATATTGGAATTACCGCCGGTGTCAGTAGCGTTTCTCAACCACTGTGCCCCTGGCCTGGGTTTCTTCGAGAGTCAATCGGACACCTCGAAACACCCACCTCAGGAAGTAATGCCCTGAAGGCTGTGGCAAGATAATCTTGTAGGCCGAGCAAGTGTGATGACCGTGTACCTCAAGTGCGCAGCCACTTGAGACTTAACCAGGGTGGTGGTTCAGTGTGAAGCTGATTCCTACCTGCTTCGTTACGGGGCTTGCGAAGGGCGGGGGCTGGGAGTGATCACAAAGTCAACCTCGCCCCAGTGCAGTGCAGACATACACACACTATTGGATGGCGCGCGAATCTTTGTTCTACTCTTTATCGAACCGGGGACTATGTTCGCGACGACTATGAGTCATTTTGATGCAAGAATGCAGCTCCAGCCACACATTTGCGAGAAAGTTCTGCCCTCAACTGCGATACGTGACGGAACGGTTAAACGGGATGGCTTAACGAAAAGTTTGCTTGCTGATCAATGCGTTTGACCGCTAGCTTAGAGGCGACCCCGCTTGGACCGGCCACTCCATAAGGTTCGCGAACTGCGCATCGACGGAAGCACGGAGGAGGTCGTGGAGTTTGACAATCTCGCCCTCGAAGGATCGATGCAGGAACCAGGTGTCGATCAGGGTGTTGAGAACATAGAACTGAGCGAGGATCACCATAGCATAGCGCCAGATCGAGCTCTCTTGATCGGTGCTCGCCAGGATGGTGAAGAACTCGGCGGGGATCTCCATCGGCACATTATCGTCACCATCGTCTATATAATATCATGATCATTCACCACTCACCCACCCCCCAAATCAACTTCATATGCCTGGTTGAGGATGCGATGGGCACCGAAACGTCTCTGCTCCGGTAAGAAGCATTTCTCCATAGTGTGTTTGATAAGTTGCCGGTGCTAGCTATGATGGTCTTTTTTGCGCAATGCGGTGCATTCTAGCAGTTCTCATAGCGGATAATGAGAACTAGAGGGTTGGGATCATAACGGTCGATGTTAGGGATGAGCCTTAGAATGGGCAGGGGTCTTTATGCGTGAGCGAGACGTAGCTCCAAGACTTGATGGTATGGTTCTGGCGCTTTGGGGAACGGTTTGCTTGAACTGGAACTTGTATTTGATACAGTGCTTAACTTTTAGGTCTCTTGACTGTTAAACGATTTAGCTGATGCAGCTGCAGGTACAGCTGCAGGTACATTGTTGATTGGTGTGGAGCTCTTCCCCCATACGGATATGGGTGGTCCGAGACCACTTTTCTGTTCCTATATAACTCACTCCATGTAGTGGATGGAGTGTCTGTCAATAAATGTCATATTGTCATCGACAGTGACTAAAGCTTAAGAACAAGCAGGCCGCTTGTTGCTATCGCTCTACATAGCTTACCATTACGTGTGGTAGGAGGATAGAGAATAAGGCCACGGCTGTCTGCAGTAAGGGCAGTTGGGCATGAGGTCTCTTTCATACAGTTCCTCATGCCACGAATTAATGCAGCGGAAACAGAAATTATGGCCACACTGCGATTTGCACCAGACGGGTCGCTTCCCAAGCCTTCCGCGACAGATCGAGCACTCGGTCTCCTCGGTACGCCGCGGGATGGGTGGCTTTTCTACGTCCAGCCGTGCGACGTCTTCGGGCTTCAAGGCGGCGCGTATCAAGGCTTCAATGGCGGCTCGCGCGCTGCGGCTGGTCACCTGCGCCAGCTCTTTGGCAATGACTTTGGCTCGGGCCCGATCGTAGACACAATACCGCCGGCGCGAATCGTTCAGTTTCCGGAGCCCCTCTCGCCTCGCTCGGTCGAGGGAATTGCGCATATAGGCCCACGTGAAGCAGATATGCTCGAGCATCTCCCGGACCTCATCAACGAGCCAGTCCTCATCCATGTCGTGCACGACGTCCACGACCTCCGAGCAGAAATGCAGAAACTTGGGGATATCATGCTCTTCGAACTCGAAGATCCGGTGTTTCGAGTCTTTCGCCCTCTCATGCAGCAACTGCACGAACAACCGCTGCATGTCCACGGCCAGCAGGTCGAGATGGAATGCCTCGGAAGGCATTGCCTCTTCGGGCTGTACATTGAGGTTGCGATATCTTCCCTGCAAGGGCATGGTTGGCTCAAAGCAATGGAGACAGTGAATTTACGCTACGAGACGAGTTGAGTTCCCTCAAGTCGACGTGGCGGGGCTGTTTCTCACTATCACGGTCAGGTTGAAAGTATTTATTCTGAGCTGCGAACATCGATAACCCACTGTTTGATCAGTTTCCCACTGAGCATCTTTGTCTAGATGACGCATTTCTCCGTCTATTCTTTGACGCGGCAGTCTCATCCGAGGTCCCTTGAACAAGGGAAGTAGGGGGTTCTCTCTAGAAAGGCCGGGGTTTCACTCTTGTCTTTGCTTCTCTGTCTCACCTCACTCCATTCGGGCAAAATAGCAAAGGCCATGTTGTGGTATGCTTGCTTTTATATGCTTTAGTATTCCAGACACGTAATGATGGGGAGTCCACCTTCCCAACTTTCTTCTCAAGCCTCCTTCCCCAGCCTCCTTCCCCCTTTCCCACCCAAAACAACAACTAAAGAAACTAAAGCATCAAGAGGTCTCCAAGATCGCTGCTTTCGAAAGATCTCGTCTGATTCACACATTTCATTGCTCCTACATTTCTTGCGGCTTCTGAGTGCTCGTGTTGAGAGCCCAGGCGTATGCGCCCCTCACCCTTATAAAGCTTATCGTCCCGAACAGCTGGTCAATGTGGACCGAGACTGGGGTTGGTGGCTGGGAAGACTTACATTCTTCCTTTGTTTCCATACTATGTGTCCACACGGTAACTCGGTCAGGTCAGAATTCGAAAGACAAACTTCCGGGAAATACGATGTATCCGTTGTAACCAGGATTCATTGTTCGTCACCATCTCATAAATTCGCAGCATTCGTCGGAGAAGTCAAGGGGATGCCTTTGGTCAACATCTATCTACTCACATTCTACACTCTTCTCAACGACACGATGTGTCCTAGAGTTGAATCATGTCTCCGGGTTTCTCTGCCGATTTGAGCCCCGTAGAACTCATTGAGGAATACAGTCGAATGCTCCCAAGTGCTACAACAACACTCAGCCATGATTACGACTATCCCCCTCCCCCAGGCTCTAAGCAACGGGACTGGAAGTCTTACCCTTTGAGATCTGCCTACATAACATCTCTTCTTGTTCTTGAAATCGCAACCGTTCTGACGTTATCGATCCTCCTCGCCATTTCAGAGAGCCGTAATGGCCTACTGTCCGTTCAACACTTACTGGGCCCAGACAAGAGCCCCGGCGGGATGCTGCAGAACCTTTGGAGTGCAGCATATCTGTGGACTACCTTGCCCAATGCCTTTTTCACGCTGTCCCGGGACCTCTGGGCCTCGGTGGTAGATGCAGCGTCCAAGCAACAACCGTATGTTGAGTTACGCAAGGGAAACAAGAACCAAATATTATTATCTACGGAACGAGTTTTCGAGGCCATTTATGCTGTAGCGAACGACGGATTGCGGTTCCCTCGCTCGGTGGTGGACAACGATGAGCCGCCCTCGATCCCAGGAATCCTCTCTACCCTAGATACGCGACTGTTCGTGGTCCCTGAGACGGCGTACTACATCATTGTGATATTGTTCTTCACTGCCGTATGCAACGTTATGTTGCATTATTATCACCGGCGTCACCGGTCGGTACTATGGGAAGAGCCCGTCGGGCTGCTGAGAGCCGCGGAGTTGCTCTACGGGGGAAATACGAGCAGATTCATTGCCCGGGTCAGGGCGCACCATCCGGCTGCCACCCGGATCGTGAAGCTCGCCCTCAATGACCCCGCCTATGCCTTGTACACGGCTGCAGTGGATGAGAGGGGGAAGCTGATGGTTTCTGCGTCTGGTCGAGATCTGGATGATATGATGTGGAATTATAAGCCTGCTTCGGGATACTCTGTGTGAGTTGGTTACCGGTGCTCCGCCTGATTCAAGCAACAAATAGGAGCTAGTCTGGAGGATTAGGATTGATAAGAGTACGATAAGTTGAGTGGACAGTTCTACCAGCGTCTGCCTGGATTGGTTGAGGATGGATAGGACAATAAATCCGCTTAGTGAATCCACTTAGTCTACTCTTGCCCTCACGGCACCACTCCATGTTCAAAACTACTCGGGCAGGTAGCACAGGTACTGTACATGAGAATCAATCTATTTTGCGGGCCCAAGTCCAAGCTAGTGGTCGATGGAGTCGCTGCATGCCGATCTGATGGTCGGCATTAGTCTCGGGTGACCAGCAACTGACAGTCACAATCCCACTTACTATGTATAATACACGCGTGCAATACAGCCACAATGGGTGAATATTCCACCCAGCTACGCGTTAAGTCTATTGTAAGTGGATACTATGGTCGTTACCTGCAGTAAGTTCAGTACGTATGATGCAGCCTGCGCAATGGCCGCTACCCTGGATCGTCATGAGCGACCAATTAAGGGCGACGGCCGGACTGACACATGGGCTGGCTCATCTAAGCATGACGCTATTCCCGGACCCCCTTCCCGTTCGCCCTCAAAAATGGGAAAGGATTGGTAAGGATTGGGGCTGACTTCATAATCTTGGGAGTGGGAGTTTAACATACGGAGGCCCGCCCTGGAAATTATCTCGTTATGACATCATCGTTGCCACGGAGCCGCAGTATAAAATACTCCCCACAAACGCAGCCCTATCCCAGTCAAGCCACTTTGATTTATTATCTCCAAAATTGTGACCAAACTCAGCAAGCACGCATTGAGTTCTTGCAAATTACAACTCTCCTCACAAACCTCCACGAAGAACTTCGCAAACTCAAGCCACACATCGCGGACCCAGCCAATTATCCTACATTATCGATAAGCCCAAAGCGTAACCCACCACCAACCAACCACGATGTCATACAACTCGTCCCAAACCTCCTACTTCGAATCCTCGTCCTCATACTCCTCGGCTTCCTCCTCGTCGAGCGACCAGAACCAACAGCAACAACCACCAAAAACCCACGAATCCGGCCACCGCGCGGCCTTCGCCTCGCACACCGACCCGGAGGGCAACACCACCGTCCGCACCGGCCACCAGAATTTGGGTGAGGAGCCCGTCCTCAAGGAGAAGCGCTTCAGTACCTCGGGCCGGGAGCGCGAGATGATGTTGGCGGCTGGCACCCCCATGGGCGGGGTCAACCGCATCCAGGATCTGAATGAGTCGACGGGAGATACCTACTAGTTTCCCGGTGTCTTCCTCTTCCTCAGTGGGGTGGTGAATGTGTTTTTCGGGGGTGGTTTGTATCCGTGAGGTGGTAATTTTTTTTGCTGGATATGAGACACGTTCCCTGCTGCACTGATTTGAGTGAACTTGATGCTAAGTTTATTGATGAATATATGATATGAATTTATGGCTGGGATTTTTCTTTTGGTGTGGTGCGGGTGTTGTTGGTATATCATCTCTGGGTTTTCTTTGTCTGTGCTATGTGGTTGGATGGATGGCTAGATAGGGCTTTTTCTCTCGGGATAATATCGATTATGATTATTGGGAGAGTTATGAGACGATACTGGTTTTTCTTTGTAGTGATTTGATTCATCTGGAGTAGGTCTTATCTTGTAAGCATTCTTCCAGAAAGGACCCTGTATACACATGCACTTCTATGCCGCTATCTACTATATCTCCCAACTTCTAACCACAATCCCACACCACACACCCCAACAAGGCAATCACTCCAACCAACCCCCCACCACTCCCCCCAAACTCTCCCACAACCACCCATCCCCCAATCCCACAGGGGTATCAAACCCATGGCCCCCCTCCCTGACCGTGACCACCACCTTCCCCGCATCCTCAGCCCGCAAAACCATCTTCGCTTTGGCCACGAACCGTACACTATCCTCCACAGGCACAACCTCATCCTCCCGCCCATGCAAGATCGCGATCCCGCCCCGCGGGATGCTGATGGAAGAATCGTCCAGCCTCTCCATTGGATACCGCAGGCTCCGCTCGGGGTCGTGGGCCGGGTCGACGCCGCGCGCGAACATCTCGGCGATCCGGCCTGTGCGCATCGCCGCGTTCATCAGGTCGAGGCGGTCCGGGAGGTCGGTGAAGGTGCGGACGGGGCTGCGGTGCTGGGTGGCGAGGGTGAGGGTTTTGTTGAGGAGGTGGTGCATTTCTTCTTCTTCTTCTGTTGAGACAGAAGAACCGGTGGCACCGTGTGGTACTCCCTCCCCATTGCTCAGTCTGCTCAGCCCGCTCTCCCTTTCCTCATCTCCCCGGGCCACCAGGGAAGATACTGCCTCCGCCTCCTCCTCCTCCTCCTCCTCCTCTGCTGGTGCTGCTGCTCCCCCCGCTGCCGCCGACACGAAAGAAGACGCCAACCCCAAAAACGCAGGATACCCCACCACCGCGCCGCGGATCTGCTCCGGGAACCGCAGCGCCAGACAGAGACTCAGATACCCGCCGGCGGATCCGCCGGCCACAAGGACGCGGGAGCGGTCGATTGCGAGCCTCCCCGATGCATTTGGAGGTGAAGGGATGTTGGCGAGCAGCGCGGGCACGGCGGGGGAGGAGTGCACCCAGGCCCAGAAGTCGAGGACATCATCGAAGACCTCGTGGATGGTGGCTTCGGGCAGCAGACGGTAGTTCGGGGCGAGGAGCACGGCGGGCGTGCTTTGGGCCAGCTCGAGGAGGTAGCTTGGGAACCAGTCGAGGTAGAGGGAGGAGCCGCAGACCTTTTTTGTTAGTTTTCCTTCGTGGGGAGGGGGTTGTTGGGTTGGGGGCTGGGGGCTGGGAGCTGGGAACGTACTAGGCCTCCGCCGTGGAAGTAGATGATTATCGGGAGAGGTTTGGGTTTTGGGGGGTGAGGGATGGTCTTTGGGATGAGGATGTCTGTTTGGATTTGTTGGGTGGTGTTGTTGTTGTCCACAAAAGTTTTGTAGGGGGCTTGGAGGTGGTGGAATGGTAGGAGGCGGGGATCGGGATCTTGTGACATCGTTGTTGTTTATTTTACTTGAATGCTGGGAGGAGCGCGAATGTTTGGTCAGGGGGTGCGGTTGTTATTTCGGAGTGTTGAGGCTACAGGCTACTTTTATACATTGTTTATGTGCTCGACAGTCCTGGAGATCAGGCTAAACATCCGGCCATCTTGTATACATTCGGGTGTCGGGCTTAATTCCGGGTTGTAGACCGGGATGCAAAGGATGCAAACCCCCATCCTTCGATTAGCCTCGTCTTGACTCGAAACCATTGGCGGGATATCACTCAAGTAGATTGCATGGCTGCAGCTTACTGACTGGAGTCAAATGTTGTAAACGCTGCAAACATCGGCCTTGAGATTCGGTGTCCGGTATTCCCTAGGCGTGACAGTCACTACATCTTCTTTCAGCTAAGATATCAAGTGCTGACTATGACTACCTCTCTGGATGTCTAACACTTCCAATCACAAGGAATCTTATTGCTAGCAGACAGGGGATATAGATCATCAAACATACGCAAAAGTAAACGACATGACTCCAGTCAGCAACTCTCACCCATCGACTCGGTTCAGGCACCGACGCCGTGCTGAGGACAGGCTTTGTCATTCCTAACTCTCTTTCAGGCTTGACCCACGCTAACCCTCCAGACCCCAAGACCTCCCCTTAATGACAGTCGAATGCAACTTGGCAGCACTCCCAATCCCCCAGCCCTGAACACGCTCGGCAGTACATCTTCTTGCCCAGATCCGTCTTCCGCCCCGCATACATGAATGACCCGTCCGGGATCCTGCCCCCGCCGGTGATCGACAACTCCACCGTGTACGGAAGCAGCGAGTAGACAGACCATTTGCCCGTGTCGCTGTCGAAGGGTCGCGCCCCGAGTCCGCGGCAGTATCGATCGTAGACAAACGCCTGGCGGATCTTGGTCCCGGACGACGGGATGTAGCTCGCAATCCCCAGGTTGCAGTAGCCGGAGCCCGTGCCGGAGCACATGGCGGGGAAGTGGTCTGGAATGTCAACGAGGGGCAAGTGGGTGGCTGCGTCGATGAAATGGGCGAGATCTGTTGGGGCAGCTGCCAACAGGCCAAAGAAGGAAAAGAAGAGAACGAGGGTGGTAAGGGGCTTCATCTCGGGGGGGGTTTCGGATCGATTGAGTATAGACTGTCAGCGTGTTGGCAGATGGGAGGTATCCTTCGTTGAGTAGAGAATGGTCTGGGGCGACTCAGTCAGTCAGCCCTGGAGAACGGGCACGTATTTATATAACCACCCTCCGTGCCATGTTTCTGTTGCCTAACCCTTCTCATGCATACGATTGCGATATGGTCCAGCCACCTGGTCATGTCGGTATATTCGCCGGGTAGGGCCCTTTGATGGCCGTGCCCCTAGCCCCAGTACAAACGAGACAGCGAAAATATGCACCCGTGCCAGGGAACAGAGTAGCTGTTATGAGTCGAAACACCATTGGAGGCAGTGTGTCATGGTTTGGAGAGGTTGCACCACTGCGGCCGGGTTAGCTAATCTGCAGATGATTGTGACATGGGTCTGCCAACCAGACTGAAGGGTAATGACTCGAGGGGAGGGTGATGACGACAATTCAATCATTTCTGCAGTCGCATTGGATGGATTGTGTATGCCTAATCTGTGCGAAAGTCAGGTCTCGCAGTGGACTTACTTTGACGGTCCTGGACTGGATCCGGGGTATCCATGCCAATCTGCCGTGCATATACGGACTCAGATCTCGGTAACTCCGGAGGTGGAAACATCCGAATTGATGATGGATTGTTTGACTCGGTCACGCGTGGATTTGTGATTGGATTGGAGGTGGAGGTGAAGTGCAGCAGTGCCGGTCTTTATTCGGCAGGTGTTGTCCGACTGTAAGTGCACAAGCTCACTTCACTGCCACACCTATTTCTGCAGTTGATCTTGCCTTTCATTCCGTATCTTCATTCTTAACGGATACACTGATTATACTAAGGCTGCTTCTAGTGGCTGATTTTGTTGAGATGAGAGTGTTGGTGGACAATGCTGGGCTTTGGAAATGTGTGGCCCCGTAGTATTTGAGTTGGAACTATAAAGGGAAAGAGCTGGGGAACAGGTGACTTCAACTTCCTTGAGTGTACATATTCTCTCCTACTAATCCTCCATCTACGATTATTCCTCAATCATTCCCCATCTCTCAGTCTGTCATTGATCGCTGCTGCAATCCATGATATGCTCTTCTTCAACTGCAAAACACCCACAGTGCAGCTTACACTCTGCCCACAACACCGCAGCAAACGCCCCTACAAGCACTATTGACGCATAACCTTTTGGTCCGCAGCTGGTGAAATCCTGCTTATCTACTACATGCTTCATACTCTACTATTCTTGCTATATCCTTTGAAGCACAACGAAGTTCGCTCAGGCATCACTATCTCAAGAACGCCTCCAGAGCCGCATCGGGGATGTTGCCCACTCCTTGATATGCATTGTCCCTAGCCTCCGCATGAACTGACATTCACCGGTAGTGTATGAGGCCCAAGTCGAACATCACTCCCAATGTTTTCAATAAGCTGACGGGCTTTATCCAGCACTCTGGCATTCACCACCGTCGCTCCAGTACTTCTCGAGGTCTCCCTTAGCCCGCTATCGCACACCCTCAAGCTCTGTTGTATCAGGTCAATTTGCCGGCTTAGCAGACTTAGTACCTGATCAACATCCGTCCGTGTGATGCTGGAAGTCTCAGAGGGAGTTGGCAAGGATTGAATTGCCATCTGCAGGCCTTGTATCTCACCGGCGAACTCGCTCATCGATGTGACAATTCTTCTTTCCAGAGTCCGCAGTGCGTCCTGGTTTTGCCGGGCGCTTCGACTGGCGGTTGAAGACGCCTCATCAGCACCGAGCATTGGTCAACGTGGTTCGGACTCACAGTGTTGCCATGTTGATAGCAATATCAAGAGTTTCTCTGTCCTACTGCAGTCCATTCTTCAGACTTGCAATCTCCCGCCTCTCCAGATGCAAGCGACCTCGATCCCGCCAGCTGACCTAGTCTTCATCCGAGTGAGATGTCAGTTCTCGAGATGCTCCATCTCGGCATATGCTGCCAATGATTCTCGGCAATTCGTCGGTACGGCCGAAAATGTCAACTTCTATGGCGAGTTGCCCGACCAGTTCCATCACTATCCCAGCTAAATCAATCACAGGTAATACAACCCAGTTACTTGAGGATTCACACTTACCATATGTGAAGGACGCGCGCTTCAACTCAATCGCTGATAGTGAAGAGTCCCCCTACTGCCTCGAAAACACGCGCGTGCAGATCCTTGAGGGCATTGACCATTGGGCCAATGATCGCGATGGTCCCTGCATCTTTTGGATGAGTGGCTTGGCTGGCACAGGGAAGTCGACGATAGCCCGCACGGTAGCTCGTAAATATGATGACGAACATCGACTTGGGGCCAGCTTCTTTTTCTCCGTCCTCCATAGTGACACCAAGCGCACGACGAGCTTTGTCACTATAATTGCGCGGCAGTTGGCGGACGCTAATCCTTCTCTGCGTGATGAGATCAAGCTTGGAGGGTCCTCGACCCAAGTTGACTCTGGGGGACAATGAATGGATCCTCGCGGGGGCTCAGAGGCTGCTTCGACTGCCACCCGAATACACCAACTTGGAGGGCGCCGCCGCGTTCGAGAATATCATTGCGATCGCGTACGGTGCTGCCAATGTCTTGATTTTTCATTTCCGCAGCGAGTTGTTATAGGTGTTGTACTTTGTACTTTACTCTATCTTCCAGCTGAAGGATCTTCATTTTCGTTCTGGGGAGCTACATTACCTGCGTTGGGCTATTCGTAGAGGACTTGATATACTCTTCCCTGCAATTTGCTCTCACTCATCAGTGTATATTGCATCGCCACTTGGGGAATTATGGCAGTAGGCGCCATGGAATGGAATGTGTAAACCAGGTGCGCTCAGATTGACGCGCAGCGTAGTGGTAATCTGAGCATTGCATGCCTCAAACTGTGACGACTTGTCCCTCTCCTCTCAGTATCATCAAACAACTTCGAGTAGACTCCTTCAGATCGCACGCCCTATCGAGAATCAAAGTAGAACCATCGATATGACTGCATAGTTTTTGTGTTCAGCGAAACGCCAGAATACATGTTTTCGCACCCCTTGGATTCAGTCAGTACCCATCTTCCATGCCCACAGGAACATCCAGATAAGAACCAGGCAGTAACCAAGACTCCTCACTGGTAAACGCACAGAAAGCGTAGAACCACAACCAACAATCATTAACTTGTTCCTCGGGCAGAGAATCAATTCCACGGTGGGCAGTCTGATGTATGCCTCTGGGAGACCAGATATTCACCCCACCACCCCAACCCATAAACAAACCAATCCTCAAGTGTCAGCATCAGAAACTGTATTATGATCACGCTCCAATTCACCTGCGTTAGCTATCCCTAAGAGTATTCACTACCTAACACATAAAACGTCTGCAAAGTTTGCTATAACATATCCCTCTTCGTCTCTGTGGGGATTTCTTTGTGCCTTTCCTACTGCCTCGCCCTCTCTCTTACAACACAACACAACACAACACAACACTACCTCGTCCCTCACCTAAATAGCTATTTCGCTCTCTTCCTCTCAATCTGTCTCGCTAGCAACAGTATCAGGGCCACAGAGTTGGTCGTCTAGACCAACTCCCACACCATGCCACACCCGGAAGAGAAACACAAGGAAGGATGCAAGGCGCTCGCAGGATCGAGGTAAGAGAAACGACAACACAACTGCAATTGCTACATAAAGAGTCTAAAGCATAATAACCACAGATCCTCGCATCCCCTCAAACACTCGAACAACCAGACCCCTCATCAGCTCCCACCCTCACCCTCTACGACTGCAAGCGACCAGAAGACAGCCCCCAGCCAGGTAGAGTACACCGACGAAGCGATGCGCACCGCGCTCTCCGCCTTGAACCCCAAGACCCCAACCCCAACCCCAACACCGACACCAACACCAACAGCCACGCCACTCGAGGTCCTAGACGCGGAACTCCGCACCTTCTTCGGCGGGGGCATCCAGGCCGCCTCGAACCGGATCACGGCGCTGCGCCGGGCGGTGCTGCGCGGCGAGACCGCCGTCGACCTGCGGCCGCGGGCGTCAGCGTCAGCATCAGCGTCAGCGTCTCCGTACCCCCCACACCGAATCCTGAAGCCGCCGCGCCCGTCGCTCTGGCATCTGTCGTACGTGGCGGCGACGCTGGTGCTGCTGCTGGCCAGCCCGGCGGACGGGGAGGCGACGCTCGCGGCGCTGAAGTGGCAGTCGCAGGCGTTGGCGGGGCTGCCGACGATGGTGGATGTGTGGAAGACGGCGTCGGCGGACCTGGGGAAGCGGTTCGCGCAGGCCAAGAAGGCCGCGATCGACGGCAGGGTCGCCACGGTGACGGTGCTGGGCGTGGATCTGGTGGACGTGGAGCTGCTGGACCGCGGGGAGATCCAGAACCGCGACACGGATTATACCTCCTTCGCGCATACCTTTGTGTTGGCGGTGGGGCGGGAAGGCTTTCGGGTCTACCAGGCGTGGCGCGCGCGGGGCCATCGGTTCGACCAGTACTTGGTGAATGATGGGTCGAGGCTTCGCTCGTGGGCCGAGTCGAAGTCCTTCCTCCGAAGCTTCGGCAGGCTCTGTCGGTCTCAGGTATGTATTCTGAAGATCAAAGAGGCGATGAAAGAAATGGGGTTCTGACGCTAGCGCAGAAGAAATGGTCGCCGGAGTTGAACAGTGCGTATGCAGAGTGTTTTGGCATTGATCTGGACTCGATCTGTGGGGACGGACGGCCGAAGCTTCCTATTGTCCCTGTTTACCGGCCCTGGGTGAGAATCTTCGAAATCAACGACGTCAAGGCCGAACATATCAGGAAGTTTACATGGCATGGCAGCCCTCAGATGGGATGAATGGTGTCTTGCTCAAACATGTTGATTTCTTGGTTACGAAGGTAGCCTCACGTGTTTGTCAACAGTATCTAATTTGGTCGTCGAATCTCTCGCCGCTGCACCTTCAGCTTGACGGCGGTTGGTTTGTAGAACCAATAGTCTTTTGTTTCAAGGCAGGGTTGGGATGGTGAATCAAGCTCTAGATAGAAGGACCGGAGGATCTGTGGTATGACTTTGTATAACTCGCACATTGCCATCTTCGAGATCAATTAGTACCAACGTCACCGCATAATAATTTGATGTCAAGTGAGCTTACATGCTTTCCCAAGCAAGTTCTAGACCCTGCACCGAACTGCACCAGACTTTAGTTCATATACTCCAAGTTTTCATCGCTTTGCAGAATTCTCACATGCAGAATATATTGTCCCAGTCGATCAGCCCCCGGACGCATCCACCGTTCTGGACAGAACTCGTCTGCATCCTCCCCGAACACAGATGGGTCCGATTGCACAATAGGAGCATTCGCACCAATCCGTGTGCCGCCGGGAATCTTGTAGCCAGATACTATTCGTTCTTCGTTGGCTGTTTGACGGGGCAGTGTCAACGCTGTGGTTGGGTGAACTCGCATGCCCTCTTTGATACATGCGCTCAGAAAGGGTAGTTTCACAGCCTCGTTGTAGGCAATATGCGAAGCCCCCAGTTCTCCCTTGGCAGTCGCCATATCGATCTCCTCGAGCACAGCCTGATAGATCCGCCGATCTTTTACGATGTGAAACATGGTAGTCGCCATTGTAATAGCTGTAGTATCGCTTCCACCGAAGCTGCGCATTTATTAGTGGTCAATGCGCACTGGGTTCGACGGCGAGGACATACAAGGCAAGGAAAGCCTCCATTTTCACATCCGTTACCTCAAAATCAAGGGACTTTCCTTTGTTGTAATAAATATCGAAGATCCGCGTGAGAATGTCAGAATGGCCAGAACGTCCTTCTGCCTTCTTCGCTTCACTTATGCGGTCTTCTACCACAATATCGGCTGCTTTTGTGAGATGGTCAAGCGCCCCGAAGGCTTTCCTTATCCGGCCGAACATGAACCCCACGAGCATGAAGATTGGACGTATATAAGAAGGCATGACACCAGCGAGGGCCATGACTGGAATGAGGACGTCGGTGGCTGCTAGGTAGCCCAGGTGGTCGTGTCCATTCTGGAGGAACCCGAACATTCGACCAAAGTAAAACTCCCCGACTGCATCGTATGCATACCTGCCGCATGGCTTGAGTTAAGCTTTGCGTGGTATTTTAGCTTGAGAACTTACATTCGAGCCCACCGGAAGAAATCGACCGTCGCCTCTTGTTGGGCGAGCTCCGCGAAGCGCTCGAGTAGAATATCGGTGCACTTGTCTACGTACTTCTCTGCCTGGAGCACATTTGACATTGAGTAGGCATGATTCACGATTCGTCGCCTGCGGGCGTGCAGCTGTTCGTCGGTAGCTGAGAAATGGTCTGGATATCGTGCTAGAAGAGCGTCAGCGTCGTGGTATCGAATGTGTCAGAGTAAAACTCACCCCAAGGAGGACGAAAAGCCAAGTAGAAGTCGGTCTATATAGTCAGGGCGGCCTTTTCTTTATCCTTCGGGAGGCAAGCTACACAGAACCGTATACTCACTTTTTTAGACCCCGAGTTGGCACCGTATATAGCCTTCAAGGATCGGGCGTCATTCATGATGAGCTCGTTTGGTGCTATGCGAACAATCGGTCCTGGAGGACGTCAGAATAATCGTACGGGGCAGAGCAATGTAGTGTTCTCCAAACGTACCGTATCTGCGATGCAGCTCCTTTTGCTCAATCACTGTCTTGCCACGGGCAACGTGCAGGACGACCCATAGTCGGGAAATTGAGGCCAACGGAGGTCCAGGGAACCTGGCCAAGGGATGGAGCCACCTGGCATAAAGTATCCAACCGCCATAATAGACTGCAAGCAGTATCCCCAGATTTTTGATCGTAGCAGATGGAATCATTATGAGTTGACCACGGTTTCGTTGTTTTCGAAAGCGTGCCGGGGGCTAGCCGGGGTTTATATGCATGTAGGCAACCCATCATTATCTGTGGTGCTGTGCGTCTAGTCATTTGTGCGCCGGTCGACCTCAAATGGCGTCTTGCAGCAGCTAGCGAGCTTTGGTCGAGGAGCTATCATGGTTTCGACGTCACAATGCTGGGGTCAGGGATTGTAGTCCGCCCTAAGAGCCACCAAGTGGAGATGTCAGCTTTGTAGCGCCAATAGTGACAGATCCGAGATCAAACGGTCTTCGAGCGAGACAGCGACCTCTCGACGGTGCTGGTGACCCTTGTTCGTCTTTGCTTAGTCCACTCAGCAGCCATTGGCTAGTCTTATCATCGTGTCACTAATTATCTCTCGGTTCTGGTCAGACGGCACCAACAGGGATGTCGCAAGTTGTTGTTTAGGAAGACAGACAAGCTGGCTTTGTTATTGGGAAGGTGAAGGTGAACAGATGACAGAGAAAGGGAGCCCATGTGCTTGTTTGGCGGACTTGGGGGCGTGCCTTTATTAGCCCGCAATCGCTCAGTCGCACTGGCCATTATGGATGTGTACGGAGTACGTCCTCGGGCTTACTGTACTGTACTACATTCAGTGGCAAAAGCCTCGCTTTCGAGCAGATGATCGCGGTTATGACCATAGCAAATTGTACAGTACAGTAAGGAATAAAGCTCATTAGTCAATGATGAAAGAATATCGGATTTCGGAAGAGACGCCTGTCTTTATGACAGCCATGCATAGTTCTCCGACTTCTCCGCATCCGCCACCGCAACCAGCCCTCCGCTTGTTATCTTATCGCAATCAGTCAATCAATCCACCTCTTCCCCTGACTACATCCAACATCCAACTCTTCACCACCTTATCCAACACCAACCACCCAGACTCCACTCCATCCAGAATGGAAACCTCCCTCCCCCTCCCACCAGCCGCTACCCCAGCCGACCAACCGCCGGTCCTCAACTACATCCTCTCCTTCCTCCTCGTCGGGGTAGCCTGGGGCTTCACGACCCCCTTCATCCGCCGCGCGGCCGCCGACTTCAACGCGCGCCAGGAGGCGCGAACGGGGGTATCGCAAGACGAGCACGACCCTACAGCTACCCAACCCCCAACCACCTACAACAACAACAATGCGCCCGAAAGCGACAACGAAACCGTACCCCTGAACCCAATGCTTCCCTCCGACGAACGCAACCACCCGTCACCTGACAACAACGACAACGACAGCGCCAGCGAAACCGACCTCCCCCCACCCCCACCCTCCCAACAACCCGTCTGGATGCGCCAGCAGTCCCAAAAATCCTGGCTCCGGACGAAAATCGTCGTCGTGCTCGGGACGGTGGTCAACCTCCTGCGGACGCCGGCGTACTCGGTGCCGTTGGTGGTGAACCTGACGGGGAGTATTTGGTTCTTTCTGTTGGTGGGGAAGCATGGTATGTTGCGCCCGCTCGCAGATCATCGAGGAGGGACCTGGGGATCCAAAGGGAAAAATCACTGACAAACTCCGTTTTCGGTGGATAGAGCTCTCCCTCACCGTGCCGTTGGCCAATTCGAGCGCGTTCCTGTTCACGGTGCTGGGCGAGTGGTACGTGGAGCGGAAGGTGATCGCGCGGGAGACGTGGGTGGGGATGGCGTTGGTGTTGGCGGGGATTGCGATTTGCGTGGTGTCGAAGTCATAGGGTTGGTTTGGTGTGCTTGAGTGGAATTATCAATCTGGAATTGAGTATGCACTGGGTAAAAGGAGATAGATGTGGTGTAGGATTGTGTTGCTGGAAATGTCCGTGGTAGTTCTGAATTGAACGGAACAAAAAAGTAAGCATTGCATCATCCGTGAATCGAACACGGGCCTCATCGATGGCAACGATGAATTCTACCACTAGACCAATGATGCTTGTTCATGTTGGAGTCAGTTAACTTTGACAACATATACCATTGCACTCTCATACATGGAATAGACTGTACATACCGCAATCAACTGCAGGTAAACAGGTACACCGGCACTGATCAATGCATGCTGGACAAGTCTAGACATCAACGTCATCTCAATCAAGTAAGATGATCTACACATGAGTACATTAGATCCCTCTACTCGCCAAAGCATCAAGCAGCAAAGCATTAGATTCACCGTCGAGAAAACGATACAACATCCAGTACCATTCGACATTGTATATTTCATCAGACCCTACCACCACCGCCAGCGACATCTAATGGAAACCACCACGGTCCCAACCCAGCCATACATGCTCCTCCTGCAACAACCCCCGCAAACTCAGACGGACAACCCTACTAAACTACTAAACAAGTGCAGCCAGACCAAGAGCGATCCGTGCCTTACCCCGGATTTCCATACCCCGGATTCCTTCCCGCTGGGCGGGCGCATCACCACTCCGCCTCCGACCCAGCCATGCTCATGTCCACCAGACCAGCAGCAGCAGTCACTACCTATCCTCTACTCCACAACCCCAACCACAACCCCAACCAGCTACACATATTGAGTCCATGGATACGTGAAACCTCCACCTCTTCACACTCCCCAACCCCGCCCCACCCAACCCAAGACCTTACCCAGCAACTCATCCTCAACCACAAAGAACCACCTCAAATCCTCCCAAATGGACCTCACCGACCCCGCCCACAACCTAGGAACCTTCCGCACGCGCCCGCGCACCAGCCGCTCCGGCGACCAAGAACTCCCCTGGAAACTGATCATCCCCGGGGTCGACGACAACGACTACGATAAACAAGAACAGGAACAGCAACAGCAACAGCAACCGCAACCGCAACCGCAACCGCACAGCTCCCCCATACTCAAACCCACCGCCACCACCAGAACCACCGGCGGGTCCCACGCCTCATCCACAGAATGGTCCGCCCGCATCACCGGGGAAGTCCTCAGCAGCATCGGCAAGAACAGTATTCTCGTTCCGCCGCGACCATCATCCCAGCAGCAACAGCAGCAGCGCTCGAGATCCGCTCCAGCGCCCGCACCCGCACTGGCACCGGACCTAGATTCAGATGCGGTGTCTCCGAAGTCGAAGAACATACCGGGAGTTGGGCAAGGGCAAGGGCAAGGACATGGACACGGACAAGGGGGAGGAAGAGGGAGAGAAGAAGGAAGTAGCAGGACCACCACGATACCCCTCCTCAACCCCAACCTAGGCCCAGCCCGACCCCTCCCCCGCCGAGGAGGATCTACTACAGACGTCGCCGGCGGCGGCGGTAGCGGTAGCGGCAGGACCCCGTCCCCGCTTCCCCCACCACCTCGCGCGAAAATCGATCTTCCGGGGTTACCTCCGGGGTCGAGCCGAACAGGGTCGATTGCATCCCTGATGCGGGGGAAGGAGCCAGACCCAAAGCAGCAGGCCGAGAAAGCCAGCCCCTCGACGGAGGGTGCAGTTGCAACGCAGCCCGAAACTCCGAGCAGGCACGAGAGCAAGCACGAGGACGAGGAGGCGGAGATCGTGATGTTTAGTACGGCGTATCCGGGGCAGGAGTGGAGGCCGGTGGGGTTTATGGAGGCGTCGGGGTGGGGGATGAGTGATTGATTGACTGAGTGCAGGTGCTTGGGGGGTTGGGAATGGAAACTGGGATCTGGGATCTGGGAACTGGGAGGTTATGGCTAAAGTAATGTAATGAATGGGTGGAGGGTCGGCGCATTCTGGATTACTGGGTTGGCGTGTCATTCTGCTTTGGGGCTTTGGCTTTGTTTGTGTGCCTTGGCTGGGCGTGATCCAGGTTAATCTGGTATAGGGGCTTGATTTGGGATGCATGCATCCAGAAGAATGGTTACTGTGCATACTGTCGTGAACAATTCAGGGAGCGAGTTGGTCTAGTTATCATTGTAGACGCATGATTTCTGTTGCTGCTAAGTAAGGCGTCGTCAGCTCGCTAGCCATACCATACACGCCCAGAGCAACGGAAGCCCAACCTCGAAGGAGTACGGGAGAAGAGTATATAAGTGTATGTGTATGATGTACAGTACAGTGTCTATCCACCACCTTCCGCCAGAAACTATCCCTCGAAAATATTACTCCCCAGCTCCACTCCCATATCCTTGGCCACCCCGCGCATCTGCAACTCGATCTCATCCTCCATCCCCCCGCCCAGCCTCAAGAACTGGCGCACCTTCGTGAACCAGAAGAACAAATCCGTCCCGAACAACACCGCCCGGAACACGAGGTGGCCCCAGGCGCCGCGCAGCCGGGCGGCCACGCCCTCCGGCCGGTCTTCGGCCAGCGCGCGCGAGGCCCACGTGCCCGTGATCTTGACGCGGTTGACGGGACTGCCCAGAAATTGGTTGTTGGCCTGCACGATGCGGAGGTTGCGCCCGATGAAGATCAGCGGGCGCGGCCATTTCTCCTCGTCCCCCAGGATCTGGCGGATCGCGCGGCGCGCCGACTGCTGCATCTCGTAGTGTAGCGTCGCTGGGTCTTCCGGGGACAAGGTGCGCGAGACGGAGCGGTGGGTCGAGAGGTCGCCGCCCCGGTAGGGGCGCATCAGGGTCGCCGACGCGAAGAGGTCGGTGTTCTGGACGCCCCACGAGGAGACTATCTCCGACAGAGTGGTGTTGTCGAAGGTGAGGAGCGCTTTCCAGAACCGCGCGTATTGGTGCCGGAAGGCCGGTTCCATGTGGATGTACAGGCCGTGGTCGATGAGGACGAGCTCCGGGTTGCCCGCAGGGGTCCGTCGGATGAAGATGTTGCCCGGGTGCGGGTCGCAGTGGACGTACCCCCAGAGGAACATCTGCGCGGAGAAGAGGTCGACCATCGTGGTCATGACCTGCTTGAGGGAAAGGCCCAGCCCGCTGTCACTGTAGCCGCCGCGCCAGTGGGTGCGCTCGGGTTTGAGCTGCGTGGCATTGCGATCGAAGTTGGATTTAGGGTTCTGTTGGGCCTTGGTGGAGGGCGGGTCGAGCGGCGTGCCGTGGCAACCGGGGGTGCCTTGACGCCATCCGCCACGCCAGGGTCGCGTGATGGAGTTCTTGTCCCAGAGGCGGACGCCCTCGATCCACTCGGCGGTCATCACCCGCTTCGAGCTGAGCTCGCGGTAGACCTTGGGGATGTACACTCGGTCGCGGAGGCGGGGCTCGCCGGCCACCAACCGCGCCATATTCTCGGAGTTGTCGGCTTCATTCTCAAAGTCCGTCTCCAGGGAGAGTCGCTCGGTGACGTACGGGACCAGGCTGTAGAACGGGATGTCAAAGAGCCGACTGTAGATCCATGTCACCACCCTGCTGCAGTTAGCATGCGGTCAGACTAAGAGCCGTCGAGTGAACCGGAATCATACTTGAACGCCCACAGGTCCCATGTGATCTGCTTGCCGATCTCCCGTTTCTGAATCTTGATCGCCACCTCGCGGCCATCCACCAGACGAGCCCAATGCACCTGCGCCACGCTGGCACTGGCCCGGGCCGTCCGCTCCATGAGGCCCTTACCGGGCTCCCCGGTGAACGAGACCCCGAAGACCTCCTCGACGGAGCGGCCGCCGAAGTCCTCGCGGATGACCTTCTCCACCTCCTTCCAGTCGTTCTGCGGCGCATCGTCGAACATGCGCGCGAACATCTTCTGGAACTCGGGCGGCAGGATGGCGGACTGCATGGCGATCGCCTGACCGATCTTTAGGTACAGGCCGCCATTGTGCCGCAGGAGGTCGGACAGCCGCTCGGCGTTGCGCGTGTGCACGGCGGCGATGGAGCTGGCCAGCGGAGGGTTGGGGCGGAAGTTGATCTTGTAGTCCAGCGCCACGAGGAGGCCCAGGCCGAAGGTGCGCGCCGTGCGGGTCAGGCTGGCGGCGTAGAATTGGTTGTCGACCGCGTAGATCGCCCCGGCGGTGAGGGACAGATAGACGAGGCGACGCAGCCATTTGCGCGTGCGTGTGTAGGTCTTGGCTGGGGTTGGCTTGCCGAGGGAGGCCGGCGAGGGCGGGACGAAGGGCTGGTATCGCCCGGGGTGGACATGGCGGCGGTTGGAGAGGGCTGGGTACCGCCGCGGCGGAGCTGGGAACTGGAAGTAGTGGTGGGCACGCGAGCGGACGAGAGGAGAGGAGGATACAACGGGAGAGCGCAGGAGGCGCAGATAATTGGCTGATGCCATTATACCGAGATTTCCAGCGGAAGAAATGGCATGGCGGGTTGAACAGCGAGTTTGAGAAACAAATGGGTTGAGGTTGAATGAAAAACTGAGGAAAAAGAGATGGCGTTGCAGTGGCAGCTGCAAGAGAGGATGACGTGAGGCGGTCGAGTTGGTCGGGTTGGTCGAGTTAAAGCGGCGGAAGGCCAGGGCGGAGTTAACGCGCTGGCGGAGACGGAGATAAGCCTGATCGGGTCACAGCAAGCAATACTCAGGTGGTATTATTGCATGCATGCATGCAGCAGCAGCAGCAGCAGCAGCAGCTTACTCACATACTGGAATATAGCATGTAACTAGGTACCTCACTGTACAGTACACAACTAGAAACTATACATCTCCCCCATCACCATCATCTCCCCCCCCAATTGCCGACACACCCCGGCATACTCGCGCATCTTGTTGGGAATAATCTCCTCCCAGAGCTGGTTCTTCTGTACCCACTCATACTGGGCTTGACAGACCAGCTCGGAAGCCAAGGGCAGCAACCGGGGCAGGTGAACCAGCGCGGCCCGCACAAAACCCTTTTTGAAGCAAGAGCCGAACGCGGCCAGGGTCTCTCCATCCGCACAGACATCGCGGCCGCCGTCCAGCAGCGGGCCGCATTGACGCTTGAGGAGCGCGGCCACCTTGTCCCCTAGGCGCATCATCGCCGCCTCCTGTTGATCGGGGTGATCCACCCAAGCCAGGAGGCTGCGGACGGCGGGCAGGAAGGTGTGGTTGCGCGTCCAGAGGTCCCAATGCGCGACCGTCGGTCGACAGCCTTGGTCGCAGATCTCATGTTGGAACTGCTCGAGGAGAGCGTGCGGACGACTGGTGAGGGCAACGATGGCCTTGAAGCAGGTGGCGCTGAATTTGGCAGTGACCGGGGAGATAACAAGCATAATCCAGAGGCCAAGACTGAGAAGCCGCATGGTAAACCGGCAATAATGGGTTATACGTGATGTAAGGAGACCGGAGGGGAGATTAAGAGAGAAAAGAGAAGAATGAGTGAACGATGAGAGTCAAGTGAGAGGAAAGGAAGAGAAGTGTGAACACTGAGAAGAGGAGGGGGGAAGAAGGCAAAGAGTGGCAGTGGCAGTGGCAGTGTTTCTCTCTTCTGTCTCTCCCCTGGATGATCGACAAACACCCCCAGTTCTCTTCCCTTCCCTTCCCCCGCATCAATTCTTCCCCCATAGTCCATCCAGCTTCGACCTCCGGCAACCCTCGGACATCATTCGGAGACTCCCATTCCCAAGGCCTCAACGCACCGGCCCTCTGCCTTCCGGACACCAAAGATAGGACCCCTCTCCCCTTTACCCCTCCCTCAAACCTCCTGAGGAGGAAAAACAATGAGAACAAAACCAACAACCTGCATGCTCCTCAATTAATGAACCGAACTGAGCCCTAATCCCCTCACCCCCCACTATCGATTTGATTACCTCCAGCAATCGAACCTCCCATTAAGCAGACCATTGTCCAAATCCAGGTGCTTCTTCAATGTGATAGATCAAGCTTCGATTGTTTAGCTGTCCGTCTAATCTCGACCATTTCTTTCTTACTTTCTCCTTTGCCCGCCACAACCGACAATGCCCGGCCGGAAGAAGATCATCCACAACCAGAGTTCGTGATATTCGCGGTCAGCGCGGGTACACCCGTACAGCAGGAGGGTCCGTGGACAATCCTCGCGGCAATTTGCGAACGAAAACTCTGATACCGATGTATCAATCATATCGATAAATCTGCAGACGATGGTGGTTGCGCATCGCATGCATTGACACTCCCCAGCGCCACCACACTGATTCCGATCATCCCCTCGCAGCAAGACTATTGAACGATAGACGGACCACCCCTCCCCCGTTGTCCTGCAGGTAAGAAATATACCGCGTGCAGATGAGACTGGGACCTGGGACCTCTTTTTGCGATCTGTCGAATCCCGCTCACCTGATCGGGACGGTGCGACTGGAGGAATGCGGGGAGGAGGGAGAGAGCAACTTACTCAATTGAGGAGCCCGAAAGTGCTAGGTCAGAATGGAATGGATGGTGTTGGGGGAGGGGCGGTGTCGGGCTTCTTGTTCTCCCTCGTCGGGGACCTGAGTCAAACAAGGGGGAGGGGGAGGGGGAGGGGGGAAGGCGAGCTCCGATGAGACGGAAGAATGGGGCCATGGCTGGGGAGAGGAGAGAGGGGGGGGGGGGCGAAGGCCAGTCCGTCACGGAGCTGATTAGATTGGGTTTGAAGTTAAGGTTCCTCCCTACGGAGCAATAAGGGGCTGGCTAGCATTACAGTTGGCCGAAAGCGTGGGAGGTCCGGTTGTGAGTTCACATTGATTCATTAGAGTTATTCGCTATCCGTAAGTTGTAAAAGTCGACCACTATGCTAATGCCGAAACCGTTCGTACCGGGTGTATATCCCCCCTTGCGTCTGATGCCCGAAACTCCTCGCTAAAACCAACCAAATCCGAAATGATAACATGGAGAGAGATAAGACATGAGAGAGATGAAACAGATAGAGAAGAGAAATGCCAAGTGGCAGTACAAGGAAACGCCTCAAGGAGTGAGATCTAGAATGCTTGTAGTGATGGTGATAATGATGATGATGATGATGATGATGATGATGATGACAAGATGACAAATGAAAAGCCGTCGTCCCGGACAGGGTATTTGCGCTGTGTGTGTGAAGTCTAAAAGAGTAGAGAAAGGCTGAAAATGCGAAGTCAAAAGATCAGAAAAAAGAAGAAGAATGTCGAAGGGAGACGATGATTGGATGAAGGAAAGAAAGGAATGCCCGTCAGGCATGTCGCTGGCGTCGGCGCAGCTCGTCTCGGCTCAAAAAGCGACGAATACGCGAAACAAAGCGGCCGGCAGTGGAGTCTGCGTCAGGGTTAGCGTGGCTCACATGCACCTGGGGTGACAGGTCACACTGGCGGGCGAAACATACCACTGTATCGGCGGCCACTGGGCTTAGACGAAAAATGCTCCGGGGTGGACGGATAAGACATATCGGTCCAGTAGCATGTATCCGGATAGTCTGCGAGGTGGCGGGCCTTGGCCCATGGGTTCTCATCGGATTGCAATTGAAGGGCGACCACATGAGGGTACAGTGATCCCAGTGGGTAGAGGATCTCCTCGGGAGAGCGTTGTCGGTCAATGTCCAGACTCTGGCTGGTCTGTGGAGTATCAGTATGGTGGGGATGGAATGATGAGGCTGGCGTGATACTCACGTAAGGCTCGTAGTTGCTCTTGTAAGTCATGGTGGGTGTGAAGTTGTGAAAGATGTGATTGATGTGATTTGTTGAGAGATCGGTGGTGGGTAGGTAGTATGTGTAGTGGTTCGGCGGATCGTTGTATAGAACGATGTAGAACGGCAGAGGATAGCGATCGATAGATATAGATCTCGCGATTGACGATTGACTGAGAGTCGATCAAGAATGTGATTGCTGAAAGAGAGACACGTTCTCTGAAGAGACTTTGGAACTGGATGGGGACAGGCTCGGGAGAAACCTTGATAGTTATATAACATGCGGCCGAACAGCCGTGCCCTGGTGGAGGTCAGAGGAGATTGTCAGCCACGCCTGGCTGGTTTTAGCTGAAGGTGGGGAGCAGCTGCCACGCATCGACCTGACCCTGGCTAGCCTTGTTGTTTAATTGGCATTTTTGTTTTCGTTCGCTTATCCTGGCAACAATTAGAAAATCCAAACCTTCTTTTCATTTTCCTTTTTCTTAAATCGATGTAATCATGAACTAACCAATCTATTGTTCACCGATGGCTGACAATTTACGAGATCCCAGCCGCGAGGATCACCGACCAGGATAATCCCAGTCGTGCCGGCCGACCAGGAGCCAGGAGTCGATGGATCGCATCGCCGGGCCTGATTTGAATTTAGGTCAGGCATGATCTCATCATCACTTCAGTGGTCGCCAGATCGATTTCAAGGTTAGAGCGAAAACCGGGCGGGAAACCGGGTTAGTCGCAGTTGCCCTGGGCTAATTCAGGTCCGACGGGTTGACGGCGACCGCATTGTCCAGGCTGACTGGCGGACACTCTCAGGAACTAGCTGGCCCTAAGCAGGATAGCTGAGAGCATCTTCATCTGTCGATTTGTGACCATCCAGTCATCGATCGGGAATGGCCGCAGGTGGGACTCCACTCGGTCAGGCACTTGGTTTCGAATCCGGATCCAGTGCGTCAGAGAGCGGGGACTGCAGCACTACTGTTTAGCGTGTTTACACAGTACACAGTAGTGTGTTGCTGCATCGACTGCACGTCTGCTTCGCTCGCAGGCTAAGGAGTAGTCTAGCTGATCGACCGCCAGCATGGCCGAGGTGGCCGGTGGCCGGTGTGTCCGATGGACGGCGATCAAGCCTGTCGCCTGCTTCCCCTTGCATGGAGAAAGCCGGTCAGGTCGGACTATCGTCCACGTTGTGCCGTTCCTGGGGGGTTGCATATGTATGGTGACGCGCCTGTACACACCCTTTTCTTTTTTTTCTTGCTCTTTTATTTTTTTGCTCGCTTGAAGAACAAGGAGAAGTTGGTCAGGGTGGCCAGAGAGTGGGAAGAGGAGGGTTGTGTCACGATTGCGTCGGAGGGTCAGCAGGAGACATGGTGCGGGGGATGGAGACTGTGTGAGAGAGTGTCAGTCAGCAGCGGAGCTGTCACAGATCGGTGGGTGACTATTGATTCCTGCCTGGGAGCCTGTTTTCTCAGGAGGCGGAGGGCGGATGGGACAGGCTGCTTGCTGACTACGGACCTAGTTTACACACACTCACTCCCATCGGCCCGCCCCCCCCCTCTCCACTCCTCCATTTCCATCGCTATTCCTCACCATTCTTCTCTTAGGGACTTAGGCCCTCAGCTAGCTCTTAATACGCAGCGTAATATTAATCTATTTCACTTCCTATGATCCTATCAAAGGTCGGGATAAGCGAATCGCCGCTAATGTCCGTGTTTTCCAAATCCTGGTGTCTCTAGCGCCAGGGAGCTCTCCAGGTTCTCGGGTCTGGATGTATGAATAGATGGATAGACAATGCGAAGGTCTAGATGGGAGCTGCTGACGGGTAGGTAAGCATTGGGTAGACTAACTTATTCGGATACTGAATAGCTAACGCAACAAGGATGCAGCGAGGACGAGAGACCTTACTCACTACATCTTCCCTGTCGACTCTCTGCATGCCTGGTAGCCTCAGGCCTCTAAATAGGGCTGCACAGCCACGCTACTACGGCCCCGCCGGCACCGAACATCTGCGGACTGCGAACAGATCTGTGGCGGTCTGGCGGAGAAGCCCGTGGCTTGACCCTGTCCGTCTCCGCTTAGGGCGTCAATAGTCGGGATAGCTTCACACCCACACTCACACCCACACCCTGAGTCGACCGTCGGCTCTCCACACTTCCCCTGTCATGCGGCCCCTCGCCGTGAGCTTGAGCTTGTTGCATTGATGCTCGGCCTGTTTTCTTTCCCCTTCGGGATGACCATCGGGCTGGCCGCCATCCCCCCTTGTCCCGAGGGGAGGGTCCGAGAAGTATAAGGAGGAGATTCCCTCGTGTCGACTCTCCTCTCAAATCATCCATCGTGCAACACTTCCTCGTTTGCCTCCGTCAGCCAGCACATGTCTACGTCCCATGGCGCTAAGTCCAATTCCCTCCGAAAACGATTATCGGCGAAGCTCTCCGTCAATGGACTGGTCCGATCAGTCGCCCATCGCTTCCCCCGACTGTTTCCCCGCAAGTAAGAAAACCTTTCTATTATGACCTTCCCGAGCACGTCTAAAGTTCACGGCCCCTGGGCCACACAGAATCTCTCTGGCTGGACACCACTGAACTCCAATCCGGTTCTAGACCTGTGAATATGTCCCCAGCAGGCGGCGGGCCATCCACGCCCGCATCGTCTTCATCCACCTCGACGAAATACTCGTCGGCTGTTACGGAATCGCCTGCATCTACTGCTGCTGCTGCTGCTTCAAGACAGCAACAGCAACAGCAACATCACCCCTTGCCGATCCCACCAGACACGGCTGCAGATCCGTCGTCGACTCCGATCGACCTGCTGGACACATGGTATCCGCAGTATCTACGCTGCACGCAGTACTTCCTCGAGCAAGGCCAATTCTCGCCCGCAGTGCTATCGCTAGCTGCGTTTCTGAACATCCGTCTACCGTGCCAGCGGATTGAGCACCAACAAACCTCCTCCTCGGACGCAGGAGGGACAACAGCGACAGCAGCAGCAGCAGCAGCAGCAGCTCACGTGCAGCTGCGGCGGTACATTCGACGACTCGTGGTGACGGGGCACGACAGCCCCGAGGTGCTGCAGGCCTTCTTCGGCGCGGCGTGGGCGGGCGGGGTGGGGTGTGTGGTGCAGCAGGAGCGGCAGACGTACCTGTTTACGGCGAAGAGCAGCGGGTGGGCGGCGACCAAAGCGGCGTACGACCTGCCGCCGGACGAGCAGACGCCCTTCCTGCGTCCGCTGCGGGCGCCGGCGGAGGAGGAGCTGCGGCTGGCGGAATCGCGGTGGAGTGACTGGTTGGCGATGGAGGACTGGATGGTGGGGCCTCGGAGTCCGTGGAGTGGTTGATTTGATTGATGATGTCTACGATTTTGGGGTTTTGGCGCTGACATTTTCCTATGTTCGTTCGTTTTTATTCCTTTTCCTTGGTTCAGATTGACAACAATGCAGCCGAACATGATTTTCTGCAATTCGCAACATGATAGAAGGATTGTCATATACCTAGTCTTCCTGCCCGAAGCCACGCCTCTAATTCCCGTTCCCGGGTTAGCAGACCTATACGATACTAGTAACCCTGGGCTCGAGTAAGACACCCCAGACAATATGAGGATCAATTAAGATGAACCACTCAGTATCGGGTATAGTAGTGTAGATATAGCGGAAGATTCCAAATCGTGTTGTGAACCCCATCCAACTAGACTAGACAAGGAAGTCGATAAACTACTTACGTTCCTGGGCAGTGGGCATTGGCATTGGGGGCGGGAAAGAAAAGCAAAAACCCCCAAAAAAGCACGCGACCCAGTGCACTGGACCTGTCAGATTGTCAAGCCCTCGATCATCGGCGCTAAAACAATTGCATTGAGACACCAAGCCCCCAGCCCCCCCGCCCCCCCCCCAAGCTGAAAGAAAGCTGAACGCTGAAAGCTGAATGGTGAATGGTGAGTGGTGAGGGATGAGTAGTGCGGTGAAGGGGAATCAAAGATGGGGCAGGAAAAAAAAAAAAGGGGAAGCCCACATGGGGTCGTTCCGTGTCAACAACTGCAAGGTTACAGGTTCTGGCCTCAGTTACTGGCGGTCAGCCAGCCACATGTGCATGGAACAATCCATGGAAGATTCTTGTCCATGCACGGCTACTGCGGGCACAAAGGTCGGGGTGACAAAAATAGGTACGTAACCAATCTAACCCTTGTCGCGTTTGAGATTGCGTTTGTGGTTGGTGGTTTGTTTTACTGCCCAAGTCTCCCACCCACTAGTTTTCGGTCTGTCTGGCTGGCTTGCACCGCCGCCCAGTTTAATTTGCTTGGCTTGGTCGGGGAATCCGCGCTTTCAATTCAGGAACAGGCTGACTGAACCTGGGGGAAGTGCTTGGTCTAATAAACTAGTTTCAGACTCCCTCCAGTAAGTCAATAGTCCCGATCATACAAAAAATCCCACCGCCAACCAGCCCGACACTTCAGCTGTCAGGCTTTCAGGCTGTCAGCATGACAAATACTCTACCCAATCTTGAGTTAGGGTGACTTCTCGATCTCCCTAGCTTCCAAGTGACTCATTCACCTTGTCTAGTCTATAACTTCGTTCACTCCTACTATGTAAATTAGCCCCCAAGCCCCAACCGAATTTCCCTCGGCCTTGACCTGTCATATTTGAAATTCCGGCCGATCACCAAGCCAAGCATCAACTGACAAGACCTCGGATAATTCTACTTGCTTTTTTTTCCCCTTTCCTTTGACCGCCAGTATTCCATTGTGCATGTACAGTACGTACGGTCTGTACCCCAGGAGGGAAATTCTCCGATTTACCGTCCGTCAACAACCGACCTAAGCGACCTGAATAAATCCTTCCGAGACGTCGACCGATAGATCCAGATCTTCGGCGTCAGGAAAACCGAGTTGCACAGCACAGCACAGCACAGCAACAAAAAAAAAAAAAAAAAAAAAAAAAAAACAAATCCCTGTCCCACCCGCCCCCAATCCCAACACGATGGATCCAGATCTAGATCCTGTGACGATTCACGAGCTCCCGGCCTCAACCTGGTCCGCGCCATCAGGGATACTCACGCGCCTCCGATCCCATCTGCCCTACTCGATCCCCCTGCTGCGTCGGATCCAGCATCACCGCGCGTATCCCACCTCCACCGCCGTCGTCGTGGCGACGTTTGCTGCGGATGCGCACCCACCGGTACATGGAGAGACGCGCTGCACTCGCAGCAGCAGTGATGCACCACCAGAAGAAGAAGAAGAAGAAGAGGAGGAACCCTGGCTAGCAGCCTACATCGACCTGCACGCCGGCCGCGAAACCCAAGTGGTGATCTACAGCAGCGCCGAAGCGACCTCCCCAACATCAATCGATATACCACGCCCCAGTAGCACCAAGAATGCCCCAAAGAGTACGGAGACCGGTGAGGACCAGCTCTCCCTCCTCCAGTCCAGACACCCCCAAACCATCCGCCGCCAACTCCTCGCCCTATTCCAACACATCCACACCCGCCGACTCCCCGCGTACACCGCCCACCTCGCTGCCACGGCCCCTGCGACAGCAACAGTGACAGATCACCAGCTCGCCCCGCCCCCGCCGCAGGCCTTTCTAATCGGGAACCTGCACACGGGCCTACTGGCGTTGCTGTTTGCGGGGCCTCCCCATCAGAACAATGATGGCGCGGGGCGGGAGCTGCAGGAGTTGGGCCAGGTGTATACGTCTGGGTCCGCTGCGTTCGTCCCCGGGCTCAAGGTGCATCGCTACGATAGTTCACCGTATCTGAAGTATCTGTTGGGGCGGGAGGTGGTTTGTTCTGGGGCTGCTGCTCCCCCGGCCGGCTTCAGATTCCATACCCGGGAGGGACGGCGCGGCGTCCAGCCGGAACATTTCGCCCTCGTGCGGAGCCGCACGGTGATTCCGCGGTCGGATGCGACGTTGGCTATGCTGCCGGGGGCGGCGGTGTATGTGCAGCATGCCGGAACTGAGGAAGAGGACGCTGAGGATCCCGTGGCGTGGGCGTTTCTCGGTCCTGATGGGTCGCTGGCGACGTTGCATGTTGAGTCGGCGTATCGGGGGCATGGGCTGGCGGGGAGAGTGGCGCTGGAGGCGATGAGACGGGGGATGGTGGAGGATGGGCGGTGGTGGACGAGGGAGGATGACACGCATACCAGTATGCTGGTGCATACGAATGTGGCGATGGGGAATGGCGCGAGTCGGCGGGTGATGGAGAAGTTGGGGGGGAGCGTTGGCTGGACGGTCACTTGGACGGTGGTGGAGGTGTTGTAGTTCACGTAGGTATACAGTTCTGTATGTATAAGGCAAGCATGTATAGAGCGCGAAGCACGATGGATGGATGGCCTTTGTTTTTCTTCCAAAGAAATGGCGGCATGCCAGCAAGAGCCGTTCTGATTCGAGGGTGTCGAAAAGGATTAATAACAGAAGCGTGGGGGACTCCTCCGTAGATATCGTATACCCCTCGAGGCTCTTCAGCGTTCGTCGCCGATTATGTACCGTAGACATGCTCGCTCTGATTTGATCACCCATCTCTAGCGGGAAATTCCAACATCGGTAGGTTGAGTTGTGTGATTCTGGCTTTTCTGCCTCTCCCACGCGGGCAACGCCCACTTCACCATGTACGCAGACGTCAGGAGTTGGTCCGCGGTGGGCCGTTCGGACGGTTCGAACGCCATCATAGCTCGGAGCAAGTCCTCCAGCGCACGGAGTTCTCCACCTGCAACGTCCCATTAGCACGTCGGCGCCGTCTCGCCGCAGCCCATGTCCCAGAGACGCTGGCGCAGGACGCCGGAAGACCGAAGTGCTGATGCGGCGGAAATCCGGGACCCAGGATCCTACCCCCCATCCGCCCCGAAGAATTTGGCGCGCGTAGCGCCCAAGAATTCCACCATCGCAGGGGCGGGGGCCCCAGGGTAGTGACCATCTCGGCGACAATGTCGTCTCGGTCCCAGGCAAATGTTTCAACTAGGGGACGCTCGCCCAGGACCTCATACAAGTGGACGCCGAGGGTCCAGATATCGGCTGCGGTGGGCTGCAGGATGGGCTCGCTGAAGAGGTCTTCTGGTGGAGAGTAAAGGGCCGGAGCGTGGAGAGTCGGCGAGGGTGTCCGTGCCACAAGAAAGGACGTTCCATAATCCGAGATGATGATTTCCGGGTCATTCAGCTCGTTGGCAGGCATGCTCAACGCCATGGGATAGATGGCATGCGGCGGTGCGTAGGGGTCCCCGGGCTTCCCATCTACTCGCCGGATAGGAACCTCGAAGGGTTCGCCAAAGCGCTCATATAGCTCGGCTGTGCTTAGGTCGTCGAAGCTGGGTATGCGTAAGAGACAGTTGCGCAGATGGAGATCTGCTGGATTAGTATGCAAGATCAGTGCACAGAGATGCACAGATCCTCACCTCCGTGGCATACCCCATCTGCATGCAAAGAAGACAATCTTAAGAGGAGCTGGGCCGCTATAGATCGAGCAGCGTCCAGTGGAAGCATGAGATTTGTGCTGTCCTCCTTAGCCTTAGCAATACTACCTCCAGCAGGTTCTCCGACCAAGCACCGATGATGTCCATTTGGACCGTGAAACGAGATTTGGTCCAGGAGCCGCGGATTGAATTGCTTTCCAACATGCAAAAGGTCACTCTTCATCAAGTGTTCCAGGACTTCCCCCTCGCGGGTATCTGATGATGCTCTCGCAGTCAGTATCTTCAGCGATACATAGCGCTGGCGTTGCTGATCCCGCGCGAGCCAAATGGTTGAATATCCACCAAACCCAAGCTTGTGAGCGACAGTATAGCGGCCACCACCCAAGCGGTCTCCGATGAGAGTTGGGTGGTATCCGCCAGGCACATATTCCTCGAGATACTCAACATCTACCTCAGGATGGTATAGATCTTCCATGGACGCGTTCGCCATGGTATGGAAGCGCCGAGGTGGGTGCGGTGACGGAGAGGCTCTGAGGTGACGGCTGGTCTTGGGTGTGATGCGCAAGCGGCACAGGCAAAAGTCCTGATTTTGTCGACCAAAGTACCACTGGTTGCGAGAATGGGCGAGGGGGTCTCCAACTAGGGTTCATCATCTTCAGAATGATGTTCTTGCAGAGGTCATCGAACGACGCGCTATTACTGCCAATACTGAAAGGTGCAGTAAGGGACACAGAGACGCGGCAGTCACATATCCCTAGTAACAATGGGTCTCATACTAACTATGATACTAGGGTTAGCGGGTGGGCCGTATTAGGCGTAGCGGTGGAAGATTGCTTTTGACGGTTAACTTATAGAGGGTCGAGGCCACATGACGTCAGTCACTTTGTCGAATAGAAAGCGCGGTTGGTAGAAAAAAAATATGAGGCATATGATTATCGAAAGCAGCCTTTTGACGGTGCTGCCATGGCTATACAATATCTTAAAATACGTATGTCCTGCACCAGATGAGTGAGTTCAGCGCAAGGACTGAAAGCACACAGAACCATCACAGGATGGTGTAACAGATAGTTCAATGACAGCCGAACCCAATGCGGGTATGGAAGGGAGGGATAAGGTAAGTTAGTCGGCTGTGTGGTTAAGGTAAGCTCGCGCTAAGACCGTCGCCCGTTAGGCTTCGAAGGCCACGGTTTTCCGCGTCGTACTTAACGGCATCATCATCGTTGACTGAAGTAGGTATATGAACATATACAACCGAGCATTATCCTCTAAAAGAAGCAACCAAAAAGCAACAGGCTAAACCAAACGACCCCTCTCTCCCAAATACCGACACCAACACCAAGACTTCCAACCAAATATACAATCCCCCTAGCCACCTGACTACTACTACCAAGCAGGAAAAAACATCCCGAAAATCAATCAAAAACCTCATCCCCACCCACCGTCTGAATACTAGCAACCATCACCGCCCCATCCGCCGTAATAATCCTCCTCTCCCTCGCCCCATCCCTATCCCCCTCCCCCTCCTCAACCCCTTCCCACCGCCTCCCCCTCCAGGGAACATTAATCAATTCCCTCTCCATCCGCGCAGGCAACTCCGCTCGCTGCCGATAGAACCCCGTATCTGATAATTCGACCGCTGTCGCTGCTGCCCTTCCCCTTCCCCTTCCCCTTGCCCCTTCCGTGAGTGGAGTCCGATTACCAGCGGTAGCAGGACCACCACCACCACCAACACCAGCTGCAGCAACAGCAGGAGCAGGAGCAGCAGCAGCCCCCAAAGTCCCCGTCTCCCTTCCCCCCCTCATCGGCACAGGAGGCTTGACATTAACATTATGACCCCGCATCCGCACCGACGCAGGCAGAGGTTTCTTGGTGGGCGTTGTCTCCGGCGAGACAAGCGGGCTTACGCTTTCGGCGTTGCTCGAGCGCATCGCGAGGTGGCGGTCTCGGTCGTTGAGTGGGGAGATTTGGATTTGAGGGGAGAGAGAGGGAGAAGCTAGGCCGGGGGCTTTTTGGCGGGGTGGGGTGATATAAGGGTTTATTTGTGGTGGTGGTGGTGGGGGTGGAGTTGGAGTTCGAGTTTGGGTGCGGTTTGGGGGTGGGGTTTTTAGGGTTGCAGGTGGTAGTACAGGTGGTAGTGCAGGTGCAGGTGCTAGTGTTGCAGGTGCTGGCGCTGGCACTGTTATCGTAATATCAGGCGGCCGTGCTTGCGCCTGCGCGTGTAGGTGCGAGTCTGTGCCGAATTAGCTACTTTCTCTCTCCATCCGAGTCTTCAGTCTCAAGAAAGACGGGGGAAAGAGAAGCGAACCCTTCGTCTCCACCATCTCCGTCCCACTCTCCTCACCCCCGATCAGCCGCTCTTCCTTCGACGTCGATACCGACCCCAAAGTCCCAGGGTGGCGCCAGTGCAGGAGCCGGAACTGGCCGCGCCGGCGTTTTTTGGCCCGGTAGATCGAGTACAGCACCAAGGCGGCGAGAATGAGGAGGGCGAGGATGCCGCCCACGACGCCGGCGATGAGGGCTTGGTTGATTCGGTTGGGTTTGTGGTGTGCGGTTGCTGTGGGTGTGGGTGTAGGTGTGGTGGTTGGGTTTGGGGTTGAGGTTGTTGCTGTATTGGCTGTAGCAGTAGGGCGCGTAGCCGTTGGGATTGTGGTGGTGGTAGATGTGGTCGAGCGGGATGATGTTGAGGTCGAGGTGGTCTTGGTCTTGACTTCGACAACGGTGCTCTTCGATGAGGTTGAGGATATCTTGCTGGTTGTGGTGCCACTGCGACTGCTGCTGCTGCTATCATCCGCACAAACCCCCGAAGTACATGGATCAACCGAGCAACATCCACTATACCCTCCCTTCGCACACACATACCACTGGGTATGCGTCGGACAGGAATCGCTCGCAGCTCGGACGGCGAGGGCGGCCATGTCGGTGATTCCCCTTCGCTATACTTCGTCTCAAATCAAGAGCGACTGGCAAAAAACAAACGAGCGATACCAAGCGATTGGAGCGCAGACCGGCTGGTAGGTTGAACGAGTGTTGGTCTACGAGCAGCAAAGAGAGAAACACCGGACAGCAAAGAATGAGCGAAGTCGAGTATCCAGGAAGTCAGCCTGAAAAGAGGCCCACTGTCTCATAAAAAGTGGCAGTGTGCAGCCGTCCTCTTTCTTTGTTTCATGGGACAGCACCGGCCGTGCCAAATAGAAGACCTCGCACTGAACCCCTGGTTACCATACTCGGCAGAAATAACACAAAGAAAACTCCATTGTATGGGAAAGTCAACGGCTATAAAAGACAACACACGTGAGTACACCAAACTCATCGCCTGGAAAAACCCTTGGATATACACATATAAACACACGGAAATAGACACGGTCGAATTTTCGCCTCGCTCTTTTCGTCCTCAACCCTCATTCTCGCCACCCCTGGCCTCAAATGCGCTTAGTACACACGCTTGAACGGAGGCACAGGCTTGCACTCGTTCTCGTCCAGGGTCTTGTGCTCAACAGCACGGTAACCCAGCTTGACCTCACCGTGGGGCTTCTTCTGCCAGGTGAGAGTGTGCTTCATCCAGTTCTCGTCGTCACGCTCGGGGTAGTCCTCACGGGCGTGGGCACCACGGGACTCCTTGCGGTTAGCGGCAGCAATGGCGGTTTGAGTACTAATCCATAGTTAGCCATGATCATACTGAACAGCTCCCAGAAATACGTACGCGCAGGTCAACAGGTTACGGAGCTCAAGAGTCTCAACAAGGTCGGAGTTCCAGATCATGCTGCGGTCCTTGGTGCCAACCTGGTCGTACAGCTTGTCGACAGCAGTGATCTTCTCAACACCCTCATCCAAACTCTCCTGGGTACGGAAAACGCTGACATCAGTCTGCATAGTCTTCTGCATAGCGTTGCGGATCTCGAAAGTAGACTTGGGGCCGTCGGCGTTGCGGGCAAAGTCGAGGTCCTTGATGGACTCGGCACCGGCATCGGAGGCCAACTCACGGTGGGCCTTGCCAGGGGTGGCGATATCACGGACACGGTGGGAGACGGCACGACCGAAGACGACCAGGTCGAGAAGAGAGTTGGCACCCAGACGGTTGGCACCGTGGACGGACACACAGGCGGCCTCACCACAAGCATACAGACCAGGAACAACCTTGTCCTGGCCGTTCTCGTCAACGCTCAGAACCTCACCGGTGTACTTGGTGGGGATACCACCCATGTTGTAGTGGACGGTGGGCAGGACAGGGATGGGCTGCTTGGTGACATCGACACCGGCGAAGATGGAGGCGGTCTCGGAGATACCAGGCAGACGCTCGTGAAGGAGCTCGGCGGGCAAGTGGCTGAGCTGGAGGTAGATGTGGTCCTTCTCGGGACCGACACCACGGCCCTCACGGATCTCGAGGGTCATGGAACGAGAGACGACGTCACGGGAAGCCAGATCCTTGGCAGTGGGAGCGTAACGCTCCATGAAACGCTCACCCTCGGAGTTAAGCAGGTAACCACCCTCACCACGGGAACCCTCAGTGATCAGACATCCGGCACCGTAGATACCAGTGGGGTGGAACTGGACAAACTCCAGATCCTGGTTGGGAAGACCGGCACGGGCAACCATGGCCATACCGTCACCGGTACAGGTGTGGGCAGAAGTGCAGCTGAAGTAGGCACGTCCGTAACCACCGGTGGCCAGGACGGTGTGGTGAGCCTTGAAGCGGTGGAGGGTACCGTCCTCCTGGTTGTAGGCGATGATACCACGGCACTCACCATCCTCCATCAGAAGGTCGAGGGCGAAGTATTCGATGAAGTAGTTGGTGTTGTGGCGGAGAGACTGTCCGTAGAGAGTGTGGAGAAGGGCGTGGCCGGTACGGTCAGCGGCGGCACAGCAACGGTAGGCCTGGCCACCCTTCCCGAACTCCTTGGACTGACCACCGAAAGCACGCTGGTAGATACGACCATCCTCGGTACGGGAGAAGGGGCAACCGTAGCCCTCCAACTCACGAACACTAGCAGGAGCCTCTCTGGTCATGTAGTGAATGGCATCCTGGTCACCAAGCCAGTCGGAACCCTTGACGGTGTCGTACATGTGCCACCTCCAGTCATCCTCGTGCATGCTACAAGCCGAAGGTTAGCCGCGTTGCGAACCTGAGAAACCTCCATACATACTTTCCAAGAGCAGCGTTGATACCACCCTGAGCGGCGACAGTGTGACTTCTCGTAGGGAAAAGCTTAGAGACACAGGCGGTGTTGAAGCCAGCTTCGGCGAGACCGAAAGCGGCACGGAGACCAGCGCCACCGGCACCGACGACGACGGCATCGTACTCGTGGTCCTGCAACAACGATTAGGATCACACTCCTGACGTATAACCATAGATTATCCTTACAATGACGGGGTACTTGTCGGAAATGTAGCCATTGGCCTCCTTGGCGCGCAGGGGTCCGTTGCCAAAGATCCGGGCTAGCGGAGATGAGAAGTTAGCGAGAGGCGGAAAGGGATGGCGATGCGATTCCAATGCGTACCAGCAGGGCGGGAGGAGGAAAAAAGACGTCTCTGATCCCTCAAGGCGCGGGAAATCTGCGCAAAGATACATGTCAGTAAACTCCTCGAGAGAGGCTGGCGTCCTAACGCGCGCTCCAAATCTGGAGTCGAGACGAACAGACATCGGGATAGGGAACAGACCTTAGATGCGGGAGCCAGGCTCCGCCAGCTCAAGGAGCTCATGATGACGGATTAGAAGAAAAGAGACACTTCTCTAACAAATCCGGGAAAGGAGGGGAGATGGGGGAAGGAATCCAACAGCACAAGGACTGGGGGAGAGAAAGTCGGGGTTCAAGGCTGGTTGGTTTGCATGCGAGCTGCACTTTTGGATCGTCGGTTCTGCTGGAAGAGCGAGGAAGGCCCGGCTGACATAAGCATTTTGCACTTGCCGACGGGGAGGACCGGGGCCGAACAAGCCAATCAACATTTGTGGAGTGGTAATCACCTCGGGCAGTCAGTCCGCCTTCATTGGCCGAAATCTGCTGGGCACGTGGTCCGGCCCTCTTCTCACCCGGCAAAGCGCGAGACTTTCCGGAGCAAGACGGCCGATTCCAGTTGACAGAGACAGCCTGATTACTGAGTGCTTTCGGCATGAGCCTGAGGCAGCTGGAGGAGCATAAGCCGAGCCTGGCTCCACGCGCAGCTTGAGTTTCTCCTCACTGCAATGAGACCGGACACGAATTAAGCTTACTAGGTACTACTGCCGCTCTAGGTATAATTAATCCCCTATGTACCTAGCTTGTCGCCCTTGCTGATTGCCGCCGCTTCGGCAGGATCAACCAGAACTTGACATTGACATCATACAGCAAAGTCCCTAGTAAATGATCATACACATCCATTGCGTTTGTAATGTAATCCAAATACCTAAGAGTCGTCTAATTATACTGCATGTACGTCGCAGTCGAGTTGAACTTCAGGTTGCCCTTGATCACCTTGTCCACCGCAGCCAAGAAGTCCTTCTCAGTAGCCACCTTCCGACGCGCCCGGATGGCGAACATACCCGCCTCTGTTGCGACACTCCGAAGCTCAGCACCCGTAGCGTTCGGGCATAGACGAGAGATCAGCTCCCACCGGATGTCACGCTCGACCGACATGCTCTTGGCGTGAATGCGCAGAATGTTGGCACGGCCCTCAACATCCGGGAGGGAGAACTCGATCTTACGATCGATACGTCCCGGACGCATCAGAGCAGGATCCAGAGTTGACGGCCGGTTGGTCGCAAACATAACCTTGATGTTACCACGGGCGTCGAATCCGTCCAGTTGTGTAATCAGTTCCAGCATAGTACGCTGAACCTCGTTGTCACCACCAGCTCCGTCGTCGAAACGAGCACCACCGACCGCGTCGATTTCATCGAAGAAGATAATGCATGCCTTCTTAGTCCGCGCCATCTCAAACAGCTCTCGAACCATCCGTGCACCCTCACCAACGTACTTCTGTACCAACTCACTGCCGATGACACGGATGAATGTCGCGTCCGTCCGGTTGGCCACGGCTCGAGCGCAAAGCGTCTTACCCGTACCGGGAGGTCCGTAGAGCAGAGCACCCTTGGGAGGGTCGATACCGAGGTTGACAAAGCGCTCCGGCGAAAGTAGGGGCATCTCGACGACTTCCCGCAGCTTCTCAATCTGTTCTTTGCATCCACCAACATCACCGTACGTCACATCGGGCTTGTCTTCGACTGTCATCATCGTCACACTCGGGTCGATCTTAGGGGGAAGAGGCAGCATAATCTGGTACTTGTTGCGGTCGACACTATATCACGGTTAGATCCGGAACGGACGATAGGCAAGACCACAGCAACATACCCAACTCTCATGCCCTCCTCAATATCTGTCGGACTAACGCGCTCTCCCAAGTTGACGACGAATTTGGCGATCTGTTTGACGTTGATGACGTATTTACTCTTGTCTGAATCCTTCTCATCCTGAATGATCTTCGTGCACCGAGCTACCTGCAGTGGCTGCTCCTCCGCCATACGTTGTCGGTCCGCAGCAACATCCCAGAGATGTGGAGGCGCAAGGCCGGTATCGGATTCCTATGCCGGTCAGCAAGGATTACCCCCGTCAAAGGTAGAATCGGAATATACCTTAACACCAATTTTCTCGTTCACACTTGCTTGTCTCTCCTTGATCTGTTTCTCGAGCTTCTTCAATGCGTTGGCGTAGGGAGCAGCGCCGTAGGTCTTTAGTACTTGGATATCCCTAGTTCCAGTTAGCCATCTAGACGGGACAGTTGGCAGAGCGGTAGCATCCGGTCAACCTACTCATCTGTGAGAGGAGTGATCTTCTTCTCCGGCTCTTCGTCATCGGCGAAGTTCTTCTGGTACTTCTCCCAGTTCTGGCCCGTAGCGCTAGGCATGCTGATGATGTGAGCCGGTGGCGAGGCGACAGGACAGCGTGGAGTGGTGTGAGCAGTGGTTTCGGGGGTCTAGTTTGGCGTATAGAGACACAGGGTAGTAGCGGATGTTGACGGAGTTGAAGAAAGGATGTAATGAGGAGGATGGAGCTTGAACGGGGGATGGTAAGAGTGATGTGGTGGTCGAGCTCAGCTTGATTGCGGTTCGAGCTGTTGACGCTAGTGGCCGCCAAGCCCAGCAGCAACACCGCCCAAAACGCAACACCGCAGAATTTCCCAGTGCCGCCTCCAGGTTCTGGATCTCCCTCGCCTCGCTCCACCCTCCTCTTACTTGACTCTATCTCTTTTCTCTACGGTGCTTATATCGTAGTTATCTTCATCATGGCGACGACAGCCTCCCAGGGTGCCCCTGGCAACACGACTTTCAAGGTGCGTCTTTTGGCGGAGAGAAATACCTGTGGACCGTTCTCTAATCGCCGAACAGGACAAGGAGAAGCCTATGGCCGTTCGCACCGCCAACATTCTGGCTGCTAGAGGTATGCATCGCTGGTCGGTACTACTTGCACGCAATTGCTGACGGAAGAATAGCTGTCTCCGATGCCATCAGAACTGTACGCTTGTCTTGACCGGAATTTGACAGATGAGGGGCTAACACGATATGCAGTCTCTGGGTCCCAGGGGTATGGATAAGATGGTAAGAAGGATGGAATCAATTCACAAAGACCAAAAGCTTATGTAGATTCAGATCCAAACGCCCAAGGGAAACACCATTATCGTACGAAGACTACCTCGAATACTCTCAGATTACCCCCACTAACCCCTCCTTAGACCAACGACGGAAACACAATGCTGAGGGACATGAGCGTCATGCACCCCGCCGCCAGAATGCTGGTCGACCTCAGTGCCGCTCAGGATGTCGAAGCTGGCGATGGAACTACATCGGTTGTCGTCATTGCAGGAAGCTTGCTTGGTGCTGCGGAGCGCCTGCTGGCGAAGGGCATCCATCCCACTGTCATCTCGGAGTCCTTCCAAAGAGCCGCCGCCGCCGCCGTCGAGATCCTCCACAACATGTCCCGGCCCATCAACCTCACAGACCGCTCCACTCTCCTCCAGGCGGCTTCCACCTCTCTCTCCTCCAAGATTGTGTCTCAGCACTCCGGCCTCCTCGGCCCCATGGCCGTCGATTCCGTTCTGAAGGTCGTCGACCCCAAGACGGCAGAGAACGTCGATCTCCGGAACATTCGCATAGTGAAGAAGGTTGGCGGAACAATTGAGGACAGTGAGATGGTTGATGGTCTGGTCCTGAACCAGCAAGTCATCAAGAGCAGCGGTGGTCCCACCAGAATTGAGAAGGCCCGGATAGGTCTTATTCAGTTCCAGCTCAGTCCCCCCAAGCCTGACGTACGTGACCCTATACACTTGCACTAATGGGGAGTGCTGACAACTATCTTGCAGATGGAGAACCAGATTGTCGTGAACGACTACCGCCAGATGGACAAGATCCTCAAGGAAGAGCGTCAATACCTTCTCAACATGGTGAAGAAGATCCAGAAGACGAAGTGCAATGTTCTTTTGATCCAGAAGTCGATCCTCCGTGACGCCGTCAACGATCTTTCCCTTCACTTCCTTTCCCGCCTCAAAATTCTGGCTATCAAGGATATCGAGCGTGATGAGGTTGAGTTCTTGTGCAAGACTTTGGGTTGCAAGCCCGTTGCCAACGTCGACTCTTTCACTGAGGACAAACTCGGTACTGCTGATCTTGTTGAGGAGGTTCAGCAGTCTGGTGCTCGGTACGTGAAGATCACTGGCATCAAGGCCCCTGCTACCGCCGCCAATCAGACTGTCTCCATCGTGGCTCGTGGCGCCAACAACCTCATCCTGGATGAGGCGGAGCGCTCTCTGCACGATGCGCTCTGTGTCATCCGCTGTCTGGTGAAGAAGCGTGCTCTCATTGCCGGTGGTGGTGCCCCTGAGATCGAAGTGGCCCACTCTCTGGCCATGCGTGCTCGTGAGCTCACTGGCACCGAGGCTATTTGCTGGAAGGCCTTCGCCGACGCCATGGAGGTTATCCCCACCACCCTGGCCGAGAATGCTGGTCTGAACTCGATCAAGGTGGTCACCGACCTGCGTCATCGCCACGCTCAAGGCCAGCACAATGCTGGAGTCAGCATTCGCAGCGGTGGTGTCAAGGACGATATCACCGAGGAGAACATCCTTCAGCCCCTCTTGGTAAGCACCAGCGCGATTGAGCTGGCTGCCGAGACGGTGAAGATGATCATGCGTATTGATGATATTGCCTTGTCGCGGTAAACGAAGACAGGCGGTAGTAGAAATGGAAATAATATAGGTCCAAAGCGGTGTATTATGACGAGTAATCTAACAAAAATCTACGATGTTCATAATCTCAATTGCATGCTTCGTAACCGACGATGTCATGTTATGTATGTCGGCGTAGCTGAAATGCGGCCACATGATCCAGCGATTCACCAAGCCAGTTCACCCGCAGCTAACTCAGTTGGCTACAAAACAACCACTACCAAGAATTCAAGGACTCGCCCCGCATTGACCATCTTGAGCTTCATCAAATCGCTACAGAATACACGCTAGTGCTCACAACTTGGATCGTCTCTCGATAATTCGGTTGGCCGCCGAACCGATGATCTCCTTCCACTCGTTGGAGTACTTGGACTTCTCTCTCGCAGGTAATTCTTCCCACCCCTGTGCGATGCGCTGCTCATCCTCCTTCCACCGCTGTACCTCCTGCCGAATCCACAGCCCAAGGGCATCTGCCGTAGCGGTCACTTTCTCCAGAGGCAGAGTATGTGTAGCCTTCGGAACTAAGTGATGCCTCACTCGACCATACTCCATACCACCGCTCCCTCCGAACCCAGTCCCCATCTTCTTGGCGATCCGCTCATGGATCCCAAGCTTGCACAGCGGACTCTCAGCTCCACTTAAGAAAAGGACCGATGGTCGTAAGTGCGGTACCAACCTCCCGGCCAGGACCGGCTCCGGCCGGTAGGAGTTCTGCTCCGGCACCAGCGCCCCCAACACATCGGGGAAGAGCAGCGGATCGTGCGGCGGGCTGGACTCTTCGTGCGGATGCTTCTGATTCAGCTCATCGGGCAAACCCAGTTCTCTGTATCGATGAGGGTTAGCACGCGTGTACACCAGCGCCTCTTGGTACTTGGTCGTTGCCAATGTCACAGCCGGCCCTACATCCGACGACAATGTCGACGATGGTGACTGTGTCGCATCTTCCTGTGGGTATACAGCTGACGGTAGTTCGCGGTATGCGAACCGAGCCCAGCGATCCAACACCCGCGGGTCCCAGAATCGAAGGACCTTGCGTGACTTTTTGACGGCGACGGCCCGGGACGGCCAGACATCACGCTTGTTGATGGTCAGACGCAGGAGAAGAGGGCCGCTCCCCTGGAGCGTGCGCTCGACGAAATATGGCTCGACGAGCATGAGAGATGAGAACAGCCGGGGGTGGATCAGCGATAGAAAGATCCTGCGTACAGTCAGTGACTTACTTCACTTGCACACTGGTCCGCGCTCATCGACGACGAAAGAGTGAGGGTAACCGACATTTGAGCTGCACCTACGCTGTGCCCGAGGCCCATGATGGGTCGGGGTATTTGGTCGCGAAATTGGTTGATCATCAAGAGAAGATCACGGCTGTGATCAAGCCATGATGCTGTTGTTGTTGTTGTTGTGAGTCCTGGATCTCCCAAAAAGGGACGTGGTGAGCTGGCGCTTACGGTCATTGCCCAAGTGATTCTCATTGAGGATACCGCTAGCACCTTGGTTGGCGCTATCAGCGATCCAGATGGCGCGAATTCGGAATCCCTCTTTCTTGCTTCTGGTGTGGAGATCTTCCCAGAGCGGCTCGTATAGTTCCTGGACGGTAATGAGCGCGAGGCGGCTAAGACTGGCTGTCTATGGCTCTTTTACCTACCTTCGCGAATGCCGTGCCATGTGCAGCGATGATAGTGACATCGCCCGGTTCGGGATGGGGGTTATCGATGGGCGTATACTTCTTCACGCAAAGCTTCAGAGGAGCATCCTGCGTGGTCGTGGCCCTGGGGTACTCTCGTATATATTGACTATCAATAACATGTTCCGTCACAGTATAAGGGAACGCCATCCTGAGATGCTGGAATGGTAAGTCACCGGGAGAACTTCACTATTGTGCGCTTGTAGCGAGACTCTATCACCTGGGAGTTGCTTCCTACAGACTTTTGTTGTGGGAAGTGCAGGCGTATTGCGTGTCATATAAGACACGGCTCATGACCGGTCCACCGTGGCGGTTGTCAACATTGAGAAGGTAAGAAATGATCTCATAAAAAACACACATCAGGAGCAAACAATTGCCTGAAGCAGTAATTGCGTAGCGCCGATCATCTCGTGGATCCAATTGATCTCATTGCGAACTCATCCAGAGATCTTTCCCCGTCGATCATCTTGGCGATCGAGTCAGTTTCCACCGCACTTGATTTGATACACTACACCCATCTTGCAGCACTGACAAGCTGGCAATAGATGGCATGGAATTCTTTTCCATGTCAGACGTGGTGAGTGCAGGATAATATTGAATTTAAGCTATTACTATTACTTATTTACAATAGTTGTCTGGTTGTGTTTGAAAGATGTGACGCAAAGAAGACGCCCGCTCCCCCGTCACGGACAATGGCCGCTGTTGATCCATCGACTCCACAGCGCATGACGAAGGGTCTTTTCCATCCGACCTTCAACAAATGAGAGGTGTATATGTCTTATCACCAAAGAATGAACCGGATCTTGTGCGTGGGGCTCTTCGGCGGATCTCGAACCTCCCTCCCACGCAGATCATTTCAGCGATGAAGAGAAGGGACTGCCACACTGACTCGACATATCTGGCCGAACCCACACACGGGTCATCAAACGCCATGTCGACTGCATCATGCGCTGCACCGTCAGTATGTCAAATCGAGGGGGTAGATCAGTTCTGTTCTCGTGGAGTGCTGCATTTGTAGAAATATTAGTTTGTCCGTACCGCCGTCAACCCCAGGATTGAAACAAACTAGGATGTTCATCAGCTGGGGAATCAAGAGAGACAGATTCAAAATGAGCTTCCATCTGTTTGCAGCTGCGACTGTGACGTGTCTTGTCTACGTGCGTCCCTCTTTACTCCCGCCGCAGACCAACAAACTAACTAGCTCAGGGTTGTGCTTTGGCACTATATCGGCTCTTCCTCCATCCTCTCTCTAGATACCCTGGTCCCCGACTCGCTATCTTGACAGACTGGTATGTGCTATATTATGCCTGGCGAGGTGACCTACACAAACAAGTACAACAATGGCATGCGAGATACGGTGAGACCTATCGGCCAGACACGTCAGGCCGAAAGCGAAGGCTGACTCCCTCACAGGGAAGGTCGTCCGCTATGGGCCTTCAACCCTCAGCTTCAACTCGGCCACGGCGATGACCGAAATCTATGGTGTCCGGGCCAACGTTCGCAAGACAGACGGATATACTGCGCTGGGCCTCAGTCGTCACTGCCCGAACAGCTTAGTTGCCATAGACAAAGGGTTGCACGGCTTCAAGCGACGGATCATGGCTCAAGTATTTTCCGAGCAGAACTTGAAGCAGATGGAGAAGCGCATTCTTGACATTATCACGGACTTTGTCTCGCTGCTCGGTTCGAATTCAGATGCCTCACGGGGATGGGGTCCGCCCAAGGATGTCGCGCAGGCGTGCACCTGGATGACCTTCGACATCATCGCCGATCTCTGCTACGGGGAGGATTTCAACCTGTTGCAGGTGGAAGACATGCGATGGTTTCCCTCTGTATTCCGCAAAGTCAGCCAACGGGGCATGATGGTGAGTGCTAGCAACCACAAACAAGCCACGACGAAGCAAAGCTAATGAATCCAAACAAAAGAGCCTCATCCAGCCCCGATTCATCCAACTCAAGCTCGACCACGTCCTCCTCGCCTCCCAGTACAAAGACATCCTCCGTGCGGGCAGCTGGATCCGCGAACGCGGCGAAGCCCGCGCCAAACTGGGCAACCAGAACGCCGAGAAGGACATCTTCAGCACGATGATGAACGCCACAGACCCCAAAACCGGACGGAACTTCACACAGAAAGACCTCTGGGTTGAATCCATGCTTCTGTTGATAGCAGGTACAGTCCAGCAACACCCACATACCTACCCCTCCTAAAGCCCTAGCCCCTCAAACCCCCTCCCCCAAATACCCCATAACCCCAGATATCAAACTCACTCACCCAAAAAAAAAGGCTCCGACACAACCTCCAACGCCTTCAGCGCAACAATGCACTACCTCCTCCACCATCCGCGCAGCCTAGCACACCTGACCACGGAAATCCGGACGACCTTCGCCACCGAGGCCAGTATCCGCTTCGACGCCGCCTCCCCGACCACCTGCCCGTACCTGCACGCCTGCGTCAACGAAGCGATGCGCCTCGCGCCATCCGTGCCCAACGCGCCCCCGCGCGCCGTCCTCCCCGGCGGCATCTACATCGAGGGGGACTTCATCCCCGCCGGCACCGTCGTCGGCGCCCCGATCTACACCCTCCACCGCAACGCGGCCTACTTCGACCGTCCGGATGAGTTCCGGCCAGAGCGGTGGTTGGACCCGTCCTACAGCTGCAACAGCTGCAGCAGCTCGCTGGGGGGTTCTAGGTACGATACCGCGGAGCAGCAACAACAGCAGCAGCAGCAGCAGCAGCAGGGAACATCCGCCGCATCTACCACCAAACAAGCCCAGGCCTATCCGGCCTTCTGTCCCTTCAGCTACGGGGCCCGCTCCTGCGTGGGCTGGCGTCTGGCCTACACGGAGCTCCATCTCGCCGTCGCGCGGCTGCTCTGGCGGTATGATGTCCGGTTAGCGACGGAGGCGGCGGCGCCGGTGGCTTCGACGTCCACTCCTCCTCACGGCAAAGGCAAGACGGATTCCGCCGAGTATGAGATGATGGGATGGGTGGTGGCGGCGGTGGAAGGGCCGGTGGCGCAATTTCGTAGGCGGGAGGATCTCTTCTGACCGAGTTGGTACGCTGAAGAGAGTGTATCATGAGTTTGTTTTAAGGCTGCTTGGGTGTTCGGTTGATCGATTCGGAGTTCTCTGTCCTCCCGTTTCCTGAGTTGTCTTGCTGGTTGTATAGTCGTCGAACGTGGCTGGAGATGCAATTGATCTTTCTTACTCTTATGAATGGCTGGATGTCTGGGCTATCTATATTCTTCCATCTATCATCTTTTCGTCCTTTGATCTTCATTCAATAGTTTATTCATTTAGTAAGTCATGCTATTATCCAAGGGTATAAACAGTAGAAAATATCCGATAACACCCCAAACTCCTCCAGTCATCACAACATCCACACCTGAATTTCAACTTTGGGCAACTTTTTCTCTCGTACCCGTACATTCCAACAGATAGACCGCGATGAGAAGAAAACCAGACCCAAGGAGGACAGAGAAAAAGAAAGTGTGCATTCCACCGTCCATTAAGCAAATATTACCATAGCCCATCGTCGTCGTGAAGCATATATCCAGATTTTCCAATATGCACGTGTACATTATGTGATGATGCCTGAGGCGGAGGTTCCTGTTCCCCATCGGAGTCGTTTTAGGCTGCCCCGGACTGCTTCTTGGCCGCAGCCGGTGGCTACTCTACCTCCTGACCCATCACCCATTGCTCCGATTCCAGTGGTGGCTTCCAGTCGACCAACTTCGCGGCCCAGTACGTAGCCCGCTGAGAAGCTGATGGCGGAGAACAGCACGACAACTCCCGCGCTGATCACCCAGGTCATGACCGTCGGGCTAGCTGTGGGAACGGTTTCCACGGTGCTACCTCGCCGACTCTTCTTGGCTGAATGACTTCGCTCCTTGGATGGACTTGACCGTCTTTTAGCTCGTGGTGGTGCTTGCGGAACGCTCCGCGGAGAGTATGGTGGAGGGGATAGTCCTGAGCGAGGGGACCGGGCCGCTGCCGCGGTGGAATTCGCTCCTGCCGTTTCTTCCTCGCAAATATCCCCCATCGCGACGGATTCTGACACCAGGCGGAAAGATGACGGCGCCGGCGCTCGCGATGGACCTGGCTGGACTGGCTGCGTATCTGACTTAGGAAGGCCTCGAGCTGCTGCAGCGCAGGAAAGTAACGTTGAAAGACTGGCTCGGAGAGCAGCATCGTGATCGGCGTGGTGGGATGGAGAGATCATGTTGTATGGACTGTGCTGGTAGGATGACCTGCGAGCTGAGCGAATGCTGGCTTGCGAGTTCCGCCGCGCCCTGATGGCTGTCCGTCGGCTGGAATTCGACACCTCACTGGGTTCCGAGGCGTGCCGCCTTTCCATAGGTCTTGTCCATGATGGGTCCTGGGACGCTGGCGGATGAGAGAAGACATTCGGTTGAGGAACAAATGGGGATGAGCTGATGCGCATGCCTAGCGCGGTTGAATTATCGTCATCATCCTCATCCTCATCTGTGGGGACATCGGATGGCAGCGGGGATGGGCCTGTGGGTACCAGAAATGGGTGCGGTCTCTCGGGTGGGCGAGTCATATCTTCGGAGCTGCTGAGTACTTGATCGGATTCACTCTCGCTTTCCTCATATTCATCTTGACTGCTACTGTGGTCGCGGGATGAGTAGTCTACTTGAGCTGTGGTAATGGCTGCAAGTTGCTGTAGCCGTCGTCGTCGACTTCGATGATACCGACCGGGATCTTGCTGCTGGACACGAAGACCGGTAGTAATGATATCGTCATTAGTGCCTGCGGAGGAGAGGGATGAGGATGACGGCTGGGACGAGACCTCGATCCAGGAATCTATATAGTAACGAAGTGAGTACATGATAATACTGAATATACATCTAAATGGCGCGAAATGAGTTTGAACGTAGGGATACCATGGTCTTTGCCGAGCATGCAGGGGCAGAGTAGATATCTGGGGAGGCAGTGAGGCGATGACGTACCTTCTGATCTCGTGGGGTCGCGGGCAGCGGGAGAACGTGACTGATGAGGAAGTAGATGATCGCGCGACGACTGATGAAGGTCTCGCGTCAGTCGACCGGTTAATCGAGGGTCTTCATGTTGCACCTGACCCAGCAAGTCATAGTGATTCGGCTGCATGATGGAAGATGTAATAAGGAGAAAAGGAGGGGCAGTAGCGAGGAAATAGACAAGGTCCGGATCGGCTGCCAGAGGCAAGTTGAATGAGGCTATATGGAGGAAGGAAGAAAAAAAGAGGGGGAAGAAAGGGAGTATGTGAGGAATAAGAATAAGGAAAAGAAAGAGAAAGAAGGAGCGAGAGGTCGAGAAGAAGAATAAGGAGATGGTGATTTAACAAGAGGGATGAGGAGAAAGAGGAGAGGGTGATGGGATGACTGGAAGCGAGATCCACGGGTGATCCTCAGGCCACGGGGACGGCAGGCGGACCGACCAGTGATGGACAGCGCTGAGAGGGAGCGGTCAGTCCCAAAGCGCGGGGTTAATGTATGAGTAAGTAATGGATGGATGGATTAAATGGATTAACTGGAGGGATGGAGGGATGGAGTGGGTGGAGTGGTCGATATAGAGTTGATCTTATCAAATGTGGGACTAGACACTCCAACGATCACCCGTGACACAAAGTTGCAAGGGATCAAAAAGACAAGGGATCAGAACGTGGAGAAGAGACACGGAGATGAAGCATAGAGAAAAGAAACACACGACTTGCACAAGTCTTTGAATAAGGAGCAAGGAAAAGAGAAACTGCAAATAAGCATGGGAAAGGAAAGGAGAGTGGGAGAGTAGATGAGTAGGTAGTAAAGAGAGAGGGGGGGGGGAGAGGAAAACAGCCAAGTCAAACGACTCAACTGTTGCAAACAGTCAGCATCAGCACTGGATGGACATACTCGGTAGAGAAAGAGTACTGCCGGACTGGAGTATGGAGTATGGCGAATGGAGGGGAACACGAGGCCGCATGCTGTGATTGATCATCCGACCGCGCACCGTGACTGGCCCACTTTGATAGGCCCATCATTGCAGCAGATCTGCCTGATCCACGATGCAGCCCAGCCAGCTAGAAGAGTTGGCAACAACCGAGTGGTGGTGATTTTCCGTAGGTCGCGCGACGGAAACAAAGCCGACCTCGGAGGGGTTCCCTCCCCGCCTACCAGCTCTATCAGACAAAGACCTCCCTCATCCGCAACCATGGTACAACACAACATAGTAAACTCCGTAGCAAACAACAACAAAAGCAACAACAGCTTGAAATATTGAGCAAGAAGATTTCATTTTGGTCATGGCCATTCATTAAATTGTTCTATCCTAGATATCACACAAACTATGTAACCGAGGGGGTTATCCTGAAAACGTAAGGAAATGCAACAAGAACTTTTAAAACATCCTCCGTGAAAAGCAAAAGAAAAACAAACACCCAGACAATACCGGTCAAGGTTGGACAAAGATACACCTACGCATGCACTTAGAAGGTAACCTTAGTTCCCTTGTACTCGGGGATAGAGCCCTTGCCCTTGTTGAAGCCACCGGCACCACCACCGCGACCGCCGAAGCCGCCACGGCCACCGCGACCACCACCACGGCCACCGCCGCCACGGCCACCGAAGCCACCGCCGCCGCCGCGGCCACCGAAACCGCCACGGCCACCACCACGGCCACCGCCATTGTTGTTCTGACGGGGAGTGCTGAAGTCCAGACGGACGGCACGACCCTCAAGCTCGGCACCGTTGAGCTCGTTGTAGGCAGCGCGAGCCTCGTCAACGGAAGAGTACTGAACGTAGCCGAAGCCCTTGGGGCGGCCAGACTCGGGGTCAGTGGGCAGACGGATGCCGAGAATGGTACCCTGAGCGCCGAAGAGCTCACCAACGGAGTCCTCGTTAGCGCTGAAGGGAAGGTTACCGATGAACAGGGTGTCGCTCTCAGGGCTGGCCTGGTCGCCAAAGTTACGGGCACGGTTCTCAGCACGGTCGCGGGGAGCACCCTGGTTGTTGGCGGGACGGCCAGTGGCATAGTCGAGGTTGATGGTGCGGCCATCGATCTCAGCGCCCTTCTTGGCCTCGAAAGCCTTAGCAGCATCAGCAGCGTTGGTGAACTCAACGTAACCGAAACTAGGATACATGATTAGCAAAGACCCAGATACCAAAGGTGGAATATAATGCTTACCCGCGAGAGCGGCCAGTCTCACGCTCAGTCATGATGCGGCAGCCAGAGAGCTCACCGAAGCCCTCGAACTCGCGCTGGAGCCACTCCTCATCGACGTTCCAGGACAGGTTGCCGACGAAAAGGTTGGCGGAGGCACCCTCAGCGGGCTGCTCAACCTTGGTCTTCTTGGGGGTAGCGGCGCTCTCGTCCTCAGCCTTGCGCTTCTTGGACTCCTTGGGAGCCTCGTCGCTCTCAGACTCAGAGTCGGAGGAGTCAGAGTCAGAAGAATCAGAGTCGGAAGATTCCTAGGTAGGTCAAGTTAGCATGATATGTTTGTCAGGATCGATTGGTGGGTGACGCGAACCTTCTCGGCCTTCTTCTCGTCCTCAGACTCGGAGTCAGAGTCGCTGTCGCTGGACTCCTTGGCGGCCTTCTTGGGGGCCTCCTCCTCAGAAGAGGAAGAGTCGGAATCAGAGTCGGACTCGGACTCAACCTTCTTCTCAGCCTTCTTGGGGGCCTCCTTCTCGGACTCAGAGTCAGAATCCTCAGACTCGGAGGACTCCGAGTCGCTGGACTCCTCCTTCTTGGCAACCTTCTTGGTCTCCTTCTTGGCAGGCTTCTCATCCTCGCTCTCGCTCTCGCTCTCGCTGCTGGAGGCATCCTTCATGTCCTCATCGCTGTCAGAGTCAGAGTCGGACTCGGACTCGACCTTCTTCTTGTTATCCTTCTTAGCGGGCTTCTCATCCTCACTCTCGCTGCTGGAGCTAGAGTCGGACTCCATCTCCTCATCGCTGTCGGACTCGGACTCGGAAGACTCAGAGGGAGTAGGCTCCTTCTTCTTCTTGGAGGACTTCTTCTCCTTGGTCACAACAGCCTTGGCAATCTGCTTGCTCTTGGACTTGGGGGACTGAGCAGCCTTGCTCACACCGGCATCCTTGACCTTGCTCAAGGCCTTGTCAACGGGCTTCTCACCCTTCTTGGAAACGGACTTGGTCTTAGACATTTTGAATCTGGGGATAGGAAGAATGGTTGGTTAGTGGAAAGAGGTGAGGATGGCGGATGGCGGATGGGTCGATATATGAGAGCCGGGGTGGAGACATACCAGATAAAATTGATCACAGAGAAACTTCTTGTGCGGCGAAAATTTTCTTGAGTCCCACAAATCACCCGATTTGAGATAAGAATAGCCCACTGATTGCTTTCGCAAATACCCACAGGTAACCCACAACTGACAGTGTTCAAGCCCACACGAGTAAGACAGGAGAAACGCTACTGTCTATGATATGAAACCCACGGAAGTATCCAACAGATCCCACAGAATAGAACGTAGTATGTTACAACCCACAGCCCTCAAGGTAAAAAGCCCACAAGATGTCTGTTACGGTGTACCTAGTAAGATACAGCTGAGTCAGTTAAGAAGTAAATGGAGGAGAGTCAAACGGTTGTTTGAATCTCAACAGAGGAATGAAGATGATAGATAAAAGGGATGAAGAGGAGTGAGAGGATGAAGAGTGAAGGGGGAGAAGAAAAAGAAGAAAATTTCTACTGCTGGGAGCTCCGATAAGGCGGCCGGGGGAAAAAAAATTCGACTAGTCGCAAAACTGGAGACAGGCAGAAAAAAATCAACAGGGGCTACCGCCTGCACTCCTGGTCTTAGTCGAGGTACTCGGACCCACCAGCCACACCGCATGCATCGATGACTAAGCGCGCCTTACCCCGGTGCCTGTTGGCCTCGGCCCTCGAGGATTTGGGTGAAACACAAGATAATTGGTGATCCCTTGCAATTTTATGAAAAGAGCTCAAGCAGTCTGCACATCTTCATGGAACTCGATAGCTTCCGATAGTCTGAATCAAAATTAAGCCAGTCCTACTGTCTTCTGTAGAATTGCCCACTTAGCTAGCTAGTACTTACTGAGTACGGAGGTAATTCTTAGTTCCGCCCACCGCCCTCGTTGAAGCAACAGAGTGTCATTCCCCGGAGCTCTGGTTGGTTCACTCCCTCCCGTCTGTACCACGTATTACTACAGTTCTACTCACTCCTGACCTTGCTCTTCCCTCTTTGCGTGCACCATCATCGCAATTGCACTCCAACACAGACGGATCACATTGAGTCAATGGTATACTAGACTCACTCTCGTCTATCATCGCGGCAATGGCTCCTCCATCCTCTTATCGCCCGCGGAAGAAGAGAAAGTTCCCCTCGTCATACACGGGCTCCAACAATTCTCTCATTGCCGAGTCAGGCGGCAAGTCGTCTCCCGCATTTCCTCTGGTTTCATTCCTGTGGTCCGCTCGGGCAGGTGTTTCTCAATGGCTTGTTCTGCCTCTTGTTCTGATGGCTGCCGGCCTATTCCGTTGGGCAGTTAGTCTATGGGGGTATTCTGGTACGTTGCATGGGTGTCTTGAACACAATGTTCCCTAAGACTAATGTCGACAAGGCTTCCAGGTACCCCCGATGCACGGTGACTTCGAGGCGCAGCGACACTGGATGGAGATTACCACTCATTTGCCCATGGCAAAATGGTATTTGTATGATCTACAATACTGGGGACTGGACTATCCTCCTCTGACGGCATATCACAGCTGGCTGCTGGGGAAAATGTAAGTGGCTGGAGGTTCAAGATCACCTTTCTCTGTGACTGACTCCAGGTAGTGGAACTGCCATTGACCCGAGCTGGTTCGCTCTTGACAAGTCTCGCGGACTTGAAGATCCCCTGCTAAAGGTGTTCATGCGCGGTACGGTAGTGGCTTCCGAGTATCTTGTCTTCATCCCGGCTGTGGTCAACTTCTTGCGCCGCTACACTCGGATGCAAAATGTGCCTGTCTGGTCTGCTTCGATTGCGCTTGTCGCAATCCTACTTCAACCCGCGACGATTCTCATCGACCATGGTCATTTCCAGTACAACACGGTGATGCTGGGGCTCGTCGTTGCGAGCTTGGATGCCATCCTGGCGGGACGGATGCTCTGGGCTTGCATCTTCTTTGTGGGCGCCCTCGGCTTCAAGCAGATGGCGCTGTACTATGCCCCCGTCTTGTTCGCCTTCCTCTTGGGCGTGTGCATTTTCCCGAAAATCCGGATCCTCCGCCTTCTTTGCATTGCGCTTGTCACACTCGTGGCATTTGCGGTTCTCTTCGGCCCATTGGTGATCGGCGCGATCGGTGAAGAGGCACGAGAGATCCTGGCTTCGGCTCCGCAGCCTCCTCTTCTGCAGCAGCTCCCGATCGATCTCGACAAGCATTCCGTGCTCTACGCAGTCGCTTTCCAATTGGCGCAGATCATTCATCGTGTGTTCCCGTTTGCCCGTGGTCTGTTCGAAGACAAGGTCGCAAATGCTTGGTGCGCTATCCACACGTTCTACAAGCTCCATCGGTTCGAAGCCAGTCTCCTGCAGCGCATGTCCCTCGGCGCCACCTTCGGTTCGATCTTGATCCCCTGCATCCTGATCTTCCGCCATCCGCGCGCATCCCTTCTGCTCCCCGCACTCTCAAGTGTCGCCTGGGGCTTCTTCTTGTTCTCCTTCCAGGTGCACGAAAAGAGCGTCCTGCTTCCCTTGCTCCCGATGACACTGCTCCTGGCTGGCGACGGGGGTCTCAGCAAGGAGACGCGGGCGTGGGTTGGATGGGCCAACATTCTCGGAACGTGGACCATGTACCCTCTGCTCAAGCGCGACGAGCTCCGGGTGCCGTACTTCGTCATGACCTTGCTCTGGGCCTATTTGATGGGCCTGCCGCCAACCTCGCTCGAGGCCTATCGTAGCCGGGATTCGTCCGAGGACAATGCGGAACCTCATGTGCTCACCAAACTCGTGCATATCTGCTTCTACCTTGCTATGATCGCATGGCATGTCGTGGAAGCTTTCGTGCCTCCTCCCTCGGACAAACCCGACCTGTGGGTGGTCCTGAATGTGCTCATCGGAGCGGGCGGGTTTGGACTGGCCTATCTATGGTGTGTGTGGAAGTTGGTCCAGCAGTGCCGGAAGATTGACCAGAAGGTCGCGGAGGAGACTCAGAAGAAGAACCAGTGATCTAAGGTCGACCCATAGAGGCGGTGCCTTCCATATACCTTTTGTCATTCTATAGTGATACCCCATTTTATTTCCGTGGGCTTGCCATGTGCATGGCTCTGTGACACGAAACACAGTCCATGCCAGTTGTATGTACACCAAACAAAGAGCAATGGTTTGATTTTACTTGATACTCTTTCAAGGCACACACTACAGCCTTCACAGACCATGATCACCAATACAATCGCAAGAAATATACTGCATGAGGGGAGATGATGCTAAAACGACCGCCCACAAGACGAACATTCGAGCAGAGAAAAAAGATCTATTAATATACACGACCATAGCAAAGCGAACCCCTCGGAGAAAGCAAAGCCTCCCAGACCCCAAACTCCAGGAAATGTTGCATGCGCTCTTTCTCCTTCTATGTACTATACTGTACCCAAAAAAAATCAATTCACGTGTTATACAACCACCGAGTCGAGGAGGATCTCACACACGCCCGGAAATCTCCCCGCCCCAGAAACATGCCACTCCCCGCACAACAGCCCCAGGGGAAACGTTCTAGACCTTGAATCCATAACCGGCCATGCAGGCCTTGTACTGGTCAATCATCGACTTGCATTCCTGGGTGGGGTCGTCGGTCTTGGAGAAGAGCATGCAGTCGTCGCGGGCGGTCTTTTCGGTCTTGCAGACGCAGCAGGGCTATCGAAGTAGTCAGATTAGCGGTTTTGAGTTTGGTGGGATGCGTGGCTTGCATCGGGGAAAGGTGCGGTGGTTTCGACGGAGCGGACGGTGCGACTGACCTTGGGCTTCTCTGCGGGGGCGGCGGATTCGGTGGGAGCTGCAGCGGGCGCGCTCTCGGCTGTATTTGCGCGAACGGGGGGTTGGTTAGTTTCAATCGTATGTCGGATAGTTGTAGACGGGGTGCGTAACTGTGGGAAAGGGAAAGATTGAAGATTGAAGGGCTGCGGATAATCGCGGGAGTTGACTTACGCTTGGAGGAACCGAACAACCAGGACATTGTGAAGAATGAAGGCTCTGGGTATAAAGGCGCAGAATGAGCGACTGGATTGAGAAAAGGAAAGAATGCAATGGAGCGAACAGTGAGTGGGTGGTGAGACAATTGGCAACGAGGAGGAGGAATACCTAGTCAATTAAACAGGCCGAGAACTGCTGATTAATGCGATAAGTTAGTTGAAGAAGATGATGCGATGGGTTCGGAATGGCGTTGTTAGTCGGTATGACTTGCCATAGCGGCGATCGGGGAAAATTTGCGGGCAAAGAGCCGGTTGTCAGGGAAGCAGGGGGGGAGAGAGGCGGCGGGCGGGCGGGCGCATCATCACACTGCACTCAACTGCATTCTGCATTCTTTTGTTCTTTCCCCTTCTTCCCCTTCAATTCATTATCTTCCCTCACCACACACTCACCACAAATACACTTCCATCACATTCATTCCTCCATTTTTTCTCTTTTAAACTTTTTCACTTGCTGGCTTGGACAGTCATCTTGTCCATCCTTACGTCTGTCTTTCTGACGATCCTTTCCATCTGTACTTCTTGACTGTTGACCTTTTTTCCAACCCCTCCCCCCCTGAAATTTAATTTACCCCGCCATGGCCCCTCCTAAGGTCTTTTCGCTCGAAGGCAAAGGCCTCAAGCTGGACACCGCTGAGGACATTGAGACCCATATCAAGCCCTTGTTAGAGAGAACCGACTACACTGAGATCCGCTTTGGAGGAAACACTCTGGGCGTCCCCGCCTGCGAGCGCCTCGCCGCCGTGCTGTCTACCCAAAAGAGCCTCGAAGTTGCCGAGCTGGCCGACATCTTCACCTCGCGTCTGCTGAGCGAGATTCCCGACGCTCTGACTTTCCTCCTGAACGCCCTGCTCGAGATCTCCACTCTCCACACCGTCAACCTGTCCGACAATGCCTTCGGTGCCAACACTCAGAAGCCCCTCGTCGACTTCCTCGCCCGCCACGTGCCCCTCCGCCACCTGATCCTGAACAACAACGGTATGGGCCCCGAGGCCGGTTCCAACATCGCCAAGGCCCTCACCGAACTCGCTGGGCGCAAGGAGGAGACTCGCAAGGCTGGCAAGGAGGTGCCTCTCCTGGAGAGCATTGTCTGCGGTCGGAACCGCCTGGAGAACGGCAGTATGGCTGCCTGGGCACGTGCCTACGAGGTGCACGCCGCCGGCATGCGCTCCGTGAAGATGACCCAGAACGGTATCCGCCAGGAGGGTATCTCGTTGCTGCTGAAGGAGGGCCTTAGCCACTGTAAGGCTCTGGAGGTCGTCGATCTCCAGGACAACACTTTCACCGTTATGGGCTCGACTGCTCTGGCCGGTGTCCTCGGTAACTGGGCCTCTCTTCACGAGCTGGGTGTGAGCGATTGCTTGCTTTCGGGCCGTGGTGGTGTCAAGGTCGCCCAGGCCCTGGCTGAGGGTAAGAACGAGAAGGTGCAGACGCTGCGTCTTCAGTACAACGAAATTACGGCCGAGGGTGTCAAGCAGCTTCTCTTTGCGACCAAGTCTGGTCTCCCCGCCCTCCGCCGTATTGAGCTGAACGGTAACATCTTCATGGAGGATGATGACAACGTGACTGAGCTGCGCGAGATTCTCGAGGCTCGCAAGGGAGAGCACGGCTCCGATGAGGACCCTGAGGAGATGTGGGGTGTTGACGAGCTGGACGAGCTTGAAGAGGAGGAGAGCGAAGAGGAAGAAGAGGAGGAGGAGGAAGAAGAGGAAGAAGAGAAGGCCGAGAAGCTTCTTAAGGACACCGACCTCGCTGAGAACGAGAAGGTCGCCCAAAAGGAAGACAAGGAAGTCGACCAGCTGGCCAGCCTTCTGGGCAAGACTGGTCTCTAAAGTTCGACAGTTGTTCAGCCTTCCACCTACCCTTCTCGCCCCCCACTGACACACTTTACACACATCCTCCATTTTTGTCGCATATCCAACCCATACCAGTCAGTGAATCGGCAGTGACCTTTCCGGTGCCGGGAACCACACGCATGGCCGTCCCGACTATGACACGGTGCAAATCAGCATTGCCTCGTCATATCCAGCAGGAACTTAGCATGGAGGATCTTACGACCTACCCATCTAGTCGACACGCCTGTTGGAGGTTGCCCGAGCATTCCTCAACCGCGAGGACTGCCACAGATCACCTGACGCACATCTTGGATAGCATATTGCCCCAACCTTTTCTTGCTTTGATGTTGCCATCACACAGCTTATACCCGTTGGAGAGCATTAGACCTAGACAAGAGTTTTAGCACCAGCTAAAAGATTCCATGCGTTATTGCCCTTACGATGTATATAAGAATTTGATGAATAAGAAGATTATCTGATGCGATCATTTGTGTCCACGGTGCCAGTATAGATGTGGGCTAACGTTCCTTCATCGGCCTGTTTCCCCTTCGTATGTTTTATTATTCTCCTGATGTCGGTCTATCGGCATATCGGTTCCCTCGGCCCTCCGACCCGTGAGTGCTCCATTTGACTTCTCCGGGGCTGTTCCTCGTAAAACTCAACACCAGCATTACAAAGTCTAAGCCCGAGAGTTCTGCCACTCAAAGCGGTACTACAGCCACCGCTAAGTGTTTCACAGTTTGCGTGTTCGAAGGATCAGTAAACGTCGGTCCCTTCTGAAGCACCTTCTAAAGCACTTGAAGCAGAAAGCGGTAAGAACCAGCGTCGAGACATTCTGCCACTGCTCCGCAAAACACCGAGTCCTGTATATAGGGGTCCACGATCCTTGTCCTGAGTCCAACTCACTAGACAAAAGTAGGCCAGGGTACATGATGCCCATTTCCTGGGACTTCCCTTCCAATCACCAGCTGATCTGCATCTATTAGCAGGTTAAGGTTGAGGCTCTGACTTTTGCCCGCTCGGTCTCTGCACCGTTTTTCCCGCTTAGTCATCGGATATCGCGCACGCTCCGTCTGCCGGAACCGAACTATAGCCATGAATCTTTATCAGTGTCGCCCCCTAACGAGCTTGTAACGAGCTTGGCTGGAATAGAAATAAATAGCGGCCATGATCACTCAGGGCTAGGGGTCTCTGTAATTTGACCCTAGCAAGGAGCAATTGTGCTGAAGGGGTGGACAACTTGCAACCTGAACATACGAACATGAGCCCGCCGCCGGCGCGGTCCTCTCACCAGGATGACTGGAAACAGCACTGGAAGAGCTTCCTCGGAGCAGTGGGGATGAGCTTTCTGCTTCTACAGCTTCTTTTCCTGGGCAACATGTCCTACATGTACGGGACGCAGTATCGAGACAGCGAACGAATCCATCAATTGAAGCTCCTGTACGTCGATTTCGACGGGGACATCATCGGCCAATCCGTCCTCGACTCATACGGAGCCCTGCAGGGCGCGACCTTCCCCACGCTGCACCAGGCATCCACTGAGGACTTTGCAACTGGTCAGGATGTGCGCAACGCCGTCTGCCACGGGGATTATTGGGGAGCCATCTACGTCAACCCGGGGGCCAGCGCGCGGCTGGCAGCCTCACTGTCCGGGGACGCAGACAGCAGCAACAGCAGCAACACCAACGCATCCACCGCGCTGACCTACATCTGGAACGGCGCACGCTACCCAGCTTTCGCACAGAGCGCCGTCTACTCCAACCTCCTCACGCTCATCGAAGCGACGCGGTCGACCTACTACGCGCGCAACGCGTCCAACGTCCTCCAAACCCTCCTCCTCGCCCCGTCTTCCTCCGCCTCGTCATCAACATCAACCGCACTCACCGCATTCCTGGACCCCATCACCGCCAGGGAACACAACATCAAAGCCACCGCGCAAGGCGGGCGGGTGCTCTACAACACGGTCTCGATCGTCATGCCGATCATCCAGCAGTTCTTCTTCATGATGGCGCTGAACGGGCTGTCGGCGCAGTTCCAGCTGTTCACGCGGCTGACGCCGCGCGCCAACGGGCTGCTGCGGCTGAGCATCTCGGGGTGCTACACCTTCGTCGGGGCGCTGTGCATGGTCGGCTACATCTGGGCGTTCCGCGAGTCGTGGGCCGTCTCGGGGGGCCAGTTCGTGCTCTGCTGGATGGCCGTCTGGCTGTACATGCACATCCACTTCCAGATCGTCGACGTGCTGACCACCTACGTGCCCATGCAGTTCATGCCCTTCTGCATCCTGACCTGGGCCATCCTCAACGTCGCCAGCACCGTCAGTCCCTTTGAGATGCAACCGGGCTTCTTCCGGTGGGCGTACGCGCTCCCCGCCCACGAGCTGTACCAGGTGCTCGTGCAGATCTGGAGCGACGGGTGCGAGAATCAGTTGCGCACCGCGTTGCCTGTCTTGTTCTCGTGGTGGGTCGTGGGCGCTGGGTCGGCCACTGTCGCGACGCATCGGAGGTGTCGTGTTGCTGCTGCTGCTGCTGCTGCAGTTGGTCATGGGAAGGGTCTTGAGGATAGTACGGCGGATGGAAAGGCGGAGTCTGTGCGGACTGGGTCGAGTACGCAGGGGATTCTACCCGGTCGAGGGACGGACAGACGAAATACGATTGAGATGGAGCGGTTGGAGAGTGCGGCGTATGGGCCGCGGTATCCCACTCCGTTGGTGAGTGGGGATGGGGGGAGGTCGTCTGTCTAGGTGTTTTTAGACTTGAATTGATTTGCGTTAAGTTCATAATATCCTCTAATGGCATCGAGCTTGTCGGACTAGTTGCACATATTATAAGGCCTATATAGCGAGGTTATCTGGATCGGAAGACACGCGTAGCTGTCCTGACCTTCTGGAGGAACCAACGGAGCAAGCAAATGCTCCATTGTAGTGATGCTTACCAGTTAGTGAGTCAGTCTATCACGCATTTATCAAGGTACGCCGCCCACTGCTCTTGAGGCCATGCCCCTCACCCACCCCAATACAGACTATCATCGACGCTCTGCACGGGATCTGTAGTCATTATCAGAAGCAGCATGTGCATGAATCGTATGCTAATCATAAATCTGTTATACCGTTATGTCTCATGTATAATCAATCAAAGGGGCGTGGCTGACTACAGTAGTCAGAGCCAGATCGAGTAAATACGTCGACAACCATCCAAGGTCCACAACCACTGGCCCTGCACTGCATACCAATCCCACCCCCAACCCCAGCGAGATCTAAGACATGGCACTCACCCACGCACATCCACATTCCAAATAACATCATCCAACCCCCCCGCACAGGACAAGGGCAAGCATTTGACACAGCCCAGATTCTAGACCCTGAAGCGAGCGTGACTCTTTGACTCTGGTAAGCCCGGGAACTGCGCCTCAAACATACCAGCCCAAGCGTCGTCCAGCATTTTTAGGTTCAATTGCATCCGCAAGAGATGAGGATAGGACCGTATATAGTAAGTAAACTGAAACGCAGACCTCTTGCGGATGCATGCATGCTCATGGTAGGTATAACCATGCCGCCAAGCTACATCTAGTTGCCTGGTTACTTGACCATTCAAAAAAAAGAAATTGCCGAGCATATATAATTCGAAACATGATAGTGATAAATAATATCAATCATATCTAGAGGACTAACTAAGCCCTTCTCTTCTCCCTTCCTTCCAAGCCTGATAACAAGAGAAAACACTTGATCAGGGAGTTGTGATGCATCATGCTCCAAGTCCTCCGTCGCCGTGGACAGTACTGTACATACACATTAGCCCACCCTACCATACCTCTATCCAATTCAGTACCCTGCACCTGTGGGAAGTATACTACACTATACTCCCCCCAAAGGTTCGGGTTCAGGTACAGTTCTATGATCCGAAATAAAGTTAAGCATCCCCCTCTCCCCCCCTCCACTACCATACCTGAATAAGGTTTGTTGTTTCCTTTTCTCTGGGAAAATCAAAAAGATCTCCGATATACCGCATGCATGAAGCGATGCACGACAAGTTTTGAGCGATGGTTTGGGGTTTTCTTGGGATATACTCTATTTGGGGGGTGCTGGTCTTGGGGGAGGTTTGTTGGTGGTGGCTTAGTTGGATTCATGTTATACTATATGCAAGTATGTGTATGCTTCTGTGGGGGTGTTGGCGGCTGAGGGGTGGATGCATCAGGGGATGGATTGGGTTTGGGTTTGTGGTGATTTGTTGGTGGGGGTGAAATGTCGGTGTATCATGCTTAGGCATGTTGAATATGTGTGTGTGTTGTGGTCTATGGTTTAATAGGTTGGGGATATCTACGGTGGACAAGGGGTTGATTGTTCTTGTTGTTGTTGTTCTTGTTGTTGAATTGGGAGACGTGGTTTACAATGGCTATTGTCGATAGTCACTTCAGATCATGAGATGTGTTACAAGTGGATGAATCTGTACCCAATGATCTCTTGAATTCATTGTTTCTTTTTGAGTCTGTTATACTCGAAGCCGGCAAAGTCTAATCATCTAACTTTAACCTCCTGCATGAACAAAACCATGATGATCGACCGCCCGCCGTAGGAATCTCGGGAGAATCTCATGGCTTCAGTGCAGTTACTCGGTTAGGCCAAAACAGATGGGTTACACAAGGCCCCAAATCTGCCAGATTGACAGCCAGGAGGAAGGCGCAGCAAGTACTCCGTACGTAGCCAGCATTTCTTCTTCTTCTTCCTCTTGTTCGTCATTCCCCCCTTCGCTGCGCCAAGACAATAATCGAGGGAGGAATGCACGGCAGGTCTTGGCGGTGATCGTGCGGAGGGAAAAAGGGGGTTGGACGGGGGAAACTTGGAGAAGAGGAGTGGCTTTGATGCTCCTCTTCTCCATGGGGTTTCTACTGCAATAGTCGTATGTGTGTGTGTGTGTGTGTGCGTGTGTGCTGGTATTTCTGTCCGGTGATAGTCAACTTAAGTAGTGCCAAGAAAGTGTGTAGAACGTCCGGACGGTAACGACCACTGTGAATGACAAATTCAACAAGCTTCGCCTGCTCACCCACCCCCTTGTTTCTTATCAGCAGAACATGCACAGTCAGAGACTGAGAAAAACGGACAAGTGTTTTCATGCCAAGAGCGGTGGTCATCCTCATCTTCATCTTCATCTTCCATCATCGTCTCTGTCAAAGTGGGATTGACTTCGGAACCGCAGAATTGGTAAGTTTGCGCGACAAGAGGTTGATACCCCCCCTTTCGATTGACGCTTGATCAATTCTTCTCAATTCCCAAGATTCAGTCCGTCCCTAAATTTAGTGTCAGGGTCCATGAGTGCAATTGGATCGGGATTTTCGACCTATCCGAACCCAAGTCGATTCAAAATCGTGTGCTTGAATCAAAATTCAGGACAGCGCCGTAGGAAGGGATGGGAATCCCCGCCAAGAGATGCCTTGCTGGGCTCCTCTGCACATCGCCATGCTTGGCGGCCACTGACCGACGTGACTATTGGCTTGGGGAAAGAATAGAAACAACAACTGGTCGGCGGTGATAGTCGTGTGATTCCGGAGTCGAAGGGAGGGATGGAGGGAGGGCGCTTGTACGACCTCGAGGTGAAATCGATTTGAGCCGGATAAGAGCAAAAGAGAAGGGGAGGGAGAGGGGAGATTCACAGCGGTGGACATCCTCAAGCCAGGATCAGATAGACAGCTGCAACTCATGCGATGCCATAATGCTGCCTTAGTCGGCCTTGGCGAATGACGCAGTACCCCTGATGTGCGGTCGATCCATCTCCTTTGTTGATATCATACTATACTATCTACATGGATAGTATGATTACCAGGTGGGAAGACATTCACCAAGTACCGTAGCCAAGGTACGGTACCTACCGTATGATGCTGGTGAGTGGTGACTGTCACGGCTACCCGAGTGCTCCGTAGTAGTACAACCTCCATCAGTCGATCGATATACTTACTCCAGTCCGGTGTCTCACTAAGCGAAGTAAACAAACCAAAGCGGATCATCGACGAAAGCAGACTAAGAGGACGAGAACAGCCTCTAACAGCCTCATCTGCCCAGACCGATTGACATCATACGCTCATAGCGATCGACCCGCGACTGCCCCAGGAATGGACGAGGCTCCTCTTTCCCCCTATTTTTTTTCGTGTGAGATTAAGCGTTCCCGTATACTTCATTCGGGACAACGAACCTACCTTTTGGATCATGCAACTTCTAAGGGGGAAGGAGAAGGGCAGACTCCCCACCGCCCAATGCGGCGATATGCACGGGGGTAGAATATAGCCGGATATGATACCGCAGGGATACGGACGCTGAAACCGAGTGAAACGAGGGGGAGACCTGTCTGATGCGGTGACTACTGACTGACTTGACTTTGCTTACTTGCAGTTGCAGTTGCAGGAAACCCCGATTCGATCAGAAAATCTTGCTGCAGCCTGCACCTGAGTCTTGTCCCGGTTCTCCTTTGTGGGAATCTGGGTGAGCCTTTTCCTCCGTGCAGATTAGGATTTTGCGGGGAGGAGGGAAACAGTGCCCATCCATGCAGAAGATCCCTTGGCATCGATGTCTTCCGGTTTGAACAGTAGTATCGTATAGTATAGTATAGTTAGTGCTGGTCGTTGGTTTGTATGGGCACCGATGGAGATTATCAAGTCCAAGCATTCTTGATTTGACGGTAGTCGCCATGCTGCTCACGGTGAGTTTCCGTATAGACCTGAATCGGAAGACCGAGACTCTCTTCCCTCCCCTTTGATCCCGAGTGATATGCGGAGTCAACAAAATCGCGCACCCTCCTTCAGCCTTACAACAATGGGTGACAGACATGCTGGAGCCCGACGCTGCAAACCGCCCTGCTAGTTCGGGAAAATTCTTCGAAACCAAGCACAAACACAACCGAACCTTCGAAGCAGAGTTTAGCGTCGGCGAACCATGGCTCGTGGACGGCCAAAGCACGTTGTGTGTGGTTAACCATGGATTCTCATCATGCAGGAGCAATAATACGTGGAGGGGGGGCGGAAGAGCACATCTCATTGAACGGGATCCGAGTGTGCTTTTCCTTACCTTACCTGACTGACTGTGGACGGGAGACGGTGCCGAATCCCGTGAGGGTCGGGTTGGCCGATGCTGCTGCTGCTGCTGCTGCTGCTGCTGCGACCCTGGATTGTGCCGAGGGAAAACCGCCGAGCTGCCACACACACACTCACACTATCGAATGATGAGCGAATTTCCCTCCCACCGGACGCAATCAATCAATAATAATAACAATACTACTAATCAATCCCATGCATTGTCAATCCTGTCGGCTCCCGCTTTGGGAACAACCACACGCGATAAGCCAAGCCCGTCTACGTATGTACTGTACCTTCTGCCGATTTACCCATTCCCGACCGGCTGCGACTGCAGAGAACCAGTGACGAGAGACTAGAACCAACCACCCAACGATCGCATTGAGGATAGAAGGTCAGTTCGAGGTTTAGCCAAAGAAGAAGAAACAAACTGCTTGCTGCTTAGTAGAAGGGCAAAGGGCTGCGGTCATGATTCAGGCTTCATTCACCGTCTTGCGTCTTTTTTCCGGTGCGAGGCGCACAGCACCAACTCTGCTCTTCCCTCTTCCCCCCAAGATTGCAATCTCAGGCGAAATCTCCACAGACCTGATGAGCTGTAGTCAGAACTGCCAGGCACGGCCCATAATTCCCCGAATTCGGCCTCGGACTAAGCCCGATCCAATCTCTGGCATTCCCCGCCCCGAGCGACTTTTAGGAAGAAGAAGGCATACGCACCCACGGAAAATTATTCTTGCCGTCGATAGAGAGCATCTACCCTTATCAGACAAGTGTGTTGGTTGGTGCGTTCTCATCCATCTGCCTGCATGCTGCAGCCGACTATTGGCGTCCTACTAGTATCGTGCCGGTGGGCTGCCACCGTGGCAGGTCCCCTGTTTCTTGACTAACACCAGTCCACCTTGTCGCGGAGACTGGAGACTGGAGACTGGAGACTGGAGACGTGCAGAATGAGGCGGGATAAGGAACAAGACAAGAGAAAAAATCACGCACGCATGGCGGCAACGTACTCCGACGACTGCTTCATTTACTTCGGGGAGATGGAGGAGAAGAATAACAACAACAACAACAACAACAACAACAACAACAACAACAACAACAACAACAACAACAACAACAACAGATTGAACTGCCAGAAATAGTCATTATCTTGAACTCTCCCTACTAGCAGGATGATACCCGTCAGCAGCTGCAGCAGTTCCGAGATTCCCGTAGATTTTCCGTCAGGGTAAAAAGCATTGAGCTCGATTGTTGGATAGATGGGGGAAGCTGGGGGAGATGTCGCGTAGGTAGCTTGTCGGACTAGGCTAGTGGTCTGCCAGCTATCTATTCCAAGGATCGAGTAGCTGCTGCGGTTAAAATCCCTCCAGCGCTGTTGCTCGTTTTGCTCGGTTTCTCCAACATTGGCATTGGCTGCTGCTCAAACTGGGGACGGCTGGCCCGTTAATTATTGTCACGGTGGGTGTAGGATGGAGCTCCCGATGAACAGTAGGAGCTCCCGTCCGTGGGGGCAGTTTATGGAGTCCAGTTACTGAGTCCTAGTCTACTGGAGTCTTTAGAACGTGAGCCCGCCTCTCGTCACTCGTGTGTCTCACCCTCCCGCTCGAGATCCATGGGGGGGGCAAAAGGATGGGGGGAAATGGTTTGGATGACATATTTGCCTCATGGCAAGCTGCACAAATACCCTTGTGTAGAGTCTGGACAAATAGGAAGGCTTGAAAAATCTGCACGCTGTGATGCGGCGCGGCGGAAAAATTAGGAGCGGATGTGCTCGTGTTATGCGACATGCCAAACTCTGGGTTGTCCTCGTTGCTATCCGGAGTGAAGAAACCTCGGGTGAAAGCGCAACGCCTGCCAGGCGCAGACGACAACGACAACGACAACGACAACGACAGACAACTTGACTCGACAGAAAATCCCTCACTCAGATCCTCCTCGATGAGACAGCTTGGCGCGGGCGATCGCCCGGTGGGGAGAGATTTATCATTTGAGCGAAAAGCGAAGTAGTACCGTAGTGCCGGAGTGGGCAAAAGGGCACTAACCACTAGTCATCAATCCTCATTTAATTTGGGGGCGCTAATGGGCGGTTCCCCAATTAACGCCGGTGAAGATGGGAGCACAACCTGTCCCGTTCCTGGTCGGTGTGGTTTAGTCCCAGTTCTATGGGGATAGGTCGCTGCTCGCTAGTACCCTAGCCTCAGTCACTACTGTAGGTACCAGAAAAGCCAAGAGTGAATCTACTGTGGGCTGGCCGCCTCTCTCCGTGGTCGCTCCACGGTCGCGATCGTATTCGTGAGAGGGCAAGGCACTGGTGGCAGCCCAGCTCTACCGAGGGCAATTGGACAATGGCGATTGCGTCCAACTTGTAGCGCTCCATTTGATATTGTCGAAGGTTCATAGGGCCGAACTCGATGACAATGCCATCTAGGACTGATATGCACTGATGCAGGGCATTTTGTGGGATCGACTGTATCATATTACCCAATAGATACACAACTGCCTGATCAGGCATGGTGTAATACACCTAGCCCTGTCTCGAACGGAGATTTGCGCGACTATTCCATTTCCTCGGAGATGGGTTGGTGAACGGACACACACAACGCAACATAATTAAACGGAGGCAGAGGGCGAGTGAAAGGGAAAATTTCCCGAGAAGAGAAGGCGAGAGCTACCAAACTCGCATTAATTATTGGCAAATTGCCCCAAGACCATCCCCCGATGGTCCCCCAAATCAAATCAATAGTCCACGACAATCGGTCGGCCATCCCACACAGACCAACTGGCCCCCCCTCTTCCCCAATCCATCTCCCCTTCAGCCTTCTTTGCCTTTGCACTGTAGTCAGTGTACCAGGAGGAGGCCGGGATTGATTTCTCTTACCCGATAGGATCTCTTATCGGACAATTGGGCAGGGTATGATGTCATGGGCGGTTGCCTCTCAAAGTCTCCAAACCCCTCCAACGAATAATGCCACCTGCCGATTTCCGACCCTCGCCAACTAACCCTCGGATTCGCCTCCCCCCCTCCATCCCCCTGTTTTTTCTCCTCACCAACCCACAAGACTCCCATCTCCCCGAACCCGGGCGGCAACAATCCACGCTGATTCGACTGGAATGCAGCTAGCAGAGCCCGGGACCCAGTAGAAGAAGGATTCTAGAAGACGTCGAGAACGGCAAATCTGCGGTCAGGAAAGCAACCTGCCCGCCTGCCCCTCACCTGTGCCATGCTATCGGTGCCTCTGGTGGCGACCGGATTGCCCGAGTGAGTAAGGCGTGGCCCCGGCCTTCTCTCAGATGGAGAGAGATGGAGAAATGCCCAGTCTCCAGAGGATGGGGGGAAGTCTCCCGGTGGGCAAACGCGCGAGATAAGAGTCATTACTAACGATGCTTTGGGCCTTAGTCTGGTCTTTAGCCGGCCGCTAAGGACTTACTCCGACTTTTGGCTTAGCCTACTCCGGACTCTCGCACCACTCTCAGTCACCGTGGAATAGCCTCACTTATGGCTCCATGCGGGATATAATGTCGCTCGTTAATGGAGTGACCGCGTCGTCACTCGGCGCGATCGCGCTGAAACGGCACCGACAAGGCGCGCGATCGACTACTTTGCCGTATATGCATCTGGATCTCTGGGGTGGTGGTCATCTAATGTAGGTCTCTATGGAAGAGGAAGACTTCTTGCGGTGTGTCTGTTGATCTGCTGTGGGATTATCAAATCCATGCCTCACGTGTTGGCTCCTGTACGACTCAGTACCTACATAGTACGTCGTCTGCTCCACGATCTCGCAGACTTCGCTTTGTTCAGAGCCTCAGGCTCAAATACCCCGGAGGCATAGAACACCCATGGAAGCGTCCTTACATCTGTCAGAGACTTGTTTCAACCACCAAACTGCCGGCATATAGATGTCTCACGTGCTGCTGGATGAAGTCTGACGCATTTAGTATCAAACGCTCAGACATGACCAATTCATCTCATTCGATTGACAAGCTGGGCTGGCTGGATTCAAAGAACAACAATGAAGAGAAAACCTTCCTCGCATCCCACCCGCTGGTTCAGGGTCGACCTGACGTCCCGACCGAAACCGCTCGTTCCACGGTTAGCTGTGGGGAGCTTCCTTTGGGTTAGGTAAAATTTACCGCAGCCACTAGATTACACTAGGCCCAGGTACCTTTTCCTAGGTGGGAACCAGTAACAGGTACCAGGTACACTCTGTGTTGCCCGTAACCCCGATGTATCAGGTCGATACCGCTAGCATCACTGGCGACGGCCAGCATTGCTAATGCCACCCCCCGTCTAACACACGCAATGCGCACACACCGCGCCCCAAACCCCACTACTCGAATTGGGGAAAGCTAGGGACTTACTGTATGGCTGTGCTGAATTGAGGTAACTTGAATTATCCTCAGCTCGGACTCACGTACTACGACATGATGTTGCCCGGCCACTTACTAGAGCGAGAACCAGAATTGGGACTAGGTCTAGTCATAGTGAGACTGAGACGCGACTCCATCATGACTGACTACACTGCAGGTGTACTTTGTACCTTTTGAGTAAGTACCTTCACTGGAGCTAATTTGGAGCTACCAAGCTAGCTACTCGGTACGGATAGCTTCCTACCTAGAAGGGGAATGTAGCTCTCGACCTCGTTCTGCTCCATCTCTCCACTTCAATCCACCAGTCCACCTTTCAATGACTCCATAATGAGATCTGTAGCCACCAGGACAGTATTGCGATGATTAACTCTCCAGGTTAGGTAGGTAGCTGGCTCCGAGCTATGCTATCTCAGCTGACCGGCGCTGATCCGCCTTACCCATCCAATGCTCCAGACTCTCTCTCTCTCCTCTTTCTCCAGACTTTCCTAGGACATCGAGGCAAAAAGAGGGTCTAATCAACTGGTCCGGTAGATGAGACTCCCTCAACGCAGCCGGGTCACGCACCTCTTTCCCCCAGGAATACTACTCCGGCCACGTCCTTCTTCCCCCCGGGGGAGAAAAGCGACCATGCAAGAAACAAATGGCTGGGAAGAACGAAACAAAGGGAGATGGGAGCAGATGGGGGTCTTGGCTGACGTTGGTTACATGCCTTTGTCCCCCCCTCGCCGTCCGTCCATCTATTCTTAAAACAGACTTTAACCTTCCCCGGTAATGGATGCGACCGCGCCGGGCAACGGTAAGATGAGACGATAAACAATGACTAAAATCCTTGGTTTTGCTTGCTTCGTGATCGCAACATCCTTTGCGTTGATGATTTCGGTGATTGCAAAGGTTGGGAGTGACGAGGATAAGGTGAAAAGGGGGACGTGCACGGATAGAGGGTTTGGGGCGGGAGTGACTGGAACTGAATGTCACACTTTTATTATGAGATGAGAGGATCAGATACTGGCAGCTGAGTTCTGGTATACCAAAAGTTATGGAACGGAGACGGAAACAGTATGCGGGTGGAGAAACATGCTTCATTTGCTTCCCTTTCCATGTTTTTGACTGATCCAGGAACCTTTGCCCTTCCTTCCCCCTTCCTTCATTTTCTTATACGCAGACGTTCTGGAATTCTTCGTTCAAGGAAGGGATTCCATTGTCCCCCCCCCGTTGCGCTGAAGATGACGATGATGATGAAGGTCAAGATAGTTCAAAGGTACTAGGTAGTCTAGTAGGCAAGACATCCGGGGAATGCCGCTTAATCCGGTGATGTGATAATATTGCAGGCGGAACGTCAACAGCGCCTCATGACGGAAGCTGCTGGCCCCAAACCCGTGGTGATGAACTCGGGGTTCCTTTCACCTATAGACTTTTCTTACTGTGCGTGTAGTGCACACAAGTGTCGTGTGTGTTAGTTATGTGGGATAGTAATTCAGCCGCCTGGTGATGAACGAGAGAGAAGACTTCATCCTGGAAGCGATCATCAGACTCGGGGGTATATCGTAGTATTGTGGCTGCTTACGGGTGTTTCTTGTTTTTCCACCCCAGAGAGCACTGCGCCCGGCTGTGGTTGCCGGCTGAAGCGGAATACAAAATACCTCGTGTTCCATTAGTATAGCACTGCCTAATCACTGAATCCTATCAATGAAGAGAGGTATTAATCGTGTCTTGTTTCATGATGTGTATAAAATTCTTTCACTGGGGCATTCCCTATCAGAACTAAGGTGTAGTGTAGTGTATGAAAATATCCGACCGGGGTTAGGTTAACTATCATCCGCACCGTCATTGGTCAATCCCTGCTGCGCTCCGATGCGTGCCGTCCTCCGCAGTCCCTCCAGGCTGTAGCTTTTGCCTTCCATTCAGTTACGGAGTCAAGGTTCTGTGTCCTCCTCTCGGGCGAGTCGGCAGTCTGGGGCCGGGGTGTGGAGGGTCTTGATGGATACCTAGTACTCCGTTGACAGTACGGAGTTCAGTTGGAGTCAACACGGAGTCGGAGACTCTGTATCCAGTATTGTGCTGTGCTCGCAGCCCGAGGAGGGAAGACCGAACCGTACGGAGTGACTACTCAGTTGTGGGATATATATCCAGCTCACCAATGGAGCTGGGGTTTACCGAGTCAGAGTACGGGTTACCTTAGCAAGGTTGATTTTACCTGGGAGGTGGAATAATTGGTTAGAACTAAAAAAAAAAAAAAAAAGTAGACACTAGAAGTAGAGTATTTCGTACGAGAGCGATTAGAGCGATTATGGTGCATGTACGAGATCCAACGTCCACCGATCCCCGAGGGAGAAGACACGGAGTAGACTACGGAGTGAAGATGGTTTCTATCCGGGAGGTTGAGTGAGTGAGTGAGTGAGTGAGTGGGTGAGTGAGGCGCCCGCGGGCAGGGTTGATCATCGACCGGACCGGATCATCCCTCCGTTCGATTACTCCCCTCCCCCGTGCACTGTACTTTTCGTTAGTGTGGCGAGATGGGATGGCATGGCATAGTGGTGGAAGAAACAGCCAAGCATTGATATCACCCTGATGGGTTATTGTGGTTGTTGTGCCAAGAGAGGATTATTGAACCGCTTGATATCTTGCGAGATATCCTCAATAGGTCGGTAGATAGTGATCAATAGATCTTGTAGGGGAGTTGTCCGGTGAGGCTTGGCATGAAGACTACGTACTGTACTCAAACCACAACACAACACTCTAAGACAAGCCTTATGCGCGAGGGGAAGGGAAGCTTGCTTCCAGGTGAGGTAGAGGTCGGTGGCCATTGTAGGGATCCCCGCGGTCGGTTTAGATGGATGTAATGAGCTTTAATTCGGTGGGCCAAAAGGTCACCCTTGCTTGACTGGGATTGAGTCTCTTGGGGACCCGTGGTCCAGACATCACAAGAAGCGGTCGGTTGGTTGGTCGGTCAAATCGGTCGATAAGAAAGAACAGCACTGGAACCTGGAGGATTTTCCTCGATCATCACGATCTGGGGGAGGACGAGGACGAGGACGAGGGGCGAGGGATGAGAGACGGAGAAGCATCCCGTGCGGGCGGCTACGTGGTGATGCTGCTGCTGCTGCTTGCTGCTGGTCGTGGTGGTCGTGCTGTTGCTGCCGTCTCGGTACTCCGTAGTATGCCATGCATGCAGGAAGGCAAAGAGGCGATCAGACGGGATCCCATCTGCACGCTCCAATTAGACAATGTTTGGGGTTTGGTCAAACTTCACTGCCATGGTCGCTGAGGGCGGTCGGTCTTTTCAGGTTTCCTGGGTGGGGGAGCATTTCTAGGGGCAATTGGCTTTTGACTCGTTCTGAATATTCAACTCGGCTGAGTGACGCAGTCATTTGACCTTGTTAACCGTTCTTTGTGGTGTAGACGCTCTGAGATGTGTTATATGTAGGATGTATATAATTTGTTGTGGTGGTAGGGTAGGTATACTGCTGGGCCAAGACCGGGGGTTTTTGGCTGGCTGGACCGGGCTTCGTTCTCTTTCCATCACTTAACATCCATCACATATCAGCTACACTATCTAGACCGTGACGATAAAAGGCAAGTCGTGGTCATGCATGCATGTTCTGCTCTGTTCTGTGCTCCAATCGAGAGACAACCTGTCAACCAGGTGGGCGTCGTACGAGATCAGGACAAAAGTCCCAAAAGAGAAATAGCGGACCAGCACTGCAAATGAGATACACTGCTAGCACATCTATCTACCTCTGCGCCGAGGGCGGCAGCTTGCCGGTGTTCGATCGGTAATCTGGAATGAGGTCTATCAGATAATCACAAAAGAATACACACACTGTATGTAGGTCAATGTAGTCCAGTGCGGGTGCAGTCTGTATCCAATGCACGCGACAACAATGATGTATGTAGTCACCGGGTGACCAAAAATGACGATTGCAATGATAATGGACAATGGCCTAGTTTCACTATCCCGTAGTCTACCGATTTGACCAGTACCAATGCTATCTGCGCTCATTCTTTGTCTGAGGGATCTGAGGGATTGGAAAGAGATTCGGGTTCTCGTCTCCGTACTAGTCAGATCGTGAGGTCGACGGCGGCATCATCTCTCCGCTACTAGACTGCTACGTAAATACAGTACCTCATAATATCGAGAGCACCGTAGAAAGACTATTGTGATGACGACAGTGGTGTCTCGATGGTAGTGATTATAGTAGGAAGTACATATTAATAGCTACACAGCTGAGTTCAGAGCTACAAAGCTACATTGATACTCTAGTGCTCATACTCATAATTAGAGAAGGTCGGGCGGAGTCGTATCCCGACCTTCTCAGCCATTAGCATGTCAAGATGACGATGGGGTCGGGTCCCGAGTTCCCCCCCCCATCCCCACGACCAAGAAGGAATTGCATGAAACTCAATCAGGGCGGGCAGGATACGATTGGCAGTTCGAGGTTATGCCAATTTAGAGATGCAGTGGAGAGAGAGAGCCAGACGCTCCAATCGACACACACACTCATAATTATTAGGTTGGATGAGGGAAAGGAAGGCAGCTTGGTGGCCGATCGCCTTCCATTTCTCATGTTGGCGTGCGTGAGGGATCTCTAACTGTCTACGGTAGGGTGTGAGAGTAGTATGTGTGAATGGAGCCGAGACGAGAAAACCTGCTGCTGTACGCATCTTCTCCGTTCTTGAAGGAAGCGGAAAAGCCGATTGTGGGATGGTGGACTCGATAGGTAGACTAACACTAACTAGCCCTGGAGAAGGGGAGGCGTGGGGACAAGTCTGACTGGTGCGTAGTCGGAAGATAACGCGAGGTGATTCAAACTTGTAATAGCCATTGATAACGAATGATGGGCCGAGCATAGTTAATGTTAATCCCGATGACATAACGATAAGTTATGGGTTGGTCGACATGAGATGCAATCCCGTCTCCATGTGTTGTCGGTGGGTGTGCATTACTCGAATCGTGGTTGTCCCTGACACTCAATTCCGCCTTCATCATCAAACCTGGGCCGGCCCTCCTTTCGTCTCCCCCGGAAACATCACGAACGACGATGTCAGAAGAAGAAGAAGACGGTGATGAGGAACGAGTGCCGGACAGGCGGGATCATTGGTATGGGACCATTGTCCATCAAACTTGTCCATGATGATGTCAATCTAATTTCATCGGGGGGCCCATGATAAGTGGGAGGGAGATGAGCATCATCATCGTCGAAGGCAGAGCTCACGGACCGTAAATTGTTTGGGCTGTTTTGGCCCTGCATGGCCGGAATTGGTATCGTCTGAGTTCTTGGAACCGCCCCCCCTTGCGTTCCCCGTTTGGCTTCAGCTCGTGGTCCCCCAAGATCGGGTAGGACGGCCCTGAGCGAGTGCAGTCACTGCAGTGTATGGTGCCGTGGTATTTCGAGGGCCATCCAGAAATGGACGAGGGAGAAGGAGGAGGTATTTCCAGCTGTAGCGTGGTTACAGTAGTATGAGTATACGTAGTAAAGTAAGAAGCCCCTCGGGGCATTTCCTGTAGCTTTTCTGGCTGTCTCGGGTTGTTTGTTTTGTATGTTTCTTGTTCCTCTTCACAGCACATCCACATACACACACACACACACTCTCTCTCTCTGTATGTCTCTGTCCTTCACTTTCATCCCCTGCTGCAAGGGAACGACAGGACTATGGAGCCCTTCTTGTCCCGATGTCATGGGCCTGCACAAAAGAGCATAGGGAGAGAGGGATGTACATTGGGTCTAATTATTACATTCAAGGGTGAATGCCAATCATAACGCTGATTGCAGTTGATACTATACACCGTAGTCCAGCAAGTAGTAAGCTCCTAGGAGATAGCATTTCGATGAGATGATAATTATTACCATCATCAAACGTGTGCGGTTTCCCCTCTAGTCCTTGACTGGTGACGGACTGAGGAGGACTAGAGAGAGAAGAGACGAGAGAGAAAATCGCGCATAGTAAAAAGCGAGAAACATACGCAGAGACAGTACTCCGTAGTAGAGATGGGAACAGCAAAGACAAGCCAACAAGAAAGAGAGGGAAAATTAACGAGGGCCACACTACGGACGGATCACTACTACTACTACTACTACTACTACTACTACCACTATGTACTGTACAGAACGAACAACCCGCACGCGGCAAGAAGGGCTGGCTGCGTGAGAGGGTGGTTCCTGTCGGTACAGCCCGTACCATACAGAATTTCCTTTTTCTTGTTGTGTGCTGAGTGTGCAGTGTGCGTTGTTCTGTCCACGCACCCCAGCCCAATGGGAAGCACATCCTACTACGCCCGCGTCTGTACCTGCGAGGCCGACCTTGGATACGACAGTATTATTACTATATGCATACCAAATGACCCCAGTAAAATGTATGGGAAGCGCGGGATAATGAGACGTTCGGGTGGTATTAGGACGGTAAGCCCGAGATGAGTTTACTTTTCACCCACTGGGCATCCCCTCGGACTTCACGTAAGCTGGGATGAAGCGATAGGAACAGTGGGAGGGTGGAGGCAAACTCGGCACAGGTCTGCCGGTCAGACACACACAGAGAGACAGAGTGCGTGCGTGAGAGATAAAAGACGACGGGCGTAAAGGTCAGAGTTTTTGTTTCTATCGCCCAGGACTAGACTCGAAGGGGCAAACTTGATTCCCCACTGGTACTGGCAATTGGTACTGGGGAAGGAAGTGCAGAAGAAAAAGAAGGCTAGAGAGGGTAATGGAAGAGACGGGCACTACTTGGTACCGGTACTGGTACTGAGTACTGGGTACTGGTACTGACTGACTGAGTAGGCTAAGTTTTCAACGAATTGACCTCGGTCGGCATTCAACTTCTTACCGATGCGTGCCATTAAGCGTGGAAAGTGAGTGAGTGTGAGGCGAAATTGGAGAGAGACCCAGTTGGGAAAAACCTTACCTTACCAGGGACAGCGAACTTTCAATCAACTCAGTAGTCTTCGTAGTGTGCAGTCTTAGTGGCTGCTGTTCCCGGCCAAGGACTAGAACCAAGAAGGCTAAATTCAAAAGGGTAAAGAAAAATTAAAATGAAAGGCAAAGAAATAAAAAATTAAAATAACAAAAAGAATAAAATTACTTAGTACAAAAACGGAACCGGGAAAATAATCGACAAAATTTGGAAAAATCTAGGAAGGCAAAGGCAAAAAAAAAAAAAAAAAGAAAAAAAAAGTGGGCTTACGCACAGGGAAGGTCGCCCGCCCGTTGGAGCTTAGAGAACAAGACGTGTTTGTCCTGGTCCCGTGCAATCGCAAGCCCACCCTCCCCCAGAATATTAAAGAGTACATTCTCCCTCCCTTCCATCCCCCTCTCTTCTCTTTCTTCTCTATAGGATCATCCGACTCTTGCCATCCCTGTCATTCCTCGTTTGCATCTGCTCATATCGTTGGGTCCCTAGGCTGTGTGAGCCGAGAAGCAACAATGGCGGAGCGGAGAATCTCCTATGCTCCCGACGTGGAGAATGGTGACCATTCTCGCAACAACGGTGGTGAAGGTCTTGAGGAATATGCTGCTTTGAACCGTTACATCTCGACTGCCCAGGGCAAGCGCCGTGGTTCGACCTCCAGCGCTGGTGCCCTCAGCACCGGCAAGGACAAGAAGAAGGGATTCTCTCTCTTCAAGAAGAAGGCCGATGGTGCTGAGGATGGCTTCGTCTGCCCCGATGACTGGCTCGAGACCGACATGCGCGCCGGTCTGCGCTCCAGCGACATCGATGCCCGTCGCAAGAGAACTGGTTGGAACGAGTTGACCACCGAGAAGACCAACTTCTTCGTCCAGTTCATTGGTTACTTCCGTGGTCCTATCCTTTATGGTGAGTCGCCCATCGATTCCGTTCGCTGACGTCTCAATGGCCTCAAACTAACCCGCGTCTGCGTCATAGTTATGGAACTTGCTGTCCTGCTCGCTGCTGGTCTTCGTGACTGGATCGATCTTGGTGTCATTATTGGTATTCTTATGCTTAACGCTGTTGTCGGTTGGTACCAGGAGAAGCAGGCCGCCGATGTCGTCGCTTCGCTCAAGGGTGATATTGCTATGAAGGCTGTTGTTATCCGTGATGGACAAGAGCAGGAGATCCTTGCCCGTGAACTGGTTGCTGGTGATATTGTACGGTTCCCCCCCTCTCCAGTCTCCGCTCATCTTGCGAGCTGCAAACTAATCTGATTCAAATCTATAGGTCGTCGTTGAGGAGGGTACCATCGTCCCTGCTGATATCCGTCTTATCTGCGACTACTCCAAGCCCGAGAACTTCGAGACCTACAAGGAGTACCTCGCCACCGTTGGCGATGACACTCTCAAGGAGAAGGAGGATGAGGACGACGAGGATGGTGGCATCGAGGCTCGTGCCGGTGTCTCCCTCATCGCTGTTGACCAGTCCGCCATCACTGGTGAGTCTCTGGCTGTCGACAAGTACATGGCCGACACTTGCTACTACACCACTGGTTGCAAGCGCGGAAAGGCCTACGCCGTCGTCACCGCTACCGCCAAGCAGTCTTTCGTCGGTAAGACTGCTGCTCTCGTCCAGGGTGCTAAGGACCAGGGTCACTTCAAGGCTGTCATGGACAACATTGGTACCTCCCTCCTGGTTCTCGTCATGTTCTGGATTCTCGCTGCCTGGATCGGTGGTTTCTACCGTCACCTCAAGATCGCTACTCCTGAGAACTCCGACAACAACCTTCTCCACTACACCCTGATTCTCCTGATCATCGGTGTTCCCGTCGGTCTCCCCGTCGTCACTACCACTACCCTCGCTGTCGGTGCTGCCTACCTGGCCGAGCAGAAGGCTATCGTCCAGAAGCTCACTGCCATCGAGTCCCTTGCTGGTGTCGACATCCTTTGCTCTGACAAGACTGGTACCCTTACCGCCAACCAGCTTTCCATCCGCGAGCCCTACGTCAACGAGGGTGTTGATGTTAACTGGATGATGGCTGTCGCTGCTATCGCCTCCAACCACAACATCAAGAACCTGGACCCCATTGACAAGGTCACTATCCTGACCCTCCGCCGTTACCCCAAGGCTCGTGAGATTCTCGCCCGCAACTGGGTTACCGAGAAGTACACTCCCTTCGACCCCGTCTCCAAGCGCATTACCACCATCTGTACCTGCGACGGTGTCCGCTACGTCTGCGCCAAGGGTGCTCCCAAGGCCATCCTCGCCATGTCTCAGTGCTCCGAGGATGAGGCTGACAAGTTCCGCGAGAAGGCTGCTGAGTTCGCTCGCCGTGGTTTCCGTTCCCTTGGTGTTGCCGTCCAGAAGGAGGGTGAGCCCTGGCAATTGCTCGGCATGTACCCCATGTTCGACCCCCCTCGTGAGGATACTGCCCACACTATCGCTGAGGCCCAGCACCTTGGTCTGTCCGTTAAGATGTTGACTGGTGATGCTCTTGCTATCGCCAAGGAAACCTGCAAGATGCTTGCCCTGAGCACCAAGGTCTACGATTCCGAGAAGCTGATCCACGGTGGTCTCGCTGGCTCTGCTCAGCACGATCTCGTTGAGAAGGCTGATGGTTTCGCTGAGGTCTTCCCCGAGCACAAGTACCAGGTCGTCGAGATGCTCCAGCAGCGTGGTCACTTGACTGCCATGACTGGTGACGGTGTTAACGATGCCCCTTCCCTCAAGAAGGCTGACTGTGGTATTGCCGTCGAGGGTTCCACCGAGGCTGCCCAGGCTGCTGCCGATATCGTTTTCCTTGCCCCCGGTCTCAGCACCATCGTCGATGCCATCAAGCTTGCCCGTCAGATCTTCCAGCGCATGAAGGCTTACATCCAGTACCGTATCGCTCTCTGTCTCCACCTTGAGATCTACCTCGTTACCTCCATGATCATCATTGAGGAGACCATGCGTGCTGATCTTATTGTCTTCATTGCCCTGTTCGCTGATTTGGCTACCATCGCCGTCGCCTACGATAACGCTCACTTCGAGCAGCGCCCCGTCGAGTGGCAGTTGCCCAAGATCTGGGTCATCTCCGTTGTTCTCGGTATCTTGCTTGCCGCCGCCACCTGGATCATCCGTGCCTCCCTCTTCCTTGACAACGGTGGTATCATCCAGAACTTCGGTTCTCCCCAGGAGATTCTCTTCCTTGAGGTTGCTCTTACCGAGAACTGGCTTATCTTCGTCACTCGTGGTGGTAAGACCTGGCCCTCGTGGCAGCTGGTTGGTGCCATCTTCGTTGTCGATGTGCTCGCTACCCTCTTCTGTGTCTTCGGCTGGCTCTCCGGCGATTTCGAGCAGACCCACCCCCACGACAGCGCCGACTTCTCCGTCAACGGCGACGTCGACATTGTTACCGTCGTTGTCATCTGGGCCTACTCCATTGGTGTTACCGTCATCATTGCCGTTGTCTACTACCTCCTTACCATTGTCCCCTGGTTGGACAACCTTGGTCGCAAGAACCGCTCCCGCGCCGACACCCAGATCGAGAACCTGCTTGGCCACCTGTCTAAGCTCGCCATCGAGCACGAGCAGGACTCGCACGGCAAGTCCCGCTTTGTCCTGGGCACTCGCGCCGAGGTTGAGGAGGAGGAGTAAACGCTTGATTGCGCTCCATAATACCATCCCCGCTGGCTCTCACTTGCTACGCATACATGCATGAGCTGGAACCCTACTCCTCCGGCTTGCTCATTTTACCCGTATTATAGACTTTTTTTTTTCTTATTACCTGTTGTCTCTTTTATTAGAGCCAATTTCTCTTCTATTTTACATGTATGTATGTCATTAATAGTGGTAAATTTAGTCAATCAAGGGTCACCTATTCAATACTTCTTTTCTTTCCACTTTTCCACTTTTCCATTTTCCAGTAGACCTTCTAAAATCCCTCCACTGTTCCCTCTTCTCCGCACAACAACCTTCGAAAAAAAATCTTTTTTCAACCTGATTGCCAATCGTCTCAACCGAGCCAAGAGCTCCCTCTTCGTTTGCCCACTTCCACCCGGCCGTTAACTCGGAGCTTCACCGGTTGCGCTTAATTGTTCCAGCCATGAAGCCTCCACTCGGCCCGGTGGAGCAATCTCAACCAGGGGCGAATGCCAATGTTTCTGTGGCCAAGCTGCTTCAGTAGTACACTACGGTTTGCGGTTACTCGGATCCAGGTTTCAGGCTTTCAGCAAGCCCGGCTTTTCTCTTCCTTGCCTTTTACCTGGTGTGCGTGTGTGTCATTCCCGCCTCAGGTGCCTGCTCACCTTCTCGGCCGAGATCTGTAGAGTATAAACTATAGACGACTAGGCCGGTCGAGGGAGGTGCGATAAGCCATCTGCCTTCGGCGTATGGATGCCGATGCCAGGACATTGGGGGGGGGGGAACAAAGATCCCGAGCGATGAACTGTGTGTGGACCTCCCTCTCACTATCTACATCACGAAACATGCACACCTTGATTGAGTATCCAATCTCGAATCGCGGCTGCAACGTCAACAAACATGTTCTCTACGGACAGATTATGGCTACGCGTGGGATGTGCATGGTTAGTTGCAAAGGATACTACTGTATCTAGGTTGATCTTCTGATCTTGTTCTAAGAAGAGTATCCTGCGATTTGGAGTTGGTTCGCCCTAGAGTGGGCTTGGTTCCGGGGATGTAGTTTGGCGTTGCAGGTTGTGTGGTGGCTGTGAAAGGCTGTAGCTTGTAGCTTGTGGCTTCTATGGAGCGAGAAAGCTTTGGAGGAGGGAGGAAGGGTTTGCTTTATGGCTCTTCGTGCAGTATAGAGTTCTGTTCACCACAGACGATTAGATTAGATCCACTGGTCAACTGGGAGTGCTGTTTTGGGAAGGAATGGTTTACAGCTTAATTGGATAGCATGATATGCCATGCCGAGTATGATATCATGTGATCGATGACTCTCTCCTCTGTCGGTGGGAACTGTCGGTGGGTATATTGGGCTCTTTGTAGAGTGAGATCGAAGTCTAGATGGATGGTTCTGGGGGTCTGATGGTATTGATAGGTGTCTGGTGGTTTGTGTTTCGTATCTGCCCTGGCTAGGGAATAGTACAGCAGCGCCGACTTGACCCAGCGAAATGGTATATACTGACAGCTTGACCTGAGTCTGCGTCTTCTTGTGGACCAATATCTCATAGCTAGGGCAGCATCCACAAAATAAGGATAAAAGCACGTATAGGTCATGCAGAGCCCGAGGTCCCGTAGGTAATATCAGAACGAGATCCTCATCCCTACGGAGCACGGAACCAGCGCGCCCGGCATATGCCTCTCAATCGCAAATTTGGCCCTCCATCCCGAGCAATGTCCAGGCAGAACAACCGCCGGATCGAGTTTCTTCAGATCCTTGACGGTACTCTCTGTCTGTGCTGCCTCGCTAGTCGCGAGATGGAAACCCCCGATAACCGCATGGAGAGGCACAGAGTCACCGAGGGTTTCAACCGCATGTCGTGCACAGTTGACGACCCCTGCGTGGCTGCACGCGGTAAACATAACGATTCCTCTCCCTGGTTCAGTGAGCATATGGCCCCCAAGCACAAGGAAAAGGCACTCACCTTTTAGGCTACACATCAAGAACCGTTCGTCAGCGATAACCTCGTCGGAGAACCAGTCGTTCTCCTCAGCACTGAATCGCATACCGCCCCTCAGACCCGTCTCGTAGGAGGTCCGCCGGGGTATCTCTCCTGAGATGAAGAAGTAATCATCGAGCACTGTATGTCCTTCAGCTCGCTTGTCGATAGTCCCGCCCGCTGCTTGCAGTTCCTCGAATGTCGGATCAGCCTGAAGAGAGATGATATCGTCCCCGATAGCCATGCCTCGGTAATCTGGACGATCTGGATGCAGGTCGATGATCAGTTCGCCTGGAGTGCTATGTGCTTGTCGAGCCTCTGTGATCATCTGGATAGCTCGGGTCAAGCCCCCTGACACCGTTAGCAACTCTGTGCTCGATCGTCGGAGAGATCTTCATACCCGAGTGATCTCGATGCCAGTGCGATAACTGGATCAACTCCACGGAAGACAAGTCTTGTCGTAGTCTCTTGACGTTGCGCTCCCACACGCTACCTTCGGGTCCCGCGTCAAAGAGCAGAGTATGACTTTTGCCGTCCTTAGTCGCTTTCTGTTGCGAGGTCAGTCGGTTTCAATTCTCTGTGGATCTAGGTTATCATGAAAGAGACGTCAAACATACCACAAGAATGGACAAGCCATGCGCGGCACAGCAAATATCTTCCATGTGGAGCTCCTTGTGTGCATCCTCGCGATCCGAGATCTTGTGCGGGGATTGTGTGGCTAGCGTACGCATGAGGCCTGAGACCTGAACTGTATCGGGCGCAATGGTCGACATCGGGTCGAGGTCATTGTCAACTAGGAGGACAGCCTCGAGGGTGTCGACTTCTACGAGGTTTGGGTGCACCATCTTGATGCTGTTTCAAGGTCGTCGCTTCTTCGTCCGGAATCGAGCCTGCAAGTGTGTTCAAATAAGGGAAGGGTAGAGACTCAAAGTGTAGCATCAGTGTCATGAAATAATGCAATTGTGCTGATGAGAGATGGTGAGGCTTCTGGCTGGCAGTCACATTACCACCAGCTGACGTTCTGGGTGCCTTAGGCTGAAATTGATTGTTTTGACTTCTTCAAATCCCCATTGCACAACTTTACAACACCACACACACTCTCTGCTTCCAGTTCGGATAGGCATTACCTCCATCCATATCACGACACTTCATGCAAAAGCAGTGGCCACTTCCCACTGCTACCGTCGGTCTTATTGAGTCTGACTGCGACTGCACTCGCACTCGATCATAGCGACCTGGCATAACAGATATTGGCCATGGATTGATGCGGTTCTGGTGAGCGTGAGCTGTCGACCAAGAGCTACCCACAAGAGTGCTGGTCTTCGAGAATCCAAAGCAGAACAATGCGACGACTGCCAGAAAGCCCCCCTTCTTGTCGTTGAACTGAAAAGAGCAATTCTCCACGACGTATCACCTTGATTGCGACTGCTCCTGGGCAATCGACCATTGCCTGATGAGGCTATAACCCCGCAATGTATAGGCCGTGTTTCCCCTCACTCTTAAGGATTCTCCCGCAAAGACCGATGTCCGATACTGACTTTGTGCACGCATGAGCTCATTTTCAATTGACTTAATCTTGTTGTTCTGCACGCTACTCGGCCAACTACCTCATCCACCAACCGCAATGCTCGACTCTCCTGCCGCCATCTCCAGGTCACCCTCACAGGCGGAATCCAATTCTCCGTCCCCAGACTGATTTCTCCGGTTTCCCCAGCCGTGCTCTGGGGTAGAGCCGGCGCCGAAGCTTGACAGCGCCCGTTCTTCTATAACCCCGGATTTGCGCCTCCGCATATAAGATGCGGTGAAGAGGACTCCCGGGTCAGCGAGTCCAGGGATAGCACCCACAGTCAAGATGCTTCTCTATCGTGGTCTTCTGCTTCTTCTGCACGTTCTGCTTGTGCACTCGGCTGCGCTCCAGCCGCGTCTCTCGACAGCCACTCGTGAGACATGCCAGACGAGTCTGAAATGCCCTGAGGGCACGATCATCGTGTCCAACTCGTCGCACCCCGCCGCTCAATTCAAGTCTATCCAGGCTGCGTTTGCCTCCCTGCCCAACGACAACTCCTCCCACACCATTCTGGTGCTTGCAGGAACCTACCATGAGCAACTCAACCTGACGCGCCCGGGCCCTGTCACTCTGCTCGGCCAGCAACCCGATCGCAGCGCTCTTACTGATCCTACTCGCAACCGCGTCACCATCACCTGGGCTGCTGCCAACCAGGACAACACCGGCCAGTCGGTGGACAACGTCTACTCTAGCGTGTTGATCGTCTCGCCCACCCTGGACGCCAGTCTGACCGGGTCGGGTACCACAGGGTATGCTGTTCCCGCGGACACGCCGTTTGGCAACACCGACTTCCGAGTGTACAACATCGACTTTCGCAACCTGTGGGCCGAGTACAGCGATGGGCCTGCCCATGCGATCAGCTTCAGCCGTGCCAACGGAGGCTTCTACTACTCTGGCTTCTACTCCTACCAGGACACCGTACGTTCATGCCCCTCATTCCAATTGAAATCTCCCGCTAACGCTGCCTGTCAGGTCTACATTGGCAAACTCGGCAACGCCTACTTCCACAAATCCGTCATTGCCGGCCAAACCGACTTCCTGTATGGTTTTGGCACGGCCTGGATCCAATCGTCCTCCATTCTTCTGAGATCATGCGGCGGCGGCATCACGGCGTGGAAGGGCACGAACACGACGTTCGAGAACAACTACGGCGTGTACATTGTCGACTCGACCGTCAACGCCGCCAACTCGTCCCTGGTGTCGGAGATCAAGGGCCAATGTGCGCTCGGCCGGCCGTGGAACTCGCTGCACCGGTCCATCTTTGTGAACAGCTACGAGGACGGCAGCATTGAGCCGTCCGGCTACATCAACTGGGAGGACCGGTGGGCGGCCAACCAGACGCTGATGGCCGAGTACCGCGCCTACGGGCCGGGCTTCAATGCCACGGGCCGGAAGGAGGGCGGGGTGGCGGTCCTGCTGGATGCACAGGAGTACAAGCGATACGATTCGTTGGAGAAGGTGTTCCTGACGCCGGAGGGCGAGGCGGGCAATATTGCTTGGATTGATTGGGATATCGCCGGCAAGGACTGATAGGTAGTAGCATTACTCACTTCTGCACTCAATCCACAAACTGCGCTTTTATAACCCCTGTGCATCAACTTCCCCCTTCAAATCAAATCATAAACACAACCCTCCCTCCCACCGGGCATTCAAACCGTCCGCTCTCAACCAACCCAGCCCTCCAGCCCTCCCAACCCCAATCAAGACTCTTGCCCCAGCCCCAGCCCCTCCCCCTGTCCCTCCGCATGCAACTCCCCCCTCAAAGCCAGATACGCCGCCCCCGTATCCGCCCAAACCAGGTACTCCTTCACCTTCACCTTCACCTGCCCATCCCCCTCATCCCCTTCATTTCCGCAAGAATCCCCCCCAATCCGCAACCGATAAACAAACCCCTCCCCCCACCCCTGCCCCGTCCGCCGCGCCACAAACCTTGCCCACCCACGCACCACCACGACGCCCCGCGCAACATCCACAACCCAATCCGCCTCCTCCTCGAACCGCATCCCCTCGTACCGGAGGCGGGCGCCCATCTCCTCGAAATACCGTCGCGCGGCGTCCAGGCCGACGTAATCCCTGCCCAGGAAGGGGGCGAGGGAGGGTAGCCCGTGCTCGTGGATTTTGATATCGCTGGAGAAGTTGAAGAGGAGGGTTGGGGTGAGTGGGGCTTGGGTGGTTAGGTGCGTCAGGAAGGTGTGGGTTCTTTCTAGGAGGTGGGATTGTTTTTTGGGGTCTTGGGGGGGCATTTTGGGGTTGAGGTTGTTCATATTGGGTTGGATGGATTGGATGGATTGAGTTGGGCGGAGAAGTAGAGGGGTTTGGGTTTGTGGTTGTATGGATGAGTGATGATGCGGTTGTATAGAGTTCCAGACGGTAAGTTGGTAGGTGGTGGAATGGAGTATAGGGTTGATTGATATTACCTGGCTCGAATGCTGTTGAAGTTTGGTAAGAAGAATGTTGGATTTGATGTCGGAGCAGATACGCAGAAGTAATCCAAGTCAATACTTATGTTCCAGCTCAATGATGAAAGGTGAATGACGTTGATTGCAATGGCCAGTGCAGTCTATGCAGTCAGGTTATGAACGATGACATAAGCGGTCACTTGATGTCAATAACGACGAAATGTTTTTGATCAGCCCAAGGTAAAATAACTCCACGCCGCCGCCCCCCGTTGTCGCAGATAAGATATAGAACAAAAAAGTAATATCCGAGTCAGAAAATACAGAACGAAATCACTGCCGCCATGATTTTCCACAATTCATACAAGTACAGAACAGTGTCATCGGTTCATCGGCACTGCGCGTCTGCGCCTCGGTATAGGTCACCTTGCGCTGGCCACACTTTCCACATTGCAGGCTGGTACTGATGCTGCGCTCCGCCTGCGCCACCATCGCCTTGTCCATGTTCTCCTTCTGGATCTTGCGGTCGCGTTCCTGCTGCTCCGCCGACCGCAGCTCGTCGTGCGTCATCTTGACGAAGTGCTCCGCCGTGACCTCCCCGCTCAGGACCCGCACGCGCAGCATCGGGTTCGACTTGTTCTTCAGGTTCTGGTACAGGCTGCGGATCTTGGTGCGGTACTGCTCCTTGGTCTCCGGCCCGTAGGCGCTGAACGCCGCCGCCTCCACGGTCGAGGCCTTGGCCAGCACCGTTCGCGGCGCCTCCGTCGCGTTGAAGCACAGCCCGTCATACATCAGGCCGATGCAGCTGTCGCGGATCCGGTTCGAGGTCTGATTCACGTCCACCCCGTCGGCCTTCCACGTGCGCTTGTCCGGCGGCACGGACAGCTTCGAGGCCTTATCCGAGGGCGTCGAGGCGGCGGTGCCGTTCGGGGTCGGCCGCGGCGAGCTGCTCGAGCGCTGGCTGGGGCCCGGCGATGCGCCCGCCTTCTGCTTGTTGACCTCGTTGCGCCACTTCGATACGATCTCGCTCGACAGGCGCGCCACCTCCGGCGCCTTGTGCTGCTTGAACTTGTTGACGATGATACCCACGCGCGTCGACCGCAGCAGATCCTCCGTCGCTCGCACGCCTTGTTGTAGTTCCTTGAGCAGGGCGACGATGTTGGCGGGCGGCTCGTTCTGGGTGGCCGCCTTGGTCAGAGCCTTGGCCTTGAGTTCGATCTCCTTCGCGTCCATCGGCATGGTGGGCGGTAGGTAACGGAGGTAGTAGTTATGGGAAGGAGCCTTTAGATTTCTGTGCTTCCCGGTCAGTGACGGGTCTTAATAGCTCTGTGAAAGGCGACCAGAGCTCGCTGCTCCTCGGAGTAACATTCTGTCCACTTCGTACAGACGACATTATGGCATCGCAACCTCGGTCTTCAGACACCGTCCACTTCGACAGATAGAGCACGTGCAGGAGCAGCGGGGGCACCGGCTGTGACCAACCGCAGTCTTGACGATAGCTTGCGACCAGAAACAAAGCTTGAAGCCGCCCGGGTTCATACACGTAGGGAGAACTGAGGTGTAGAATTAGGGGACGAACTCACTCAGGCGGTTGCACGAAGCGGGACTGGTCTAGCTGCAAGGAAGCGACAAGCGACTTGAGCGATGCGGGCAGGCGATTTCTTAGGTAGAAAGCGCAATATTATTGCGACCCAACAAAGAGGGAAGAGGTTCTGGAGATGCGAAGTCTCAAGGCTGAGCCAAGATAGCAATGTCGGATGGAGAGAGGGAGAAAGGGACGAGGATTGAAGAAGGATAAGTGAAGAAGAGAGAAGATGAGAAGATGAAATGCGACAAGCAATGCCAAGCCTGGGGATGCCTGATCGGGAATAGTGTCTTTTGGCTATCCCACGCGGCAAGCACCGGACGGAGTATGAAGCATCTGATAAAGATCCTGCTGGAGATGCAGGTAGATATGAGTGGAAAAAGGTAGATGGACGAGGAGAGTTATTGCCAAGCGAAGGCAAGACAGCTGGTTGACTGTCAAGTCTCCGTTAATTCCGATTGTCCTGATCAACATGACATACCCTCACCATCACCATCACCTCATCAGTCACTCACCACCAGCATTACGCGCAATAGCACCAGAATTGGAATTAAACTCGCCCAGTCCTGTCGCCTATGATCATTCCTAGCACCCAGCGTACTTCGTCGGCGACCATTTCCGGTCGCAACAAATGGACATGATGCCCACAGTCTTCCAAATACACTAGGCGGCTTCGACTCGACAAGTGCAGCTGGCCCTCTTGCATCGCTTGATCCAATGCATCCCAGCGCTCGAGCAGGCGCTCAAATGCCTTCTGCTGCGCTCCACTACCATTGCCCGCAGCCACACCCGCTTCGTAGATCTTTCGGTAGTCCAGCGACCCACGACACCGGATCACCGACAGCGGCTTCTCTCCCAATGCTTGGTGTCGATACTGCTCTTTCGCCCCCAGTGTCTGACACAGCTCTACTAAAGCATTAGCCTCGGCTGCCCAGGTTTGCTGCCCACGAGCAATATCCTTTGCCCGCGTCCGCCACTCCTCTCGCGACAACTGAGCGTTGGCCCGCAAACCAGTTACCTGTGCAAAATTCAACCCGCCCTGCACAGCAGCAATATCAAGCTCGGGATCTTGCAAGAGCTCAGGCTGCCGTTCCGTCGAGCCATCCGCAAGGACCATACCAGCCACTGCTCGAGGATTAAGATGAAGGAACTCGCGTGCGATGATCGCGCCGTAGGAATGACCGACAACGAGGTAGGGAGGTGACAGCTGCGCCTGATCAAGTAGTGTGTGCAGTTGCTGGGCAGCCGTAGTGGCGCGATGGTGCACCAGATCTGGTCCATCTTCGCTGCGACCTAGTCCACCTCGATCGTATAAGAGGAGCGTCGCAAAGGTGCCGACTCGGCGTGCGACGGCGCAGTAGGACGAAGCCACATCCCCCGCGCCAGGGATAAAAATCACGAGCGGGTGCCCAGCAAGCCGAGAAATGCCGCTCAGCGTGGCGAACAGATGGTGAGTCCCCACCGAGACAAAACCGCCGTTGCGTAGATCCGACGTTGGCATCGTGGATTCAACTGCTCGGAGGTAAGAGCCCACGTAAAATTGGTTCTGAGACAACAAATCCGCTGGGAACGGGATAACCAAGACACTAAACTGGCCAATCTGGGCTTGGTCTCAATCTTACAGGCTGACGATCGGCACCCAACCACAAGACTCCTAAACAATATATCTCTGGAAACTTAAACTTCTTCGATATAGGCTTACTCGCTAGATGATGCATCTTAAAAGTTGGACCCATTGGGACGTAGATCAACGGTCTCGAACTCCAAGCCCTTAGCTTCAAATACATGCCCTGGGCGAAGAGCGTCAGTGTAAATATTTGCCTCCCCATGAGGATGGAACAGGCCCGGCTGCGTGCAATTGAGCACCGTCTTCAATCCGGGAGGGTCAGTCAATCGGAAAACACCCCAGTCTGGCATCTTACTCGGTGCGCATACGATCGCTATGCTCTCCGGAAGCATTACCTGATATCCGCAATGGGTGTGTAGATCGCGTGAGCTCATGAAACACGTCTGGGTTGGGTGTGTGTGAATCCAGCCCAGCACCATTAAATCCTCTGAGTCACAGTAGTCAAAGATAGCTGTCTCGTTCACTGTCTCACACGTATCTGACGTGGCGGTCTGCTCTGGAATCAAAAGTCGTGACACAAACAGTGCATTCGAGATCAATGTACCGCACAGTATCCCACATGTCTCCAGGTTCCTTTGTGTGTTCGGTGCGGCCAAGGACAGGAAGTGTGTCCGTAGCTCGGGCGGGAGGAACAGAGTCCGCAATGGCGTGCCATTTTCCAGGTAGGCAGACGGCTTGAAAGTGAAGCTGGACGGATCTAGATCGGTGCGCTCACTATCAGACTTTGGCCGTACTTTAGCAGGAATTGCTGGTACCAATGCCGGTGTGGAAATTGGAGAGCGCTTGTCCGGACGAGGCGGAGGCGCTGACATTTCATCCAGTCCATGGCCGTGGGGCGGTTCTTTAGGTGGCAGTGCGGGGACCCCTGGAGCAGGCGGAAAGAGACCATGCAGCTCTTTTTGAACGGAGGGTGAGGTAATTTCAGTAGGCCGTTGACGGGGAACAGTCGGATATTTGTAGGTCGCGCTGCTGCCTGGTGCAGCTGGACGAGACGACGTTGTATGTTTCTTGTTGTTACCCGGCGCAGGAAGGTCCGCCTGCGGACCGCCCTCCATCCTCAGTCGCACATTGTGAATGCGTTGGCTCAAGTCGTCATCGGCATCCTTGCGTAGAGCATGTTCCCAGTCACCCCACACTCCGGCTGCACGACGAGTCTGCTCCTCCTCCGGAGAAATACCAGCTTGACGTATGGCCTCGCGAACCGTGGCTCTGCGACTGATCTCCGTGCGGGCCAGCTTCACGGCCAGGTCGCGATTCTCTCCAGCCTCCAAGGGTTTTGCGACACCGGCTAGCGCAGGATCTTGAGGCAGTTGTCGCCGAGTTGCTGGAGATGCAGGTGCGACTGTAACCGAGGCGCGGTGTTGCCGTTCGCGCATCAACTGAAGGTAACGTTCGTAGCGTTTGGTTATGCGGGGCTTCAGGGTCTCGAGAACCTTCAGGTTTCTTTTGACCTCTTTCTCCGCCTCCACCAAGGCTTTGCGATTCCTGTCATCCTTGGCCTCCGGATGCTCAGCCAGATGAACCAGCACGAGCTGAGCATGTCTAAACAGTAGTAGGTACGCTTGTTCCTCGTGTTGTTCTCGTTCGTAGATGCGAGCCTGTCAACAACGGCGTTTGTATTAGTTCGGCGCCAGCATAGGCATAAGAGTAGAGTACCGTACCTCTCTAATGAGTGTAGAGGCTGTCCGTAGCCAGTACCGTAAAGGAACGGAAGGGTTGTATTCGTAATCCTGAGCCAAGCGAGTGATCGACTCGACGCTCTGTGGAGAGGAAACCCCCGCACCGGCTGTTGAGGGTAGATGGGCAGCCATATTGACCGAGCGTCTGTCCTGGGTACAATAAACGAGGGTCAACGAGTGACTGAGCTTTGGAGAGTTGATCTGGAGTTGTTGTTCATACTCTTCAGGCTCGTTGCCACGGAAAAAAGGTTGGAGGGATGGACGGACGGAGAGGGGAAGAAGCAGCGGCGTGAAGGCCGGAGGAGATAAGAGGAGCTTAAAGCTGCGGCGAGCGGAACCTCCGCCGCATTTCCAACATTTTTAAAACCTCCTCAAACCACACCCACCCTCTCTTCACCTTCACTCTTTTTGCCTCCCCTCTTCTCTGCATTATCTCCCTCCACCTTTGCAAACAGCATCATAAGGCTCATTCTGGCGATGAGCACTCGGCCTAGGCAGTTGTGCTACAATCGCCCTAACACCTTCTAAAATGGCGGCAAAACTCCCAGTCAAGTCGGTGGTAAAGAGCGCCTCAAAATCAAAAAGCTCGGCGAGCAGGGTACGATGGAAAGCCCCTGACTCTACCTGTCCTCCCATGGCGACTGCTCTCTTTGATCATCTCCATAACTATAGATTGAAACGCCATGTGACGAAGCCGGAATTAGTCAGTGAAGAGCTTGGTGGTTAGTTGCGCCTTCACTCGACTCGTAATACGATATTAGTCGACGCTAATCATGGAATGCTTCTAGTCCACGTTATGCAGCGCCTCGCACCGTTCCTTCACCGCAATGCACCCATGGATATTCTCGATTTATGGCCAGGCTGCGGACTTTTCTCGTCGAAAGTCAACGAGTTCCTTCGTCCGCGTCGACATGTTATGTTAGAGCCGGACTTGTATATCTTTGACAAGTTCCTGAAGCCTCTAACCGAGAAAGGGGAGGGCTACAAATTGCTGGACACAAACCCTCGTTCTGTCTCCGCCTGGGAGGAGCTTCTGAAAGAACATTTTCCTGAGCAGGGACCTGAGAGTGCCGATACCAGCGGGGCACTACCTTGCAATCCCAACTTGCTGGTGGTCGCCAACTTGACGCGCCCGCCCTCGCAGAAAGACCACATGACTACAACCCGATGGATTTCTAGTTTCATGGAAGCCTGTCTATGGCAAACGGGCTTGCACTCATACGGTGCTGTTCGCCTGTTGGCTGTGCTGCCTCAGGATGATTCCAACGGCATAATTCCCCGCGAACCCGGCGACCGCAAACGCGCCGCGATTTTGACTGAGAACGTCGCTCGGCACAACGTCATGGTTGCCACACACGATGAGATTTGCTTCTGGGCCAACGTAAAGGGTGTCAAGTACGCTGAAGAGGAACGTATCCGTGTCACAGAGCAAGCATCGGCCAACGGTTTCCCGCCTATTCCGGGCCGTGAGCCAGCCCCTTTTATCGCCACGCCGGACCTCTCCCATTTTGCTCGGGACTTCGAAAAGTATCGCTACGAGCCCCGCATTCGGACCGATCTCCATTCGCAGCTGCTGGCGGACATCGATAGGGTTGATAAGATGTCATCGAGCGTGCCGGATTACCAACAAGCCAAAAAGGCCCGCGGTCGCGCAATCACTCGGATCAACTCAGAAAACCGAGCAAACGGCCTCAACAGACTTGTTGTCGAGAAACTGACGCAGCTGGATGAGCTGTACAAGAGTGTGGCCCGCTTGGCCGCGCGCCCGACAACCACGCGCGCCGACTTCGAGCCGCTCCTTTCTGAAATCGCCTCCTTGAAGCAAGTCATCGATGCCCATAGCAAAAAGATCCAGACTAAATGGCGGCCCTCGCTACGATATATGCTAGACGACATGCGCTCCCGGGCCGCCGACGACAGGGCGGCCTTGCTGCACTGGGACCGCCGGCCCTTTGAGCCGCTACGCATCCAGTCCAACGAGATGTACCCGCAGGATGAGAAGCGCACGATGCTCTACTTCGAACCGGACCCCAACTCGGCCGTGGCGCGCAAGCTTTTCGCCCTCGACCCCGAGACGCGCGCCGCCGCCGCCGACCTCTTCGAAATCCTCACCCTCTCCCTGTACCGCGGCCGCACCGAACTCACCCTCGGCGAGATGCTGCCGTTGGTGTTCCCCGGCCGATCGATCAACGACTGTGTGCGCGCGATCCCCGGCCTGGCGCAGCACACCGTCCGCACCCCGAAGCCGGATTTCGACGCCCTGCCCAAGACCCTCATCGCCGAACCCAGTGCCACCGCCGCCCCTGACAACAACGGCGCCGCAGAGCAGCCCGAGCAGCAGCCGGACCCCGCCATGTGCTTCCAGGAGAACCTGGATTACGACGTCAGCGACGTGTGCGTGCACATCATCCCGTGCCCGGTCCTATGGGACATCTGCATCGAATACTCACACTACGAGCACCGCCAGTCGGTCCGGTCGCTCGCTCGAGCCCTTGGCGCCACGATGACACATTCCCGGCTGGGGTCGCACCTCACCAAAGGGAAGAGACTTCACTGAACTTACCCTTCCAGCGTCTGGAAAGGAAGAAGCACTAACGAAGAATGACCAACAAAACAAAGAAGATCACAAAATCCAAAAGCATATCCCAGAGTAAAGAGAGCGCGCGAGCGAGAGGTACTTCGACTATCGCGGTCCCTCACCCATCGGACCCTTGTACTATACTATATAAACATCTTCTCGACCTGTCACCATACCCGAACCCGATGGCCCCGTCACCGACAGCGGTTGGACGATTGACCCATGCCATACCTTCTGTGGATATACCTGACATGGAACTCTTCTTCCTACCAGAGGAGAGCATTCTCCCCTCATCGACACTCTCTCGCCTCTCAAAACATATACCAAGCCGCACTCGGCTTGAGAGCAAATCTTCAATGCGGGTGGGCTTCGCTCCGCACAAGCCCAGAGCCGGCCGTGGCAGCCCGAAAGTCTTCCAGTTTGTGTCCGCAGGATGCAGGCAGAAGGGTTGACTAGAGCTGCCTCTCACCCGGCCCCAGGTGGGTTGGCTGGGGTGCATCACCCTGCAGAGACGAGGCGGATCATCACTTCCGCAAGGTTTCTCTATACGATGGTACAGACCTACATGGTTTTCTATTTACTGATGATATATTAGCCCACTGGATCTACGCATCTATATACTGTTGTGGACATGATCTAGATATGCTGTCGCACAGCAGCCTCCCCCAACGGAGGCGATGGGCGTGGAAGAACGGGCTTTTGTACAAATGACGACTCAGCGTCGCCGCTCCATAGAATTAGACTACAATACTAATAGAGAAAAGGAATCAAAGAGCGACCCCTCAGAGATGGGGAGTTCATTTCAAGAGAGATGATGAATAATGATTAGTACATAGTACATATTAGTGAATGGTGGGAACAGTTGACATGAAGCAACCAAGATCATGCCAAGAGATATGTTAAGGTAACATAAAGAAAGAGAACAAATATAAGTTGGCGCGAAGATCGAAATGTATCGACGACCTTGCGAATCTAAAATCTAAAACAGGGTATCTTTTATAGTTTGTATGGTCGAATCGAAAGGTGGAAAGAGATTAGAACGAGGGTAGCCACTGGTGAAAAGGCAGAAGAAGAGAAGAAGCGGCGGAGAATGTTGAAGAAAGTATGGCAGAAGAAGAGAAGTGAAAAAGGTTATCCGGCCAAGTCGATGAAGGAGAAAGAGAAAAGAGAAAGGTAAACATGTCCGAAGAGGATCAAGAAATGGCCGGCGGTCCGTTGAGAGAGGCCGATAAGAATGACGGAATAATGGAAGTTGTCCGATGGAGGATGTGACACAGGCATCATCAGTGAACGGATTCAGTAAGGTGCAGCCAGTCATCCGGGTGGATGCGCTGACTCGGATCCTTGGCGATGGCAGGCTTAATAATCTGCTCGACGACTCCCGCGCGAGGAACGCGCGAACCGTTAGGGCCCGAGCGGGCGAAGTCGATCACCCGATGGCCCTCGCGAGCCATGGCCAGGCGCTGTAGATTGCTGGCACCAGGGTAGAGAAGGAGATCGCCAGTGGCTGCGGCGAGAAGACTGACGGCCAGGGAAAAGACATCAGATTCGGGCGTGGGCGCGACGTCCGGTGACGTCAGGGAGGAGACACAGAGTAATTCCGGGGCCGCGAATGGCGGCGTGAGCGCGGTTAGGGCTGTGCCCATGCCGCGCTGTTCGGGTGAGGAGGGGCTGGCAATCGGGTGCGCAGACGAAAAATCGGCAAAGAGCGGCTCGTATGAGAATGAGTCCGACTCCAAGTCGAGGTCCTGGCCGCCGGGTGAACGTAATCGCAGCAGGATGTTGTGGGGTTTGATATCACCGTGCACCATCTGCGGTCCACGGTGCAGCCAGGCCAACCCAGCAATGAGCTTTTCGGCCAAGGCGTGCCAATGGGCCATGCCTTGAACCGGGTCGAACATGGTCTGCGTGGATCGGGTCTTTTGTGCAATGGCGGCCTTGTCCTGAATGTAGGTCGACAGCGCCAGCGGAACGGCGGACATGACAATGGAATGCGACTCGGAGATGTACCCATGGAAGGGCACGACATAATTCTCCGCGCCCGCTACGCGGCTGATGCGGGTCAGTGCGCGGGCTTCAGCATCAAGGACGGAATGCGCATCCCGTCTCACAGGCGACTTGACAGCCACCACCCGGCCTTTGACGGCTGGAGAACTCGGAGGGGTCAAAAAACCCGATTCAATGGCGGGAGAAGAGGACGCTTTGTATACGACGCTCCAGACGCCACGACCAAATTCGACCGGGCGTCCCTTCGGGTCATAGTGGTACTCTAGATCGTCGGTAAAGTACTTGGTATCGGAGATATCCTCGTCGAGTTTCTCCGGTTTGGCATCCACCGGGGAGAGGAAGGGGCTAGAGGTATTGGAATGCACGGTTACCTCGCTGCCGGAGAGACTGTCATCGTCAATGGTGGGCGTTACCGGGGGAGTAAGTCCACGCAGCACGGTGGAGTGAGGTGTATGTTCACATTCATGCTGGGTACGCACGGAAAGTCGAACAGGCATGTGTGTGATCGCCATGATGAAGAATCTTTATTGAGCCTTTCTTCTGTGGTCGCAGTTGAAGGCAGAGATCTGGATGCGGCGAATCCGGCAAAAAGCGGCGACTCGGATGGATCGCTATCTGAACCCGGCAAATGGAACAAATTTGAGCAAATGTTGAGTGTATAGATAGCTTCGGTGTATAACCAGGAGAGTCGGAGGTAGATAGATAAGAGGCAGACCCTCTTCTTGTATAGTGATGCAGATACGCAGAGATGGGGCTGATGGAGAAGTTATAGGCTGCAGTGCTATAGATTTGGCGAAAGATGACTGGTGGCGATCTCGTCGAGATGACGTCGAGAGTCCAAGGAAAGTCAAATGAAGAACGGTTGGAATGATTCCAAGGAGAGTTTTGCGGAATGAGTCACTTCAGCATCAAGTGTTGGCGATCAGAGGAAGTCAAGTAATTGCAAGGATTGGTTCGAAGGAAACTGGATAGGCATCATCGGAGGAATGAAGGACGGAGGAAAAATGGGAGTCGAAAAGAGAGCACAGAGAAAGAAAATAAGTTCAAGGGAGAAAAGAGGCAAAAGAAAAAGAAAAGGAAGAAACCCAAATTAATATTATTATTTGTAGGAAGTCAAGGGAAAAGGAAAAAAAAAAAAAAAGAGGATCGACCGGGGAAAGAAGGAGCTTAATTGTGATGGCAGAACCATGGCAGAAGAACCATGGCCGCAACAAGACGAAGCAGAGTCAATCGAGTCCCCCGTCACCGCGCGTCCCTCGATAAATGATTGATTGATTGATTGATTGCAACTGCTACCGTTACCGTCACATAGAGAGAGAGATAAAGTAGACTAAGAGAAAAAGACGAAAAGACGTCGAGAGGGTCCGGCTCCCCACATGGTTCTACTGGGTCTATTTTTCCTTTCCCTCAATTTCTTCTGTCTGTCCCCGCATTTGTTGCAGACTGTGCTGTGTGACTCGGGATAACTATGGAGATTGAGCATTCATCAGTTCCTTCACTCTTCTAGGGACGAAGATGAGTTTTGAACTACTCCGTTCCGAGGATCTGCTTAGAATACGAGACTGTACCTCATTTGTACCTGGAGGCCACCGGAAGTGGCCGTGAGTATCGAACAATGAACGGAAAAAGACCGAAAATGACCGAAAAAAACAAGCAAGAGAAGTACATCCACGGACACTATACCCCATTCGGATGCGACGGCTGGCTGGATTGGGCAAATCCGGTGGAGACGAGCATTTCGTGCAGTTCGTCCGTCCTCAACTCACTCCTCAGAGGCTCAGAACTCTTCCCTCACAGGCTCACTCCGTCTCCCTCTCCACTCCACCCTGAACGGCTGTCAAATCTCCTCCTTCCTTCCTTCCTCAATGCTTCGCTTTTTTATTATTCATCTGCTGCTGATCCCTTTCTTTTTCGGCCCTCCACTGCAGACGCCATGACGAACACCTCGCGAACCTGCGACACTTGCACTAGTCTACTCGTCGGGGACGCTCACATAAAAGCAGACCAAAAGCCCGCAGAACAATGACAGGAGGAAGGATCCGAATGGTTGAACGATGGTTCCAATAGTATCGTTACTAGTGTCCGACCAGTATCAGTGCTTGCTTGTTTCCATCCGGCCTAGCCCAGGGATCTTATCTCGACGCCCCCGGCCTGCGCATCGACCTCCGACTGCTCTATCCTCTCTGCACGCTACCCTCTCACCTGCAAGCCACCCAATCTCCGTCCCTACCGCGCATCTGCACAGTGCCTTCCCCGGCAGTCGTGTGCTTACAAGAGTTAATATGAGCCTTCGAAGAGAAAGAGGAAAAAATCACTTCCTTCCCTCCTCATCCAGTATCTCCTTGCGACCACCCGACCCATCCCTCCGTTCGAGGCCTGTCTATTGCCGCCGAATGATCAATGGAAGTGGTCGGCTTCGACAGCCAATCTCCACCCCCACGTGGGTCCTCATCTGCCATGGACTCATGGAAATTGGCCGCCATTAAACGCGCTCCACCCGCCCTTCCCAACACGGTAGGTTGGGCGGACTGGTTTTCTGGGTCACGAAAAACAATGGGGAAGAAGAACGACCTGGCCCGGAGAGATTCATGCCCGCCTTCGAACTGTGTCCACCGTTCCACTACCTGTGATCTCGCTCAGAATGCGATACTCAGGATATCGGTCCAAACCAATCTTGGCCGCAACACCAACCAACTTGGTATCGAGGCCACGCACTGATTCCAGCAGACGCCAAATATCGATCAAAATCTTTCCCTGTCGCCAATATACGTAATCCGGATACGCCCAGATCACCAGACGGTTTCGCCTCAAGGGGAATTCGCAGCCTTTCGCCGCAGCAGGGATGGAGTAACAAGCAACCACGATGGCGCATCGCGCACTCTGGTTCGGTTACAAGTCATTGCAATCCAGATCTACGGGAACACAGCCCCATGCCAAGGCTAACGGTCGCCAACCCCATGTCTGCGATAGCCACTCCAGCATATCACTCTCTCAACTATCAAATCATTTGCATTCCTGAACGTCCCGTTACCTTCTCTTGAGTAAGTCTATGAATGACGGACACTATTTACACCAGATAAGCCCCGATGCCCCGATACCCCGCCTTGACGCTCGCCAAAAATAGATTCCTTTCGAGTCATAACAGTTGAGCTACCCCTCAGTTACTGTCATTTCCCACCACGCGAATGAGCTCCTCCAAGGGCTTCTTCTCCTTGGGCGGTGGTGATCCGCCCTCCGGCACGCCAAACACCAATTGCGCCCGCAGCTTCCACTGCGCAGGCACCTCGAAGGTGCTCGCGACCTTATCGTCGATGATAGGGTTGTAGTGTTGCAGGTTGGCGCCAAACCCTTCCGTCTCGAGCGCCGTCCACGCAATCAACTGATGCATGCCGCTGGTCTGTTCCGACCAGGCCTCGAAGTGTTCCGCATACGATGCGAACTTGGCCTTATGGTCGGCGACCACGGTCTGATCCTCATAGAAGAGCACCGTGCCGTAAGCGGCGCGGAAGCCGTCGATCTTGGGGGCGGTCTTCTGGTACCGCTCGGCCCCGATGCGAGTGAGCAGGGAGTCCTTGACGATGTCCCATAGCTTGTCGTGCTCCTGTTTCAGCAGGACCAGGATACGTGTGGTCTGCGAGTTGAACGCCGAGGGGGTCTGCAGCACGATCTGATTGAGAATCGATTGGATCTTAGCGTCAGGGATGGGGGACTCGCGACGTAGGGCGTAGTAGGAGCGTCGGCCAGCAAGGGCCGCGAGGAGGGTGGAGCTGCCGGACATGGTGGTTTTCTTGTTTTGTGGACGGACAGGCAAGGGAGAGATCTGCGTGAGTACCTTTCCACAGATATCCCTGCCCGCTGCCCGCCTGCATTTATAGCGTGGTCAAGTACAGAGCAGTAAGTGCATGCCAGCAAATGACGCGACATCGGAGATGATAGTAGACATTTGTGGAATAGCGGGGCTGGTCGTAAACAAGCAAATACGAGGTAGGGGTTCAACTGATACACTATGATTTAATCAAAGCGTGCTTCGTATAGCTTTATTAGACACCGTGCTATCGTGGTAGTTGAATTAGAATACGAATTGGTCGACCACCGCTTGGACCAGCCAGGTAGCTGCATTGGCCAACCCATCCCCACCTTTACGGATGTCCAAGCTGGAGCAGAAGCTGGAGCAGCAGCTGGAGCCTGGAGCTATACAAGCATCCACAAGCAAGGACAAAACGTATATCCGCCAGCTTTCAAGCATGATGTCACCCGCACCCTTGTAACCCCAGAGCCTTTTACAGACCTGCCCCTGATATACAAACCTACCACCTACCTACCTACTCACCTACTGACCCTAAAACCTATCATCCGACAGTCCTCCCCTCCCCTGCCCTCACGCAACTACACCCCCCTTCTGCGTCTGCTGCCCCTCCACAAACCCCTTCAAATCCTGCACCCAGCACCGGAAATTCTCCTCCAACCGGGCCCCAAACATCCACTTGACCACATACGCCAGGTACCCATCCTGGACCTCCCAATTCGTCACCTCCGTCACCACGCGCGTGCGTCCAGTGGTGTCGTCCACGACCTCCCGCTCCACAAGCTCGTGCACCCTCTCCGCCGACAGCAGCGCGGCCATCACCCGGCCCTGGAAGGTGGTGTCGTTCGCCCAGGTGATTCTTGCGTGGCGGGTGGTAGGTGTCGCTGTTGCTGTCGCTGTCGCTGTAGCTGTAGTGCCCGCATCCCCCCCCTCTCCCAGGCCACTTGGGGACGAAGGCGAAGCAGGCGGGAAACACTCCGTAACCACCAGACCCACATGGTTATCCACATTCCGGAAAGACTGCGGCGCCGTGGACGCGGCGGCTGGGTGCATGTTCACGTGGAAGGTCATGCGGGTGCCTTTTTGGAGTGTAGCTGCTGCTGCTGCTGCTGCTGGTGCAGCAGGTGGTTCTTGGGAGGAGTCGGTGGGAGGATTTGTTGCTGTCGCGGGGGGGGGCGTAGGACTTGGACGTGGAGGTGATGGTGGTTGGGGCTGCTCGCGGATCGTCACGGCGGGCACGAAGCGGTTCCATTCGGCCCAGGTGGTGGTGTCGGTCAGGGCGGACCAGACGGCGTCGAGGGGGGCGTGGATCTGGATGGAGCTGGTGAGGCGGAGGATTGGGTCGGAGGAGGAGGACATTTTGATGGTGGGTAGAGGGGCAGTAGAGGGGAGATGGGTTATGTCTTAAGGGTATGTATGTTTCGTTTTAACGTTTAAGTTATTCGGTTGAGCTCAGTAGATGGACACTGATTAGTTAGTGCTGGGGTATACAGTGTTGAACTGACTGTTGATGCTACGTAGGTGTACAGTCGATGGAGGCAGAATCCCAAGCACCAAGTTAACTCCACACGAGTAAGTCAGCCGAGCTAATTAACTAGCTAGCTAGCGACGTAGCTACACTCACCGCCCGATCGACAACGGCCTCCCCCGAGGCTCCCCGGCCGGGTAAATTCAATTCAAGCCTATCAGCCAAGCTCTCTCTCCCTCCCGAGCACCGGAGTTAGAGTTTACGGTAGAGTATGAAGTAGGAAGTATAACCCCCCGTCGTCGATCCTCAACCCCATTTTCAATTGGCGGGCTCACCCCAAGATACAGCACTAGTGAAACACTTTTTTTTTTCATTCGATCTCAGAAAAGAAATAGGTCACTCAAAATCTAGACCCTGCGGATCATAATTAAACGGTGTTCCGGGATGGACTGGACTGTCGGCTAGCTACATACCTGCTGTACATCAAAAAGCAGGGGATGGTGTTTTGGGTCCTTGCATTAGCGGGAGACTCTCTTCAGTCAAGTTGGAGTGGAAACTGAGATGGGAGATGAAGGTTCCTAGGGGTTGAGTGGACTTTTGCTGGTATGTTTTGAAGATATGAGTTGTTTTCTTTTTTCTATTTGGGAGTGGGCGGGGGATGGTTACTGTAGTAAATAGGGTGGGGAATATCTGCATTTCAAATGGTGGAGATGCAATTTATCTTGGGGTTGAATCCAAATGGGAGCCTGTCAACCATCTGCCAGAGATCAGATGACTTGACAGGATTCAAGCGAAGAACCTCTACCAACCCAATTGCGACAGGGTGGTGTGTCTATGCCCGAAGGGACAGAGTTACCGAGCATGAGGAGAACGAGGAAGCCTCTGGATTCGTGGACGACACCGGTCAGAACGACGGCCTCAGGCTGATCCAATACACATCTACCGCAAAGCATCTAAGGCTTTTGTTCCACTTCCACTGACCAATCCCGATCCCCAACATTAGAGAAATAAGTCTAGACCTCACCACTCACGTCCACTCGCAGCCCATTAACCAAACCACCCCCTACTCCATCGGAACAGATGGTATCATCGAACCCAGAAACCAACTCCATTCCACAACAACTCCCCCAAAAGACCAACGACATATCACACCCCAGTCACCGGATCACGCCCATCAAATCGCATGGACTTCCGCCGCTCCTCCGCCGCGAACGAATCCCACCGCAGCTCCTGCACCACCTGGATCCCATGCGCCGCGTCCACGGCCTGCGGATGCTGCGGATCCCCCAGACTCAGACTCTCCATCGAGAACGTCCCCGCGACACTGGTGACGTAGCTCGTGCTGGACGGCGCGAAGGGGTTGCCGTGCCCGTGCCCGTGGCTGATGATGCTGACGCCGCCGCTGGGACGGGGGCGTTTCTCGCGCGGGTGGTAGGAGCGCGCAGCGCGGGAGGGCATCAGGCGCGGGAAGAAGCGGATGATGAAGGGGCGCAACGGCGGCAGGCAGGCGCAGATGATGGCGACGTTGCATTCAATGAAGGACCATGTGGCGGCGAGGCCGTTGCCCTCTATTCCACAGAGTTAGTGGCTTAAACGTCCGTCACGTAGTATGGAATTTGACTATGAAAACTGGGACAGAGAGAAGGCAGCACTACTATACCTGTAAAGTCCGGTGAACGAATGAGTTTGACGATCGTCGTGAGCCGGATTACGCTCATCGCGCATACACTATGACTCGGTATTAGTGGTTGTGACAAACCAATGGAGAAACTGGTAGGTAAGGGCCAGACGAACAAGAATCCCAGAGCGAAGATCAGGATCAGTGCGATCTTCTGCCGTTTGGCGATCCGCAGCTTGGCCAGCACGGGCATCGGCAAGATGACCAGAAGCAAGTCGGTCGAGATCTGGAATCCGGCGTTCAGGCACCATACGACGTCCTCCGGGAGACAGGTCCGAGGCAGCGACGTGTCCCAGAAGGACCGGACCGGGATGCAGAAGAGAATCGCACTGAACACCATCCACATCCCGGTGGCAATCACAAAGAATAAGGTGACGGCCAGAATGATCTGGTAGTACTTCGTGGGAAAGAGACGTTTGTAGAGGAAGATCAACGACAGTTTGGTCAGAGTCAAACTGAGGTTGTAGAGCGGAATCGTGATGTACAGAGCCTATGTAGCCATGCCAATTAGATTGCGTCTATGAAGTTGATACCCAGTTGTTGGGATCACGCGCGCGTGTGTGTGGGTTACCCTGAGTTGATTGCGTATAGTATTTGGACTGAGAAGTTCCTGATTCTCTGCTAAGCCATTGCGGACCTCTGCATCAATATTAGTATCTGATCTTCCAGTGAAACAACCGATGGCACAGCCCGTACCAATCATCAAGAAAGCGAAGAACCCAATGTCTACCGCCTGTGCTTCACCTTAGCTCAGAGATCTGGTGCAAGATGCCATAGGAGGACGAACCAGCGAAAGAACGATCAGCAGGTCATCCAGGCCAGGCGTTCGAACCATATGCAACCGCGTGTACAGACGCAGCGCGACCACCAAGCATGCCAGGGAGAGAAAGGTGACCGCAATGGGCACAGCATACATGGTGTCGCCTGGTGATCGCGATCACTGCGAGTGCCAGCATAGAGTCTCCTCGTTGTCTCCTGTGGCAGTCGGTGCGTTATCGTGCGTTGACTCTGGTCGTGTGTGGCCGTGTGGGAATAGGTACAGTGGTCGAAGAAGCCAAGATTTAAACATTTTAACAGTGGCGAGCTCCCACAGTAACGTGGGGAGAATCTGCATGTAACAACCATATTCACTTGCGTCAAGGGCAGCGGGGAAGCTCAAAAAAGTGCAGTGAATAGTAGCTCATTCCCGCTTGGTGTTACCCATGGTTCGGCGGGCGGTCTTCGCCGGAATCGCCTAGTCCGGCCGAATTGACTTGATACTTTTGAGTGGGTAGGTAGCTGCAACTTACTAAGAAGTTTCTGTTTCCTCGAGGATAAGAGCAGAGCAGAGCAGAGCAACGTGGAACAATCAATTGTCAGCAGGCATATTCCATTATTTGTTTGGCATGTACATAATTTTTCATCATCACACATGGGAAGTGTAGGAACAACGCGGAGACAGAGCTTATACAAAGGTCCAGGAAAAACTCCAGTTAGAGAAAGATGCTATACATCATTGACCTTGCATTCGGGTCAGGGGGCTTGTGCAATTGCCCCTTCCTTCCCAGCCCAGAACTGTACAATATGGTCACCACGGTATGTTATCCTTCGATCCAAAAAAACTAGAAAATCACAAACCAGCCTTATGAGCCGCACGCTAAGCAATATTCAAAAATGCAACAAGGAAAGGATTTACAGGCGAGCCTTGAGGCTGGAATCGAGGCGGCGCTCAACGGCAGCCATGTACTCGCGGGTGGTGACCCAGGCCTCACGCTCCTTGCGGCCACAGGCCAGAGCCAAGTCCTTGGTCATGATACCCTCCTCGTTGACAACGTCAATGCAAGCCTTCTCAAGCGCCTCAGCGAAGGCCACAACATCGGGGGTCTCGTCGACCTTGCCACGCTGGATCAGACCACGGGTCCAGGCGAAGATAGAGGCAATGGGGTTGGTGGAGGTCTCACGGCCCTTCTGGTGCTCGCGGTAGTGACGAGTCACGGTACCGTGGGCAGCCTCGGACTCGAAAGCCTCACCGGTAGGGGTGGCCAGAGTGGAGGTCATCAGACCGAGGGAGCCGAAGCCCTGAGCGACAATGTCAGACTGAACATCACCGTCGTAGTCTGGAGAGCTGATTAGTACATGTAACATCCGTCGAATTGAAATCCGAAGAACTCACTCTTGAGGGCCATGACGAAGCCACCCTCGCTCTTGATCATCTGGGCGACCATGTCGTCAATGAGACGGTGCTCGTACCAGATCTTCTTGGCCTCGAAGTCCTTCTGGTAGGTAGCCTCGTAGATCTCCTGGAAGATGTCCTTGAAGCGACCATCGTACTTCTTCAAGATGGTGTTCTTGGTGCTCATGTACAGAGGAAGACCCTTGAGCAGGGCCATCTGGAAACTGGCATGGGCGAATCCGCGGATGGACTCATCAGTGTTGTACTGAGTCTGGGCAATGCCACCACCCTGGAAGTCGTAGACGTTGATGGTCTCAGCCTCACCGCCGGCAGGGGTGTAGACGAGCTCGAGCTTTCCGGGGCCGGGGATGACGCGGTCGGTGGCACGGTACTGGTCACCGAAAGCGTGGCGGCCAATGATGATGGGCTTGGTCCATCCGGGGACAAGACGGGGGATGGCGGGGATGATGATGGGCTCACGGAAGACGGTACCGCCGCTGAGGAAGGGTTAGTACAAGATCAGGAATGGGCCTGTTTGTGTCTCAGAACTTACAGGATGTTACGGATGGTGCCGTTGGGGGACAGCCACACTGCAGGACAAGGTTCATTAGCGAGACCAGTTCCGAAGTGTCGAGTGGTACAATCACAACATACTCTTCTTCAGCTTGAACTCCTCAACACGGGCCTCATCGGGAGTGATGGTGGCGCACTTGACACCGACACCATACTTCTTGATAGCCTCAGCGGCCTCGACGGTGACCTTGTCGTCGGTCTGATCACGGTACTCAAGACCCTGCAAGAAGTGTCAGTCGCCGGTGACCGGTTATAGCAGGGCTGAGTCGGGTGAAAGCGCTTACAAGATCGTAGTACTTGAGGTCGATGTCAAGGTAACTAGACACACATGTCTCAATTGGACTGTCTCATACTTCCGGATCGGAACGAATTGGCACTTACGGCAGGATCAACTATAGAAGCGGGTCCTAGTTAGCATGCAGTTCCGGGAGATCACGGGTAAGAGCATTGCCCCGGAGGGCCCAGCCGAGGCAGACTCACCTTCTCTCTGATCTCCTTCCAAATGATACGGGTCATCTAGGAATACTATGAGCACATGTCAAGAAATATACAATCCAAAACTCTTCAAAGCTCTGAATCGTCGGAGAGGTTGGTCCTTGGCCGCAGGGGAGAATGCAGCCGCGGCTATGC